CCCTGTCCCAGCAACCAGGCATCCTGCAGGAGTACCTTAGCCGTGATGACGTATGGCGAGATCAGGCCACGCGGATCGAATATGGAGGCCAGGCCGCGCAACACAGAGCGTCGGGTGAATGTCGTGATGTCCTTCATTTGATGCTGGAAGGTGAAGGCATCCTTCTCGGCGTTCCAACTGACGCCGAGAGTCTTGACAGTTGGGAGGCTGGTGTCACTGTCCACATCTCGGACGACATCAGGTGACCTATCTTCCTCTGGTATGGTGTTCATCACTTCAGCTTTGTTCGACAGCCATTTTCGCATGTGAAAACCGCCCTTGGCAAGTAGCTGCTGCGTTTGCTCTCTGGCCTGGATGGCACGCTGTGTGGATGGTAGTGATGACAGCATGTCGTCAACGTAGAGGTCTTTGCTTAGGCACTGCACGACGTCAGAGTCGTACTCATCACCGTGGTGCTTGATGACCTCTTTCACCGCTCGTCCTGCCAGATACGGTGACGCCTTAGCGCCGAAGAGCACACGGGTGAACTGATACACCTGCACTTGGCCATTGTCATCATACCACAGAAAGCGATGATAGCGCTGGTCACGTTCCGCCAGTTTGACTTGGAGGAACATCTCCGACACATCACCAACAAGCGCAACTGGTTCCAGTGAGAATCGGATCAACACACTGGTCATGTCGTTTTGAAGTGCAGGACCTGTAAACATCTCATCGTTGATGGAGTGTCCATCCCAGCGGGCTGCACCGTCAAATACTATTCTCACTTTTGACGTGGATTTATCTGAGCGTACTACCGGGAAATGGGGTAGGTACCACTGGTCGTTGCCGTCTTTGGCTATCTCATCCGGGTCCACGCGTCTCACGTAACCCTTGGCAATGTGTTTCTGCATAACGTCAGAGTACTGCTGCTTCACGGCTGGCCGTGACTGTAGCGAGCGTTGTAGACTGCGGAGCCGCTGCTCAGCCTGAGCTCTGTTGGACCTGACACGTGGCTTACCGCTGTCATTGACCCATGGGATTCGGACAGTTACCCGGTTGCCGTTGCAGCTGATTGATTGGCTCGTGAGCTCCTCCGCTCTTCTGTCATCGGGTGAAGGCGTCTCCTCTAGTGGGTTATCTGTGCCCGCCGACTCATCTCGCCAGAACTTCTCTACTAGCTCGGTCAGCCCATCAGTTAGCACTGTGTCAGTAGCTGGTGTAGTAGCTGTGATTGCACGAGTGGTGTCGACTCCTGTACCAATGCACACCCACCCGAGAGGAGTTCGTCGAGCAATGGGCGCTCTTGCTGTTTCTGCTCGCCGTTCTTCTAGAGTAGCATGAAGCTCGATGGCATTCAGGCCGATAAGCGCGTCGATCTGACTGCCCTTGATGGATGGGAAGTCAATATCACTAAGATGCGGCCAGCTGCTCTTGTGCTGATTCCAGTTCACTGCCGGTAATGACACGGTGACGGTGGGCAGAACCCAAGCTTCAAGCTTGTTCATGGTCTTGTCGCCCAGAGCCGCCACTTGGATCTGTACATGCTCACGTCTTGCTGCGGTCTGCTTGCCGCCTACTCCGGAAGTGACGAGCTGCCGCTTGGGTCCACGCACATTGAGGGCTGTTGCCACGGACTGCTGGACATAACTCGTGGACGATGCTGGGTCCAGGAGTGCATTACCTTGGAGGCTCACACCATTGTGTCGGAATACAACAGGCACAACCATGAATGACTCGCCACTGTCAATCTCTGGCTGATGACTTGCGCAATGTGTTGTAGCAATCTTGGCAGGACCGCCACTGCTGGCCGAAGCTGCGTTGGCCTTGATTGCGGCATTTGATGGGTCTGCAGCGGAATCCGAGCGTCGGATGTTGTAGTGTAGCATGTCATGATGCGTGCGGCTGCACTTTGAACAGGGTTGCCTGGTACAAGTCTTTGCGCGATGATTGAGACCGAAGCATAGGGCGCAGACATCTGGCTTGGACTTGATGACTTTCCATCGGTCCCTGACCTCCATCTTAATGAAATCGGGGCAGCGGTGGAGCTGATGCGCCTTGCCACACGAGGGGCAGCTTCTGTCGGCACCTGCATCCTTGCTAGTTGCCACAAATGTTCGTTCAGACTTTGTAGCACTCTGCTTCGACCATGATCTTGCTGGTGCTGGTGCTGAGGCAGTGACTTCTGTCGACCGGAGTCGTTCATCGGCACGGCGTAGTGTGTTGACGCGTCTGAGGAGCCACTGTGTTAGCTGGTAAATATCACAGTCAGCATCGTCATACTTCTCCATGTACCTAAGCAACAGCGATTTCGGCAACTTCTGCGTAACCGATATGTACAACTCACGGCCCGGTGTTACTGCACACATCTCCATATTCATGAGCATCGTCCGGAGTCTGAGGACAAACTTGGCAAAGTTGTCGTCTGACTCTTTTAGCTTCGGCCACTGCAAAATCTCCTTCTCTTGGCGCTCAACAGTGCGATTGTCGCCGCCATACCATGCATCTAGCTCCCTAAGGATGGTGTGGTAGGCTCCTGGACCGTCAAGCACGCCATCAACAAGGTCGCTGGCCGTGCCATGCATGAGACACTCACGCAGTTGTGCAAGTTTGTACGCTTCAGTCGTTAGTGGATCTTCGTCAACAACGCGGCGAAAGTTCTGCTTCCACCGGTCGTAGTCACTAGTCTTGCCAGAGAACTTTGGTAGCTCCAGTGGCTTCACGTGAAAGCTGAAACTAGCAGGGTGTAGTGTCTGCAGTTGAGGTGGATAGGGCATGAAGGACTCTGCTTGCGGGTTTAGCACCTGCTTGGAGTGTTCTTGCACTGCCACTGGTGTTGGTGGCTGCTGTTTGGCCACTGCTGTATGCTTCTGTGGTGTATGCCATGGTGGTGTTGCATTCAGCATTGATACTGCCTTCTTGTTACTGCCAGGCAGTCTTGATTGTACTGCTGCACTGCTTATTGCTGGCTGTACAGGCACTGCATTACTAGCTGCCTGTATGGACACTGTAGTACGTCCTACAGGCGCACCACTGGTCATTGACTTCTTGGCTGGCACTACTGACAGCACTGTACTGGTCACAGACTTTTGAGCGGGCGCGCGCATGAATGCTTGCGCCACTGGCCCCAGGGCAGGCACGCCAAACGCATTGACACTACATGTACTTGACTGAGCTGGGCTGTCTTCCGCCACACCTAATACAGCCTCAGGTTGTGTGGGCGCATTCACAGTACGAAACGTACCTTGCAAACTCCTTGGCTTGCCGTGGTCGCGTTGTCCGTTCACTCCACCGACATCACTCATCGTTCTGAAGTGCTCACGCGGTGGTAATACGAATTTTCGACCAGGTCCGACCAACTTGTCGTGCTCAGCAAGACTCTTGGCAGTCAATATTGCCCTGCCACTGGATGCAGCGTTTCCAGTCTCTGATTTGCGAGACGACACTTTGCTCCCTGACCCGGATCGTAGTGCAGCTGCAGATTCAGCCTCGGCTCTTCGAACCTCCAGTTCCCTCTGCACCAAACTTGTCTCACGAGCCAACTTGCGTGTCTCGGCTTCCTCCTCCAGCTCAGCGATTTGCCTTGCAGCCTCAAGTTCTACACGAAGCATCTCTGCACGAAGTGACGCCTGCGACGCAGCAGTTCCTGAAACTTTCGAGGGCGCATGTCCTGCAGAGCTCACGCTGTCCGGGACGTCACTCCAGTTATCAAACCCGTATCTGCTCGGCGGTCTCCCTTTGGTAGACCGCGAGCTCCGTCTACACTCAGCGCCTGGGACTTGCTCGTCGTCGCGCAGGACTTCTTGGATCTGGCTCTGAGATCCGGCTCGAATAGGACCACTGTGGCTACTCATGCTGCCCTCTGTTGCCCCGGCATGCGTTCAACCAGATACAACAGCAACTCGTAACAGTATGAGACCAAGAACTTTCTCCTCTGAGATAAAACTGCAAGAACCAAAACTGTAAACTGCTTCCTACAGTTCAAAACTAACAACTAAAAAACTTCAAAGGCATGGAAGTATACATTCCAGAATGACGAAAGCGAGAGCGCAATCGCAGCCTGCGAGTATCCACAGGACTGTGCACAAATGCAAAGACGAGTGAATATATTACGACTAGATAGCATGGAGACAGCACATGCATCAAACGATACGCTACTTGAATCTCAGACAATGCAAAGGTTGAGACTGGCCTGCGGTAGCAATAGTCAATACATCAGGCGCCAGCAGCATGCACTAGAATAAAAGAAATGAAACCTGAGTACAATGAAAGGTCATGCAAGATTCACCACAAGCTGGGAATATTCCAGAACAACTGAAAAACTCTAAAAATTAATGATAGTGATCATGGTGATAGAAACCGTTCGTAAGTTTGAACCAGGGAGTCGTATAATTATATAGACGACTCCCTGGTTTGAACAGTTGATGAAGACGAACGCGCTAAGGGGCCGTCCGTAATTATCGAACGTTTTTCACCAAACGAATTATTTTAGTTTAGACCCAACCTCTCCCTCCCTCCCCCTCAGAACGTAAAAAGTTTGACATACGCATGCATAATACAACAAAAGTCGCAAGTGTGTAACTGCTCTTATGGGCATGCATATATATCAATGTTTTGTGAAACGAAATTGGTCAACCCCCTCCCACCCCATAACGAAATTATTTCGTTTTGTGAAAAAAGTTCGATAATTATGGACGACCCCTAAGGCCCAACTGGTAATCTGGCAATCAGGTAATGGAGCGGAACGGCGCAGGTACACTGAAGACGTGAAGTCTTTGAAGATGTACCCCACACTACCAATACCATGACTACATATACATGTAAGCATTACGTTTTTATCGTGCTCTCGAGAAGCCAACCAGGTGACACGCTGTCAGACAGTGTCACAACACAGTCATGAAGTCTCCCCATAAACTAGGCAGCGGTTGATAATCGCCCCGCCACCACTGCACCAGTGCAGGCATCACTCAGCACTTGAAAAAACGAAAGCCCAATACCTGAACACAACCTTTCAAAGAAGTACACAACAGTAGCTAGCGCGACATGCTGCTGACAGCAGATTGATAAAGATGCGCTTGTACAATAATTGTGTGAGTTCCGTAGCGAGGCATGCAGTGTCGGCTTACTTGTTGTGTTACCCAAGGCAAGCGCTTGTGACATCTTTCCTGTTTTGAGCTCTTTTTCGCCCAGCAAATAGCATAGCTGTGCTACTCAGCTCTGGCCCGATCGGCAAAGAGAAGCTAGCAGCGGTGCTGTACTGTGTGACTCAGTCCGGCGCTCACAAAATATTACATCGTGTTTCTGCGTGGACTTCAAGTTCTACGCTAGTAGTAGTTACGAGCTCTGGAATAAAGCTGCCAGTGCCAGCCTGTATTGATACTTTGACTTATTGAGAGTCCGAGCTAGTCCGTCCATTGGTACTGGCTTCCTGCCTGGCTGGTACGAGTGTCACAGTGAACAAGCGGACCGGTTCAGCACTTGTTTTGCTGGCGTAGATTATTGCCATATTGGTCACACAGCTACAAAAAAGACCCAGTGATTGTCAGCGTGCTCGGATATACCGGTACTACACAGCAATGGGGAAAGCGTCCAGTAAGTTGAGTGAAGAGGACATCAGGGAGCTGCGAGAGAAGACGCAGTTTAGCGAGCGTGAGCTGATCGAGTGGCACAAGGGCTTCATGCAGGACTGTGGCGAAAGTGGTGAGCTGAGACTGGATGAGTTCAAGAGGATCTATGCTAGCTTCTTTCCAGCTGGTGATGCCACCGCATTTGCTGAGCACGTGTTCCGAACGTTCGATCATGACGAGGATGGTATCATTGGCTTCAAGGAGTTCATCATCGGCCTGTCGGTTACATCGCGGGGCCACTTGGAAGAGAAACTGAAATGGGCTTTCAAGCTGTATGATTTGAACGACTCCGGTGACATCACACGAGACGAGCTGCTCAGTGTTGTGCAGTCTATCTATGCCATGGTGGGCAGACAGATCAATCTGGGAGGAGATGATAGCACACCTCAGCGGCGTGCCGAGAGGATATTCGAGCAGATGGATGCCAACCAGGACGGTCGGCTATCGCTGGCAGAGTTCATCGAGGCGGCGCGCAGCGATCCTTCAATCGTGCGCCTCTTGCAGACCGATGCGTCTGGTACTCAGCATGCAATGCCTGGCGGCGGTGCTGCAGCAGGTGGAAACTAAGATACAGTTCGTCGACTTGGCAATGCACGGAAGTGGTGTGGAGTCATGTGGGCGCATGACGGCTAGGTGTGTGTACTTGGCTCAGCCTCCAATGATTGTCAGCGGTTGCGGGGTTCTGAACGGCTGTTGTCCAGCGGCCAGCTAGATACATGTACACTGCAACAGGTCAGATGCCGTTGGCAAAACCGTACTGTGTCCGGAAATTCTCACGCATGACTGCTTTTCATCTTTGTTGGAAGCCATGCCATAGACAGCGCTATTGGTGATGCCTTTTGTTATACTGGTCTTCGGACATCATAGTACTGGGTATCGCTGGGAACGTACGGCGTGTACAGGTATTACACGGACACGATTGTGGATGGCTAGAGTACTACTAGCTTCTGGTGTTTTACTACAAACGTTTTACTATAATTATTATCAAGTAGTTTTAACTGGTGCTACTTGTTTCTCGTCAGCATCAGCTGAGTTTTGAGTGACATTGGTTGCAGTTTTAGAAGATCGCTGATTGTAGTCATAGTTTGTCTAGCCCGGCTTGATTCGGTGAGTTTCCTGAGCTAAGCTTCCAAGCCGACCCGCCAGGTTTGCTTTTTATTCCCGATTATGTTGATGGGTAGGTTTCTATCTTTCCGATTTGATTTTTCGTCGAACTTATGAATTTCATATTTTGGAGTTTCAACTACCGGCTTTTATTTGCGGTTTACTAGTAATACATGTACATTTTGCTTTTTTAAACTACGGTCGATAAAGTATCTGTCCGCAAATATTAACTATTGTCAAATAGAGAATTTGTCAATCTGATGTCTTTGAAACATCCCTATTCTTCTGATAAAGAACATAATGCTTACTGCAGCTACAGTCACTAGCCCGGTGACAGCAATTTTTTAGTATGATTGATCGTACTCAGTCTGTGATTGCTTGGAAAGATGATTATTACTGTCACTCTAAAGGCCTTGCTACTGCCCGTGTTTCGCGGTGTGTATGTGTGAGTCCGAGTGCTCGCCGATAATGTGTCCACGCTCACGCGTGTGCATGTGTATGTGCGCTCGTGCATGTGTGTGCATTTTTCTGTTGCGACGTGGCTGTGTGCTGATCACGGTGAGGAGGGCTGGGAAATACCATGTTCCAATGCTGTCGGGTATGTTAGTGAGAATGTCACTTGGCACTTGAATGGTAGAAGTACGTCATAACACGCATCAGCACGGTGGGAAGTTACCGATTCGGACCTGTCCGGCCGAGAATAGGACTGTGAAAATCTGCGAGGTTGCAGCCTGGACCAGAGGGTGGTACCATGGTTGCGATCGCCATGCTGCCAGGCCCGTGTGCCCACCGCTTTTCACGTGTTGTAAACTCTGAGCTGAACACTGTTGGAAAGTGGGCAAGACTTGGCACCGTCCCTCTCGTCCACGTGTCCACCATCATGCAGTCAGCCGGCTAAATAACAGTCACGATATTGTACCCGGGTTCAGCCAGCCCCTGGCTGCACTGCTCACTCAGTGACATCGGCATGTTTACAGTAGGGACTGAGATCTACAATAATTGGTGCCCGGTACATGTACATGTAGTACGGTAACAAGAGTCCATAAACAGTTTATTCACTCTTTGTTAGTGAGTAACCAGTCACTCAGACCGTGTGAGACGGCACACAGGTGAGTCAGTGTTGTTGTTCTCACATTTTGCTGATTCAGTGATTGTAATAAAAACTTTGTGTCGAGTAGTAACCCGGCAGTACAATTATGTATTACAGCAGCTGAACTCGTACACTACTCGAGATGAACAGCATAGTGTATTAATACTAGTAGTAGTATTAGTGAGCATACTACCCGGCGCCAAGGCGTAGAATCTAGATAGTCCAGGGAGTACGAGTACAACAATTACTACTCCCACATGGCCTATGGCCCACAAAAGCTCCGTTACCATGACGATCGAGAGCATTTTTTTGCAAATACAAGAAAAAGAACCAAGCTTCTTTTTTGTCTGCTGTTTTTGTCTGTCTTCGTGGATTCGTTTTTGTTTTGTCTCGGTGTGAGTTGTTGTCTTGTCTTGTCCCGCTCACTGTTCGTTTGTTGTCTTTATTGTAACTTATTATTTCTCTTCACTACTTGATCTTATCTGATCTCAGTAATTCTGAGAAATGATCATAAACAACAACGTTAGCGCCCAACCCTCACATGTTGATGGGTGGCGCGATGACCGTGAACACTTTGGAATGTGATGAAACGGAGGACTCTATGATCGTTTCTTTAACGACGTGAATGCCTTATTGGCAATCCTCTGCTCTGATTCCTCGCAGATTTCTTTCTTGCACCTGTTTGGGTGATGTGCTTAGTTTCTAAAGTTTTTCTGTACTATAGTAGTCCCTTTACTTTGTAAATTTTCTTTCAGCATTATAAATCGTCCACATTGTAATGTTCTGGGTTTTTTTTCATGGACCATGCATGCCCGGGCGCCGGCGCCCATGCATGGTCACTTCACTTCTAGAATAGATCCTGTGGTCACTAATCGAAACATTGACAGAATTATGTGTTGCAAGTGTTCGCAGAACGTGACGGCTACAAACACATAATATTGAACATCAGTTTGGAACTGGCTATTTATTCGCATTATGCCCTCTTCACAAAAATCGCGAAAGCATTGCGTACGGTTGTTGCAGTAATGGACTCTGTCTGGTATGTGCCTTCGCAAGATAGGCCATGACAATTACAGGATAGTTACCATTTAAAAACTACTCAAATACAATACAAACTTGTCATGTTTCCAACCTGCAACACACAGTCTTTGGCTACAAGTACACCTCGATTCTATCCGAATTGTCACCCAAGAGGGCATCATACGAGCGTGTCCCAGTGATGATGCCCTCTCGGGTAAAAACCAAGCCACGTGGTGTAGACAAGGGCTGCTTGTGTGTTGACAGTTGAATCCTCAATGGGAAGTCTATAAACTTCTCAAAAGTATTCATAGTGTTACATACAGGTACCAGACTACCATGTAGTTGTGTATTCTTGATACAAGTACCAGTACCAGCATTTCGCAAGATGATGCCACACAGGCAATAGGCCACATAGATGGGGTGTTGCATACAAACAAAACTTTAACTTGCAAAATGCTCAAACTAAATCAACTGCCAATAGAAAACGTGGCAAAGAAAAAGAAAACAAATTCTGACAATATACAATCTAATACAGCTTCACATCATGCATTGTTACTGGTACTATTTACATGAAGTTCCTATACAAGTCATATATACCAACACTGCCATACACACACATACACAGACACACAAAGACACACACACACACATACACACACACAGACACACAAACACATGCGTGCGCGCGCAGACACGCATGCACTTCATCGGCATCAACGTCTTCCCAGCGCCTATTGCATGAATTTGTCTGCCTGCTCTTGCAAGATCTTCGCCGAGCGCTTTGCATCATAGAACAGCTCATCAACTTCTGTAACGTCGTCTGTGGTAACTTGCTCTCGGCCGTTGATACGAGCAAGGACGTGAGCAGGAGTTAGAAGCTGAGCAGCGAAACGAAGGGTGGTCCGAGAGCCAACAGCGCCGAGATCACTCAGTGCACCATCAGCGGCTGGAATTGCCTCTGTCTGTGCTCGGATCTTCAAGATATCCATCATCTCCTCAGGAGTGTACGGCAGTGTGGAGATGATCATCACACGATCGAGTAAATCCAGCGGCATTCCATGCGGTGAAGTTATTTCCGTGCCGCGCACTGTGCAGTGGCCTCTGTTCGTGGCAAAGATGACGATGGGGGCAATGGAAGACTCAAGTGCCCGGTGAAGGTACGTGAAGCACTCAATGTCGAGCATGTGTACCTCATCAACGAAGAGAACTCCAGGCACCAGCTCAGCAATACCTTGATCGATGTACTTGTTGACGACCTTGTTGATCTCCTTGCGAAGCTTGTCTGTGATTTCTGTCTTCTTGGGTTTTGCCATCTGGGACATAATGGACATGACATCTTGACCACCTTGAGGGCGAGCATTGGCGACATCCAAATCATGCAGCGTCACATCCTGGACAATCTCTTTCTTCTTGTGCACTTCACCTTTCGGCAAAGGCACATATTCCTCGGCCTCAAGGTCGAACTCCGTTGCATACGTATCAGATCGGCCTTGGCGCTTGACTGCTCCACTGGTTGCTTCGATGTAGATAACATCACCAACTTCCACCTTCTCCTTCTGCAGTGATTCATAAATAGAAGGATCAAGTTTCAGCTGTTTCGTGCCCTTCGTTGTTTTCAAGCCAATGATGACGTGAATGATTGTTTTTGCATAGCCACCATGGGGATTCTCGCTTTCGCAAGGCGTCATTTCCGTCACTTCACCTTCATACACTTCCTTCGTCTCCTTGATACGTAGACCAATGGCACGGCGGAAGTTTTCCATGAGCACTTCAGTTTTCTTGATCTCTGAGGAAAACACCTCACTTCCCACCATGGGGCAGAATGGAACTTTTGGTCCCAACTCTTGGGCGATTCCGAGGGCCAGAGCAGTTTTGCCCGTTCCTGGTGGTCCTGCCAAGAGGACAGCACGGCCAGCCATCTTGCGTGACTTGATAAGTTCCACGACAACACCTGCAGCTTCCCGAGCAGACTCCTGGCCAACAAAACCAGCAGCCATTTGTTGTGCCTTTCCAGACACATCCAAACCTAAACCTTTTACATGACTGTGAGCAGCAATTCTAGCCGACTTTGTCGTCGACTGTACCTCTTCAATCTTCATGGCTGCTTCTTCTACAATCAAGAGCAGGTATAATGGTAGGTACGAACACTAGTGCACAAGAAACAAAGAAGATATTCTTTGAGAAAACTGCAGTGGAAGTGGTGTGTCGTTCAACGATCGATGCACGGCATGCATGTATCGATCACACAGCAGATCTGCACGAATAAAATCTGAAACTGCAAGAAACCGAAGCGCTTGGGCACGCATTGCCGTGGATACAAAAAATGGCGACCAAAACACCTTGGCAACACTACTCACAAGACAAGATGATGGCGTCATAACAAAGAGATTTTTGCGTACTCTCGAGGCCTCGGCCTCGGCCTCCATGCACGTATGCATGCATGGTCTTATCATCCTGGCCTACCAAATGCAAAATATTTTCAAAGAAGAATTATTTGATTTTGCAGTTTGGTGTTCACTGTTATTTCATGTTCAGTCCGTGATCCAAACAGTACCTGCACAGGCTTTGCAACAAACAAGCTAATGATGTGCCAGTACTGGCAGTAGAGCTAGAGAACAGTCCAACGGGAGTTGTGAGGCATACCGGGGTCAGTATGGCAGCGCTGATTCGCAGGCTGGTGTGCAACTGTCGCGTTTTACCCAGCAGAGGATGTTCCAGTGTTGCTCAAGAGGCTCAAGAAGGTAACCCATGCTAGTCTGATTACTCTGCTAGTGCACTACATCATGTAGATCTACAAATGTAGTCTGACAACGCATAATATTATTGTAATTTTCATAGTGTGCCCGGGAATAAGCTCTGGGGGAAACTGGGTTGTAAATTTGTAACTCATAGGTTGTTTAACTTCAGATGTCTGCAATGTGCATGTATTTGTAATTGTGTGCTTTGCTTGCAGTGTCTGTCAGTTCAAAAAATTGATTCATACCATTAATTAATAACAAGCGTCCAGTTTCGAAAATTATATACACAAAGTGATCGCAGATGTTACGTAGTATGATGGGCCTATTAAATGGTAATGTTTTGGGAAAGATGGTCTGCAACTTTTAAAGCACTGTAATGCATCACACGGGTGTTTCCAGAAGGTAAACACACACACGCACACACACACACGCACGCACGCACGCACACGCATAATATCAATGCTTCTACTAATACACAGCTACCCGACGGGTCATCCCGCCCTCCACCCAACCTTGGGTACAATGAGGGGCAGTGGTGAGGAAAGAAAAATCAACTCGCAGACACTGGCACCACAACTGAAGACAAACAAGATAGAACGAGTGACTGTTGTACAATAGGAATGACTGAAAACAGTGAAAAGCAACAGGTAGCATGTACAGGCGACTCTATTCAAGTGCAAGTACCATGCCACAGGCATGTGGTCTTGCATTTATTGTTGCACCTGCCCGTATGCATATGCACCAGTACTGCACTGTTCATATGTGTAGACCTTTCTATTACCCATACACCCTTTTCGTATCCGGTTACCTCCGTTTGTTTCGTAGTCACTACGCGTGCGCGTAAATGCACCCTTTTTCGTATCCGATTACCTCCATTTGTTAGTCACTACGAGTGCGCATGAATGCACCCTTTTCGTATCCGATTACCTCCGTTTGTTTCATTGTCACTACGCGTGCGCAGGAGTGGTTTACGTGCTCGCCAAGTTTCCTGTCCCCACTATTGTCTGCTCTGCACCTGTTGCTATTCTTTCTTCGTCCGAGTGTAGTTCCTCCTCCGTAGTGTGCATGTTGTGTTTTGGTGCTCTTCGAGCCAACAACAAGTCTGCCTGTATAACTGTTGGTGAGAGTGTTTGTCAGTGGCTTTACCGTGGAAGTGTTGATCTGGCTCCAGCCATCCGAACATTAAAACATTGAAATGACGCTAAACGGATCCACATCTGTGCCACTCGCGCGCAATACTGCAGACATCTCATGGTGGAAAGATCGAATGACTGCAAGCATGGGGGGGGGGGCACCAGCACGGGAGAGCACCTGCCAGAGGCACTCACGGGGCACGCAGTCATAAGCCTTCTTCAAGTCTATGAAAACAAAGAAGCCCTTGGCTGTATGCTCCATGGTCTTCTCGAGCAGCTGACGTACGCTGAATACCATATCCGTGCAGGATATGCCTCGCCGAAAGCCGCAGTGCGATTCTGGGAGGAATGCTGGCCAGGCCCTGTAGTCGCGTCTGAATGAGACTCGCCAGGACCTTACCGACAACATTGAGCAGCGCGATACCACGTCAGTTGTCGCATCAGGTCAGGTCCCCTTTCTTCGGGATCGGCACAAGGGTAGCGTCTACCCACTCTTGCGGCACTTGGCCGGCACGCCACACGGCCCCCGAATAGCTCCACAAGTTTGTTGTTGAGCGACTCACCCCCTGCTTTCACCATCTCCGGCAAGACGCCCGAGGCTCCAGCAGCCTTGCCATTCCTCAAGCAAGCAACGGCGCGGCATACTTCACGCAGCATGGGCGGATCAGCAAGGTCTTCAACAAGCGGTAGTTTGGGGATACCATCCAGCGAATTCGGTGTCCAAGTACTCATGACATTGAGCACTCCAGAGAAGTACCTTCCCCAGCCCTGTCCCTGCTCACTCGGTGACGTGCATACGTTCCCATTCTCATCAACGATCGCTGTTGTCCATACTGGTTGCAGGCCGCGCCCAGCAGACTGAAGGTCATGATTTCACTTCCACACAACAGTGCCATTGAAACGGGAGTCGGTAGTCTCCTGAGCTTTCGATTTTATCCAGTCTACTCTGGCCGTATCAATCGCTGCACGTGCATTCGATCGGGCTGCCTCATGGTGAAACAGAGTGTCTCGCGGCTGGCCACGGTGGAGCCAATCCTCGTAGGCCGCATTTCGTGTGTCCTGTACTTCGAAGTAGATGTTGAATGTTTGGCATGGCTTCATGGAACCAGTCCGGCTGACGTCGTTTGGAAACACACACACACACACACACACACACACACACACACGCTTACTTGTGCTTGTACGTGTAGCTTTAGTTGCTCGCTGCCACAAACTAGTCACGTGTGTCTCCCCACGAGAAGGGAGAGGGTTTCTATTTACTCTAATTTCAGAAATCTTAGGTGCTCAATAACTGTTATTTTCGGTATGAGGGCAAAAGGCCAGGTTAGGTGTAGAAAATTAATTTTGGTACAGAGGAGCAATTCTCTATTGGATTATGTGTGTTAGTGTTTGTTCGGTGTATTGAAATTTTAGGTATGAAATAGATGCACCGAAATTACCGAAAATAAAAGTACACTGAAAATTTGTGAAATTACAGTAAATGGAATCTTGGAAAGATTACTCTGTTGGCTATTGAATGGCCGACATCCCCTGAAGTCCCCAAACTCTGGGTGGACTTGGAAGTGATCCTACTTATGGGCTCACCACACCTCAGTAAGTGGGTGACGACAAGGTGCAGAAAAAGGAGTCACGGCATCATCAAAGTAGGGAGGTTTCGCTCTACGTAATTACGCATGAAAATCCGTATGTCGTACGCGCCGGGGAGCGAGGCCAACTTTCATACGTAAATCTCTCTACGGATTTCCGTAGGAAAGCTGTTTCCTACGTTGAGTCCTCCGTAGGACTTTTTGAAATATTTTGTTTTCGCATTTTCCGCATTTGTCCATGGCAACGTTCAAGCCGCGCGAAACACAAGGTACACACACCGTACACCACGTGCAAAATAAAAAGGGAAACGCGGTTTCGGTTCATGGTGCATGCGGCGGGCGCATGCAGCCAACGCGTCTCCGAAGCAACAACGCATGTTTAGCAGGCGTGGAGAAATCACGTAGAGCGAAACCCAACAGCTCTGATTTTTACGTATGAAAATTCCGTGCAGTTCCTACGTTATTTTCATACGTAATTCCGTAGAGCGAAACCTCCCTAGTATCCGTCCTGGGATCCAAGTGTCGGGTGCCGAAAAACTGGGGGGTCTTCGTAGCACAGGCCTTTCTTATTTCCATGCACTGCAGGCTATTCACAGTGGAGTCACTGTGGGCATACTGTGCTGGTGAAATTCTTAGCGGCCTATGCGTTGCTCGGCACCTGACAGTAGTACTGTGTGCAGCACTCTGACTCATTATTGGTTAGGTGAGGATGTGCGTGCTGTGCTTGTCATGTTTCCAATGCTTTCTTGTAGATGACCTACTTGATAGCATTGCTCTGGATGATGAAGTGATGGAAGTCATGGAGTTGGAAGTAGAGGAGCAGCAAAAGAGGAGAGCTGTGAGTATTGGTTTTAAGTTTGGCAACATGGCCAATATTCATTTTATTCATTTTGAGATGTCGGATTTTTGCAGGCAATTCTGGGAAATTTGTCGGAAGGGAATGGGTCCCAAAGATGCCATGCATTAGCTAAGCTCGATTTGGGCAGCCACTTGGAGGGACTTTGTTCCAATATTGAGAGCTGGACGTGCTGCGTATTAGGAGAATTCTGCTTCCCTTTTTCTCTCCCCGTCTTTTCTTTTTTGCTGGCTTTCCTAGACAAGTCACCTACAGTTCGTAATATGTGTTTTGAATCGTGTGAAAGTAAAACTGGATTGATTAGATCAAATCTACACTTGTTATCACGAAATATCCCAAAGTAGGTAGTACCGGTACACATCCTTGCAGACGTTACATTCCGTAATAGTAAATCCTCCTACCCTTGTTTTGTGCACACTTTCGTGAGCAATCACACCTTGATATTAAAAATGCAGGGCTGCCAGTTTCTTTCTGCCCGTCTGCATGATTGCCGCTTTTGTTGTTTCCGCCTCTTCATTGCATCTGCTGTGCAGGTAACTTCTGGCAGTGAACCCACGGTGCCACACATGACATCTTCTGACCAACAGATCAGTGCTCATGCCACAGGAGTTAGTCCCTGGCTTCAACCTGTTGCTGTAAGTGATGACTCATTGGCTGCTTTTAGACCTCACCTGCTCTAGACTTAGGCCATGGAACATGCGCGATAGATATAGCAACTCTAAAAAAAATTAAAAAAGCATATCTTCATGCTGCAGTCACCTCCTCATTGTCATTGTACAATGTTATCTTTGTTTTTGTGTGGTACCCGTACACACACCTCAGCCCATATAGGAAATATACCTGTATATATGAATCTATTATTGCACGATTAAAGAGGTCAATATATGAAATATAGAACGAGTAAAAGAAAAGACCGAGGTCCCCCGAGGTCTATATTTCATATATTGACCGATTATAAGTTGAGGAAAAAGTTCTAAGTCCTCGGGCTAAGTGGTCAATAATAAGTGGTCAATATAAGCGGTCAATATATGCTGATATTTGACCGCTTAGAGATCACAAGTTTCTGTGGGGGTCAATAATAAGAGAGTGATAAATATATATATGGGGTGCTGTTTCACCGTTCAAAATGTGAGGACAATCCTGCATGAATTGTATAGACTGACAAAGTAAGCATCGTCAGGTTTGGAGTATCAACATCACCTATATTATGCTTTTGGGGAGCATCTCAATGTGTGCGTGTGTGTGCATGCGCGCGCGTGTGTGTGTATGTTATGTGTGTGCGTGCGTGTTACCAGAATGCAGCATGGGTGCCGCGACCGGCCATGACTCCATTCTACATCTACATGAGAGAGTATGAGGAGGGTACGAAGCAAGGCTTTCTAAAGGTGGTCATGGAACGCTACCGAGAATTCAACAAGCTGCCAGCCCGTGTACGTGCCCAATATGAGGAGCTGTCACTGCTAGATGAGCAGCGCTTCTATGAAGAAATGGATGTGTACATGACCAGAGCTGACCAGCGTAGCTTGCTGAGTAAACTGCGTCATGAGGAGCGCAGAACCATCAATACTCACGTTGCCCGTAGCGTTGGTGCAGAGCTCGCTGACTTGAAGTTCCGAACGGATGAAATCCACGAAGAGCTGGACACTCAGCAGCAGCAGGACGGTTGGGCTTTGGCGTAGAGTCTATTTGAGTGACACGCGAATCTGTGTACATTATCGACATTTCTTGTGCTTGTACATATTATGGGGTATTATTGCTGATGACGATGATTATAATAATTTACAACGCTACTTCAAAGTACTCCCAGGTATCTGTAGGAGTTTTTTTTTCGTACCATGCCTTTGAGCCCTGGGGAAAATTCCACTCTTTGGCCATGGCAAATTCCGTGGAATTTGCAAATATTTTGCGGAAAAAAGGTTTTCAGTACGAGCGATGGCCTGGCTGGTTGCACTCACACATGTTCTGCAGAGTACTGGTTTCACCACTGGCTGAGAGGGCTGAAAACCAGGACGTCTGCTTGCCATGCCAACCGGTCTTGGCTAGAGTCAAACCAATCTGAGATCGATTTCACGTCAGCAGCCACTTCTTTCTACACCGGAACTCACTTAGTTCGTACCCGGGTATGATGTACACCTGCTTAGTAAGGTTCTTTTCGTCGCACAGATTTTCCTCTCACAAGCACATATACAAATGTGTGCGGATACCACATACTCTGACAAGACGTACAGCTCGTGTATGACGGACTCTTCAGCAGGTCCCAACAGAGCTAGCCTCACATACGACCTACCTCTGTCTGCACGCAGGCAAAGAAACGACCAAGCACTACAGTCCATTCAGAAAAAGATTATAATTATCCTAACTTTTGGCCATAAACGGGTCAAATTTTGAGTTTTCGTCACATTTTTTTGGCAATCCCCCATGGAATGCTCTTCCAATTGTGTTTTTGAAGTCGATTTCTCCAAAAAGCAAGCCGAATAGGATTTCGGCCAGGTTTTGCCCCCAAGGCACTGAATTGGGGAAAAACCATGAAAATCCAGGCCGTTCACTCCACTGGCATAACAGCACAATTGCAGTTCGAACCCCAGTTGAGGTGCCTTTTTTGGACCCTTTTCAAGTTTCGAATCACTCGGCACTGCACAGTGTACCACAAAATCGCCAAACACGGGAGCTCTCCAGAGCCAGCGCTCATCTTTTTTCTGAATGGACTGTAGCTGTAACAGGACACCATCTTCCGGAATCCAAGCATCATGGCCGAGTAACTCGAAAAGGCGATGGGGCATCGTTACAGGGCGCACGCGTGCACACACACACACACACCGTCACCCCGGCCTCTGCTCTGTAATCACTACAGGGCGCACGCGTGCACACACACACACACACCGTCACCCCGGCCTCTGCTCTGTAATCACTCCCATAAGCGTCCAGTAGGTCCCAAGGCAGTAGTCGAACGCCCGGGAGCGTCGTTTCCAAGAGGTCAGGCTGGGACAAGTGAAGTCTGTGAACTTGGACTGGGCAGAAACAGCTGACCACTGTATAATAGGTCATCAAAAAGAATACTCTTGTCACTATGTACAAGTATACTGACTGCCGCACTTGCTGCTGGTGGTATTGGTATTGGTGGCAGTAGGAGATGGTGTAGCGGGTGCTGAGCTGGATGCAGAGGCAGGGCTGTGATGTATAGCTAAACCTCCACAATTGCGGAGCCATCGGTCATACCACACACACGAAAACGCGTGCCCGTGCGGATTCACAGAAGCATGCGGCTATTATAGTAGTCTCTCTTCAATGCAGGCCTGCCTAGTTAACATTCACATTATCATGGTAATGTAGACCAATCCTTTAGGACTCCTGCGAAATTTACGCTCCTTTCAACAGGCCTTGTTGACCTCGGTGATGACCTGTTATCCGAAGCCTCAATGCATAGAGTTTGATTACTTGGGACCGTCAGATTAATTTATTTGGACCGAGCCAGACGGGAAAAACCGGCCTCACGCCGACGGACGCTGGAATATGGGAAAACCGGGTGTATAATCAGGATAATAGGCCCAAGTGGCAAGGGAGCATAGAACTTTGAAGCACATTAATGACATTATGCATAGGAAAGATGTGAGGGAATAAGATCAGAATGCATAGAAATATAGAAGGCTGGGACCGTGGCAGGAGCACTACCCTTAGTGAGACAATAAGACAAATTGGAGAAGACAAGAAAGTGAAAACTAGATGAAGGATGAAGGAAACACAACGTATGGACAGAAAAAAACTACAAATCTCAAGCTATTCATCGCCGTCATCATCAATAAGGACTCCGAAATTCTTGAACCAGTTTTGGAAAACGTTAAAAGAAACATTGAATCAAGAAAGGCCATACTCGAGGAGGAAAGTTTATGCTGGTACAAGTCCAAGCTGCAATGGACTCCTTCAATTTATTCGCACAGGTTCTTGATTCACAGGCTTCCGGACTAGCAGCATTTCTCCTGTATAAGTGTACCCTTCCTCCCAGACTATGATTATAACTACATAATCTCATTATACTCACTCGGATACTGAGCCAGTAATACTATAATATACATGACATTGTGGTATTACTGGCTCAGTATCATATCATCATGATATTACTGGTATTACAAGTATGTAAAAAATAGAAGAAAAAACACATGATGATAAACTGGACTATACAATCATGTACATTGTACATGTATACGCGTGCTAACGTGTCATGTATTCCATACTCTGCAAGGGATAGATCAGCAGTTTAGCAGACAAACGAGAGAGCTTGGAAGCTCAGGGCCCTACGCTATGCTTTTTTGCCTTGATGACCTAGACAAAAAAAAGCATAGGGATGTTATAAATTCTTTAAAAAATTCTTTTTTTTAAAAGACATAAGGGAGGTTCTGCTCTACGTTTTGGGAACGCGACGCAAAGAATCACGCGAACTTTCTTCGCGTTCCCGTAACGTAAAGAAATGCTGTTCTGCTCTACGTTTCACCTAGAGAAGTCACGTGGAATGTGTACTGGGAATTTCCCCTTCCATATTTGGCAGTTTTCTGCATGCAGTTAATCGATACCCAGCAAATCCGTACGCATTTTCTCTGCGTGTGCCACAACGTAGAGAACCCCATCTCCGCGTAGAAATCTGGAGCCAAAACAGGCGAAGCCGTAGACTCTAACCCAGACACCTGCTCTCTACGTGATTTCTCTACGTTTCACGTATAGCAGAACCTCCCTATTACCTGGGATTCGAACCCGCACTATCGATCACGCGCCCTGCATGCATCCCCCGATACACTTCGCATACATACTAATTCTTCCAAGTTGTTTCACATTGTGATCTTGGATTTGAAAGCCCTATTTGAATATCAAGAGTACATAACCCCCCAGAGTGTGCAACTCCCACATACCCTGCTGTCCCGACAGAATTTCAAGTTGACGTCATTATTTATGACGCAATGCTCCTTGCACCAGTGATTTACAACATGTGTACGGGTGTCAAAGCATCACACGTTTTTCTTTGTAATACTAGGGAGGTTTAGTCCTACGTAATCCGTGGGTACTTTACGTGGGTGTACCACGTGATACTCAGTGACCCACGTACAGACGTTTTCTGATTCACGACATACCGTGTATGGAGGCTCACCCACGTTCCGCCAGAACGTGGGTGAAAATCAGAATGGAGCGCATTGTGCGAGCTGTGAGGGTGCTCAGTTGAAGAAGTTTCCGAAGCACGAAATCAAAATATTGGATGAGCTTCTTAGGCCGGGGTAGCTTCGTCTTTGACCAGGTTTTGGCCTTTAGCTTCATGCTTTTGTTTGTTCCGTGTGACTAAACACAACATTGCAACGTGGGTGCCCTTCATCCACTTTACGTGGATCACCCACGTACGCGTTTCCGTTACGTGGGAACTAAACCTCCCTAATTTGAACAGGATCGATCGGCTTCGGTCAACCACAGGTTCCGGATTCGTCTGATAATCCGTGTACAGTGCGCATTGCATCATCAAAATGACGTCAACTTGAAATTCTGTCGGGACAGCACCCATAGTGGAGTTGCACACTCTTGGGGGGTTATGTACTCTTGTGAATATGCATTGTGGCCAGCCGTCTTTGATGGCACGGTACGGTAGGGGATAGGGACGGGACAGGTACGATCGAGGGTAATACGACACCGTCTCCCGTATCGTACCGTACCATCAAACACAGCTGGCCACATACAGCTGCCCGCAATATTCAAATAGGGCTTTCAAACGCAAGATAATAACGTAAAGCAACTTGGAAGAATGGGTATGAATGCGAAGTGTATGGGGAATGCATGTAGGGCGATAGTGCGGGTTCGAATCCCAGGATATGCCTGAAAAAAAAAGGAGAATTGAAAAATTTATAACATCCTATGCTTTTTTGCCGTCAGATACGGATAGCGCCAGGCGTGACACAAACAAACACACAAACAAACACCAAATTAAAGCTGTGTGGACCCTGGCTAGCGCCAGACGTTACTGAAGTAACGTCTTCTGCATAGCTACGGGAATTAAAATGATTGAAATACGCTCTCCGTGTCCAGGGTGACTCAAGTTTCCACCATCATGATCCTCTTCGTGAGAGGCAGCTGACTCCAGCATTTTTGGGTAGAACAGAGTGAACATCCCCTACAGTCCATTCATAAAAAGATGGGCCCTGGCTCTGGGGAGCTCCCGTATTTGGCGATTTTTCGTGATTTCATCGTACACAGTGCAGTGCTGCGAACTCTGAAATTTGAAAGAGGGTCCAAAAAGGTACCTGAACTGGGGTTCGAACCGCACAATGCACTGTTGCAGGCGGGGTCAAACGGCCTGGCTTTTGATGGTTTTTCCCGATTCAGTGCTTTTGGGGCAAAACCTGGCCGAAATCCTATTCTTGCTATGGCTTACTTTTTGGACAAAAAAACTTCAGAAACATAATTGGAAGAGGATTCCATAGGGGATGGCAGAAAAAAATTCTAAAAAAACTCAAAGTTTGACCCATTTTTGGCCAAAAGCTAGAAGTCCATCTTTTTCTGAATGGACTGTAAGCACGGACTAGTTTGCCTCCCAAAAATCTGAGGATCATCAGACGAATTCGAAGACATGATGACTGAAACAACACCACTACACTGTACAGTGTCTGTACTTGCATAGGACTGACTACATGTAGGGTGAATTCGATTTCTGGAAAAGTGAACTGATTTCGTGCAGAGCAAGCGCATCTACATGTATAGCAGTGGCGGGGCAAGCGTTATACGAAGACTCCTCTTTGTCTTCTTTGTGGCAGCTACACTAGTTCTTTTGAAGCAAATAGTAACTTTACTACAGTTAGTAATTACCCGTTTATCCGACCGCTAGAATTCAATAGTTATGAAACCGTTCGGTTTGCGGTTACAGATAGCTTTTCATGCGCATGTATAACGTCACAGTGCATGATGTACACACATGTACATGTATACTCTTGATGATACAATCTTGTACTTCAGAAGTAGCACTCCTATTACTATTAGGCATAATCGCACAGTCAGATGTGTGAATTATCAAACAACTTTTTTGTAGAAGTCACATCAACTGAATTCTGGGAAAACCTTCTAATCACAACTCCATGTGCGACACAGACTCACGCTGCTGCTTGGTGCTCACGAGGTGTTTGTCGCGCTGGATGCAGAGCATCTCTGTAAGTATGCATCCCTGGTGATGGTTTGGCCTGGAGAGCACTATATCAAAGTGGTGCTCTTCAGACAAAATCTTCCTCAGCCTACTCAAGCTAAACTGATGAGGGATGAATTCCCCAAAACACTGTGTATTGAGCAGGGAGTGGTGCTTTCTTGCAGGTTTGCTCAGTGGAAGGTTTGACAGGCTTCTCGTGTGCTCCAGACGCAGTCGTGAGTCAGTCACGTGTCAAGTCAGTCAGCAGGAAGTGCGAGCTCCAACGTTCAAAGCAGACACTTTCTTCACAAATTACCGCCGATGTCGCAACATCTTAGCTCGAACTTCTAACCAGACAATATTATTCGAACTGTGCCATATTCAAATTATCAGGATTCCACCTGTACTCATATGTACAAGTACAGTCATGCTTATTGCTAGAACTGGACGTCGGGCCTTCCTACAATAGGAGGGGAGTGAGGGACTGAGAGTGAAGGACAGGGAGGGAGGGAGAGAGAGATAGAGAGAAAGAGAGAGAGACACACACACACACGCAGAGGGAGAGAGAGAGAGAGGAGGAGGAAACCTGATCCTAGAAAGAGGAGATTTAACCCGCTACTGCCTAGTACACATACACTCCAACGTCTCTTATCCGGATGCCTCAGATACGGGCACGTCTCTCTACCGGGCACCTTCAGCTTGAGTTCCATGGCAAAATTGATTCGAATTTGGGGGTTTTGAACTTTTTTTCGTATGCGCCAGTGCCTATTTGTCACTGCCAACCAGTGTAATCCACACATGTTCATCAGTGTATTATTTTTTTATCCTGAATATGCGCAATACGTGCCAAATAAGCTTCTTCAAAAACTGACAAGATACATGGTAGATGAGCTGTCCTGAGATACGGGTAGTGCCCGGTCCCAAGGCGCCCGGATAAGAGACGTTCGAGTGTACGCCCATCTGGAACAATGCACCCATGCATATCCTTCATACAGAATTGTAGCGAAAAGTACCACGAGAGCACCACCCCACCACCCTTTCGTAGCTGTGTTTCGGAGGTGGATTCTGTCTGTAGGTCATACAGCCCATGCCTTGTACTTGTATACACATTGCACTCTTTCAACCCCTTCCCACCCGCCTGCCATTCAATATCTAAAGAGAAAAGGACCTATAGGTTACTAGCTATGACTAACAGTCCACCAAGGTAACGAGATCAGATAAAATAGTCAGATAGTGCGACAGCAAGGCACAAACTGACAAGGATATTCACACATTCGACGACCTGACACCTAGTTCCAACACATCTACGAAGCGCAAACGAACAACCTTCCAACTTGGAAGGCTCAGGTGCGGAAAGTTCCAATGAGGGGAAGGGATGCGCCACGAAGATGTGCACGAGTTATGTCACTTGGCAACATAGAACGTCGAATGTTACGGGATGATCATGATGAGACTAGTAAGACCAATGGACACACCGGTCCAACTACAACTCGACAACGCAAGGCGACAGACCACCCAACTTAGGAGGCTCAAAGGTATGTAAAAATACATAAAGAGGGGAAGCCAAGCGAAGACGAACTGTCACAAACCGAAAGCCAATATCCTACTAAACTCCATGTTGATGTAACGATGATCATCATCCCGTAACGTTTGACATTCTATGTTGCCAGGGACATAACTCGTGCACATCTTCGTGGCACATCCCTTCCCCTCATTGGAACTTTCCGCACCAGAGCCTTCCAAGTTGGAAGGTTGTTCGTTTGCGCTTCGTAGATGTGTTGGAACTAGGTGTCAGGTCGTCGAATGTCTCAATATCCTTGTCAGTTTGTGCCTTGTCGTCGGACTATGTGACTGTATTTTATCTGATCTCGTTACCTTGGTGGACTGTTAGTCATAGCCAGTAACCTATACTAGTAGGTCCTTTTCTCTTCGAGTAGATATTGACTTCAATATTCAGCACCCAGTAGTACCTGGCGATTCTCCATGTGCGTTCAATACTTATTTCCAAAGTGAAACTCTTAAAACCCACCCACCACCAAACGAAAACATTTCGTTGGGAAAAAAAAACATTTGGTAATTTGCAAACCTTGGACAGCCAGCCCCATAGGTTCTTACAACGTACAAACTTAAGGGTTGTCGCAAAAGTTGTTTTGTCCCTGCAACGGACATCGTCCATGGGGGAGGGGGACAAAATAACAAGTCGACCGACACCCTCAAAGTACGGACTGAACGAAGTTTGTTTCAGGGACGACAAGCAACTTCTGCAACCCCTCTAAAGTTGCACTCTATCATACGATGTCCTTTCCCTGGCTGTAAATCTAGGAAGGGCAGGCGTTCCCGCAAGACAGCTCTTGCAGTACTATACGGTAAAAGTGCCCGCATTCATAAGTTGTGATATCAAGTCAACATACGAACAATAGTGTAAGGGATCTGAACGTTTTCTATGATGGAATTGTGAATCGATTGTCGTTTTATGCTCATGTTTTTAATCGGTATGTGTACTATGTACTACTGTAATATGGAGCAGTAAAATGTTATCATAATAAAAAAAACAACAACACTGTACAATCAAAACGAAACTAGATGCATGAGACGAATGAAACCATTACTCCAGTGAGCCAAGATAACTAAGCTGCTTCAGTACCTTGCCTTGACTAGTTTCCCGGATCTCACCAGCCAGGAACATCTCATCCACCACTGAGTAGACTTTGTAGAAGTTGAACACCAAATCCAGTTCACAGACGTTGTGGAAGAACTCGTTCAGAACTTCAACGAAATTGTGAATGGCTTCCAAGTAAGCAAGGTTGTTGTCGTAAACATCCACACAGATGCAGAAGTACAAGCCAGCATAGCGACGATATACAATCTTGAACTGGCGAAACTCAACGAAATTGGTATGCTTTGAATCTCGGACTGTCACCAAAGCATGAACTTCCTCAATCAACTTCTGCTTTTCGTCATCCTCAAGCGGAATGTACCATTTGGCTAAGCGAGTCTTTCCAGCACGATTCTGGATCAAAATAAACCGGATCATCTTGCTGTCTCGAAAGCAAACATCAGCAAAGACCCGTCACTCGGATATAGAGTGTGGCAAGCTTGCCACTTTTTGTGTTTTGCCCTTTCACTTTTTGGTGGGCTTGCTGCCAAGCAAAAACTTGAAAAAGCTGTAAACTCTGCCTGTGACTCTTGTGTGAGTGGTATGGTTGTGCTCACTGAGCTGAGCAGCAGTGCTGTGCATCACTGCCATCAGCACCCCCACGATGCACGAAAGTGCCAAACAGGAGCATGCATCGCGCTACGAACGTCCGAGCGGCGCGGCAGCCCAGGTACTAAGTGCTGGCTAGCTAGCTAGCGCTAGCTGGCAACGATTCACGATAACGGCGCGGCGCGGTGCCATAATGCGGTAGCCCTGCGCCCTCCGCCGCTCGCTTGTGCACAGCGCGCTAGCGTGTGGTAACACTAACAGTTGAGTTATTACATGCACGTGCGCACGTGATCATGCTCACAAGCACAGCATGCAGCATATCGCGACATGTCGACAGATCAACACGACAACACTCAACAGCATGGTACAGCTTCAGAGTGCAGGGTCGACCTGGGGCTGGTGTTTTGACTCTTGACTTGAGGAGCTCCGGCAGTTCTCGTTGTTGGAAGGAGATTCCTGTAGAAATTTTTAGTTTTTGCTCCTGTTGTGCTATTGCTTCGCTAGGAATAATTTTCTTTAGTTTAGTTGCTTGGGCGTTTATTCAGCAGGAGGGCGAAGAAAATGTCTGACCAAAACGGTGATTCTCCTTCGTTCCGTGTGCGAATGGCTCAACGATCGAATGCAATTGCTGGCTCCGCTGCAATGCACGGACAGAACCCCATGCAACATGGGTTGGTTGGGTTCAATATCCTCAGAAGGGCTCATTTCAATAAGGTAAATATGACTCAACGGAAGTTTCTCGTTCCACGAGTTCCGTAATTTAAAAATCAACATTCTGCATGAGAAGAGCTGCCCAGTACAATTGCCATGGTAGTGCAGTATCTTGGGTTCAATCATTCATGCTGCTGCGTGTGCATGTGCTATCAGCTTGCTGTTGTATCCTCCGGAGAAGAGGGGATGCTGGCTACACGCACATATGTGTTTAAGAGGGTATCGACATCAATAGCTTGCTTGTGCATACCAGCAGTACACTATCCCCAGAACATATGCATACATCATATGTATAACTCTAACGACAGCACTAGTAATATTCATTATTACTGTCGTGGACATGGAAATCCAGTCAATTGACCGGGGCCGGCGCCCCTCAGCGCTTACAGAACGTTGCATGCAGTGCACATGTATTGTTGGTCCAATGCGACCAGTGCATAAATCCATGGCTGCATGGCCAGTGTCCTTGGGCCGCTAGACGTGCGACCCGATTTCCATGTCCACGACAGTACATAGTAGTGGAGAATTAAAATATCGCCACTACGGGGCGGAGAAATAAAATATCTCCACTACACCTGTACATCGTACATGCACAGCAAAACCTCTCTTTACCGGACGCCCCTGGTACAATAGAATCTATCCTGATAATTAGGACAAGATTCCTCGTGATACAGGGAGGCATGTGCAACCCACGATATGCATGTGGAATTGATCAACATGATGTCATTTTTGGCTATGCGCTTCAACCAAATCAATATATCATGAGCAAGGTATATTCACACACATGCATACACACGCACACCCGCGCGTGCGTGCACTCATGCGTGCTCTTCTATGTACATGTGCATGGCTTGTGTACAATGACTACGTGCATGTACATGTCATGTAGATCAATCACAATGATATCATATGTGCAATGTGCTGTTGAAGACTTGAAGATGCATCACGCTTTCACATGATCGTACTCCTGCGCTGCATGCAGTCCACGCTGTGTACTAGGGTCCCGCGACCTGCAAAACGTGTCCGCACATGTGAAAGTTCATAGGGCACGGTACATCGCTAGCTCGTGACAGGTGAAAACTGGACTTGGTGCACGAAATCCGTTCCGCTTTCCACTTTCGACAGTATTCCGCTTGTTGCGGGGAGTTTTCTATGGCAGCATGTCCGGTAAACTCAGGTTGTACTGTAGCTGTCTTTCGTGCTCGTCGTAGTTCTGTGCTTTTCACAAGCTGTGTAGCAGTACTGCTGTGAGATCTCGCCCAGTTTGCGTTCAGACTAGCGTTCAGAACAGGGGTGAATCGGTGAATGCCGTTCACACTCCTGCTTAAGACAGCTCCCTGATATTCCTGTCAGCAGGATGCCGAAGCATGATCACAGCATCCTGCCTGCACCATCAACTACAGTAGTCATCGTATCCTGGTCGCAGTGAGGTATTGATCACATCAGTTGTGCCCAGCCTAGTTGAATGTGTGGTGCCACCGGGTGCAGTTTGTACAAACAAAGAGTGATAATAGCTCGTTTCCTGTTCTGGTTGGAGCCACACTAAACACACACGCACACACACACACACACACACACACACACACACACACACACACACACACACACACACACACACACACACACACACACACACACATGGCTGCCTGCCCGTGGTTGTACCAGCTTACAGTAAGCATAGTCCAATGATGGACCAGTCCTAGTTATTTATGTTTCAACTCTTGTACTGTTTTCCGTGCTCAGGGCTCCGCATTCAGCTTGCAAGAGCGACAGATGCTTTGCCTGCACGGTCTCTTGCCACCGCGTGTGATGGCGGAGGATGACCAAGCGGCACGCATCATGAACGGGTTGCGCAAGCGAAGCAGTGATTTGGACCGCTACACCGATCTCATGGACCTGCTCGGGCGTAACGAGAAGCTCTTCTACCGTGTCCTATGTGACCACATTCAGGAGCTGATGCCCATTGTGTACACTCCGACGGTTGGAAAGGCTTGTCAGGAATATGGAAACATTTTCCGCCAGCCCAAGTAAGTTTGGTTGTCAGGATGATTGGTGCACATGTGATTGTGATACTTCAACTGCTTGCTTGAGGGACAATTCAGAATGGGGAAATTTAGGATCTATGCTGTGTATTGTACTCTGTGTGACAGATAACATGCTTTTTGACATACAGTAAAACCTGTAACTAAAGACCACCGTGACTAGCGACCAGCCTGGTACTACCGACCACTTCACCAGGCACGGACGGTCTCACATTCAAAATTCACTGTGACTAGCGACTACCTGCTGAACGCGACCAGTGACCGCCTTTTCGTGTCCCAAAGACGATTTTTGACCCGTAACTAGCGACCGCAATGTAGGAAATCAAAATGTTGCTCGAAGCTCCTTCTTGAAATTTGATGATTTTCCGTGGTCCTGAAAGGAATCTTTCGATACCACAGCTGAAGAAATGAACGCAGGTCGTTTTGACTGTGGAGTCGGTGTGAACTGCACTACACCTGTCAGAATTTCAAGCTCTGTCAAGAATAGACATGATAGGAAACGTCTTGGAGAGCGCATCGAAAGCTCTCTCTTATCGATGTTTACTACTCGGAGGAGAAACGAAGACTGAGCGGCTCTGTCACCCCAGTCATACAGACGAATCAACGATGGCATAAAGGAATCCAAAAACAAAGCAGCACCGCAAGGTCCTGATGCTGAAGGGTCGCGTTCAAGCAATCGAGAAGTCGCAACAAGGACAGTCGGTACGATTGATCGCATGAACAAATTTGAAGCCCAGCGCAAAACGAAATTTCCACAGGGAACGTTTGACTCCTGGCTTCAGAAGTAGGAGCCGAATTTGATGTCCGCAAAAAATAATCTTCTCTCTCTCTCTCTCTGCCTCTCTCCATCTCCCCGTCTTTCTCTCCAAGTGTTGTTTGACCTGAAATAAGAATGGCATTGCGCAAGTCTTGGGGAATTGTATTAGCTGCATTTTGATATACATATCATATAATGGGATCCATATATGGTCGCGTGGTGCAAACCTCTAACTAAAGACCACCTGCTACTAAAGACCGCTTTTGCTGGCACCAAGGGGTGGTCGGTAGTCACAGGTTTTACTGTACATGTACATTGTAGTATTGTGCGTGCATGTTTAGACATTTGTATACGTAATTTGTAGAACTACATGGAAGCGTTTCCCATTTTTGAATGTAGTGTATGTGTGTGGACTGCGTTTAAAGATCTGGATATAGGAGAATTTGTTCCTTACTATTTGGGGTTGAATTACCAGGATCCCACCTGCAGTGCAATAGAAACCATCTAAGATTCAGGCAATGAGGTGAGATGGAAGGAATAAATTTCTGTACTGCATCATTGTTTGTAAATCCTCTCTCTCGTCTCCCTCCCCCTCTCTCTCTCTCTCTCTCTCTCTCTCTCTCTCTCTCTCTCTCTCTCTCTCTGTTGCTCTTCTTTGGTTGCCATGCACAGAGGTCTATTCATCACCATCCACGACCTTGGTCATGTTGAGTCTATTCTTGCTAACTGGCCAGAAAGAGACATCAAGGTACATGTCCATATCTAGCACTGACTCTACTTTCTAGACATCGTCACAATGTGCCGCTGGGTGGGAGGTCATTTGTGTTGAAATCTTCCCATCAGTTTCTTGTGTATTAAGTTGTTCTGTACTGTTGTCTTCACTTCTTGCAGGCCATTTGCTTCACAGATGGTGAGCGAATCCTTGGTCTTGGTGACCTGGGCTGTGATGGTATGGGTATCCCAGTGGGCAAGCTGGCCCTCTACACTGCCTGTGCTGGTATCAAGCCACATAACTTGCTTCCAGTCATCCTGGATGTCGGCACAGACAATGAGGTTGGTACATTGCTCTCTAGTACGAAGTACGTGACATGTCTTGCTAGTATGTGAACCATGTACAGTTGAGCTCAATGACATCTGTTCTTGTGAATAGGTGTTATGGTGAGGTTAGGGCTGGGTTCCATTTAGAAGTGAAGCAATTGTACCGAGTATTCGACTACTTGCTCTGTTTGAAGTTAAAATTAAATCATACTCTGAATAAATGCGAGTACTCGTCCATGCGTTGTACATACATTCACTGCAGAAGTCAACAGTTTCAAAGCAGCAAACAGTAGATATTGATGTGCACGCTGTATCGTGAACATTGCTACAGGAGTAGAGAGAACCCAAATCACCCATCCATCAATGTTGAGTTAAGAAGTACGTCTGATATTTTAAAAGTACGCTTTCCTGCTGTCCATGCGGGTACAGCTTAGGCCATGGTAAAAAATAAAGTTGATTCTCAGGTCATGAGCCTGTGGAAATCGGTGCGAGCGAGCGATTTTTTATTTTAATTCCCACAATTTTTTTATTTCCAAAGATAGGGTCACACATGTGTACGTCACAGGTTCATAATTAATTTATAATTATTTTATTATTCAGGCCAGGGAGTAGAAAAATACCGGTATTTTACTACTCCCGGATTCATGCCTTTCGCATTGCCCGTTTTCATGCACGCATATGCATGCATAGAAATAAAAAAAATCGTCGGTGCGCCACCAAAAATCGATGCGCGCGTACTTGAGAATCAAAGATATTTTTTACCATGGCCTTATCAGAGTTCTACTGTACACGTACTCGAATACTCGAATAAGTATTTGATCAGAGAAAATGAGAGCACTCGAGCTTGGGATCTCACTGCAAACGTTCACCCCTACGAAGTAGTTCTATTGCAGTGGGGTGAGGCAGAACCTCACCTTTTTTTCTGCTTGGGTCCTTGTCAACGCTTCCACTCACCACAGCTGCCGACCACTCGTGTTTTTTTGCTCTCTTTACGTCGTTCTTTAGGAATTGCTCCAGGATCAATTCTACATTGGTCTTCGGCAGAAGCGTGACCGCTCTGATCGTTATGATGCTCTCATTCGTGAGTTCATCGAGTCTGTTATGGACTGGTAAGGAACGGTGTGCGGGTGTGTGTGTGGAACTTTCAAGCTGTTCTACCATGTTGGTACAGTGTGTATGTTCTGCATCAAGTTTGCAAGAGTATTTCACTTGAGGATGCACCATTTTGCCTGCACTGATTCCCTCTGTCTCTCTTTTCTCTCTCTCTCTCTCTCTCTCTCTCTCTCTCTCTCTCTCTCTCTCTCTCTCTCTCTCTCTCTCTCTCTCTCTCTCTCTCTCTCTGCAACGTTGTGAAGGGCATAACTTACCAGTTTTTTCTTGCCCGACTCTGGCATTCATATACGAATTCTTCTTGTTTTTCTTTCTGTTTTCACACTTAGGTTTGGACCCACAACTCTGCTGCAGTTCGAAGACTTCGGCAATAGAAATGCATTCCGTCTGTTAAACGATTACCGCGATGTCTGCTGCACTTTCAACGATGACATTCAAGGTATGGGTGTACTTTCAGCGTTGTTTGTCAAGCTGTGTGTGTGCATGTGTGTGTGTGCATGTGGGTGGGTGTGTGGGTGCTTGCGTGCGCTTGTGTTTCATTGGCCAGCGCTGGGCATGGCAGGAGATGTGACGTATGTGAACATCGTTCAGACGGAGACACACCACCATGGAGTGGACCAATTGTACTTCAAGTCTTGTATAATTGCTTTCTTGTGCTTCTTTGCTGTCAAAGGTACCGCTAGCGTTGCACTTGCTGGTATCTGCGCATCGCTGAAGCTGACCAAGAAGACACTGGCTGACAATGTCTTCCTGTTCCAGGGTGCTGGAGAGGTACGTATACTCTATAGAAACTCATGTGAAGACTGGGCGTTATTACGCAATGCTTTGTCCTGGTCCCAATCTGGCATTGCTTTGCAAATTTACGTTTTATTTGCACATCACACACGGAATACGCTTCTGTCAGGAGGGACTTTCCCAATCAAGCTGGTTCAAAGTGTATGCGCACGATGTTAGTGGTTTCATGTAGTTTAAACTAATTTTTAGTGCATCGCTGCTTTCCTGGAGCTGGCCTTACGTAATTACTTGCATTTCGAAGACCCAGCTTTCTTTCACGAACATGCTACTTGTGCCTGTATTGTATTTGGCTAAATCTCATTCTGATCCTCTTTTCCGAAAACAAGTTCCGGGATATCAGCTGCAATCCAACTTTCGTGTTGTGTAACGTTCCTGTTGTTGCGTGGTGGTCTGTTGTTTCATGTTGTTCAGGCTGCTATTGGTATTGCCATGTTGATTGTGGCCGCACTGAAGCAAGAAGGTGTCAACGAGGAAGATGCGAGAAAGCGCATCTGGCTTGTGGACTCAAGAGGATTAGTTGTCAAGGTAAGAATGTCAATGCCGGTGATGAACTTGAAATCATCTCGCCGCTGCCGTCATTGTCTTGCGTGATGCAGAGTAGACCTTTGAGGCAATTTGAAAGTTATTAGACACCCTTAGCAAACAACGTTATGTTGTAACGGTAATACCGTAAGGGGGAAAATATCGTGATTTGGACTCGACCTTTAGCAAGATGCACGCTATTTTTAGTACGCTGTTGCCACGAGAACAGATTTTACTTCGCGCGGTACAACTAAATTTTATGTCACCGTATACGCGATACAAGGTGAAATGCGTACGGACTATGCAATATTTGGCCGAAAAACGTACCGTTGATCACAACGATAAATCAGCCCCCATAACGTTTTTACGCTGCAGCTTCAACGCTATTTGGGTGATCAAGGTACGAGTACCGTAAAAAAAATAAGCGTTACCGTTGTTTGCTAAGGGTGTCTATTGCCTGCAATCTTGGTACCGTATTTCCCCGTAAGTTAGTACGTACTAACTTTCGAACTTAGCAGCCACATGAGTACTAACTTTCGGGGGTGGTACTACCTTTCGGGGAGTACTTTTTTTATCGGGGGTAAATGACCCGCAATGGGAAGCCTGCGCAACTCTAGTGTCCGTGCATATGATGTATGTACTGTACGGTGTCTGTACATGTAGGACGGGTACGAACTTACTATCTTTCGGGGGGAACTGTCTTTCGGGGTGATAACCTCGGCAGTGGAAAGTGTATTTTTTAAAGGGGGGATACTAAGTCATTGGGGAGAACTTACTTACGGGGAAATACGGTATATCAGTGATATAATAAGAACAACACTTCTTTGCCTCTTTGTTATTCCCATTTCGTGTTTCAGAACCGTGCAAAGGGTGGAATTGAGGGAACTCACAAAGTTCCTTTTGCTCATGAGCATGCGTATATTGAGACCCTTCAGGAGGCTGTGGAAGTATTGAAGCCAACGTGTATTGTCGGTGAGTAAATGCTTGCTTCGCTTAAACCTGATCCCGTTCTTTGCTTAATTTTTGTACTTTTGGTCTGATCAACTATTAATTCCACCTTATATAAAGGCTGTTGCTGTATGTTGATGTTCTTTCACAATCGCAGGTGTAGCAGCTGTGCCCCGTGCATTCACAAAGGAGATCTGTGAAACAATGGCCAAGAACCACGAGCGACCCATCATCTTTGCGCTCAGCAACCCCACCAGCAAAGCCGAATGCACTGCAGAGGAAGCTTACAGCTGGACCCAGGTTTGTCCATTCACGTTCTTTTCTTCCTTTTTTTAAATTGCATCCCCCCCCCCCCAACACACTTTACAAGTAACCGATGCAATGCAGTGTGTCCAAAGTACACTTCCCGGTAATACCTGTAGGTATGTATGCCATTGATCCTGGGGTGGCAATGTCCCTATGAATGCATAAAAGCCATTGTGACTGGGCCGTAAGCCATGAAATGTTGTGATGTTTTCATGCTTGAAAGGATATGACTTGTCATGACCACTGTGTCTTAGTGCAGTACGCATGCTTCCTTCAAGCCTGATTCTGCACTCGAAAAAGGCACTTGTGTAACCCCTTTATTAATAGTGAATGAAAGCTCTTGAAATAGTGTTTATAGCTATGTTGTTGGTGCTGGTGTTCATTGTGCTTCTGCTGTTGTGTTGTGGCAATGTGCTTGGAATACGTCAGGGCCGATGTGTATACGCATCAGGCAGTCCGTTCAAGGATGTCGAGTATGAAGGCAAGCGCTTCGTCCCCGGCCAGGGTAACAACTGTTACATCTTCCCTGGCGTGGCACTCGGTATCATTGCCTGCCAGGCCAGGCACGTCACAGATGAATGCTTCCTGGTCGCCGCACAGGTAGGGTATGCTGTGATCTTGTCGCACGCTAGATTGGTGGGCTTGCTCTCTCTCTCTCTCTCTCTCTCTCTCTCTCTCTCTCTCTCTCTCTCTCTCTCTCTCTCTCTCTCTCTCTCTCTCTCTCTCTCTCTCTCTCTCTCTCTCTGTTGTTCTTCTTTGGTTGCCATGCACAGAGGTCTGCTCATCACCATCCACGACCTTGGTCATGTTGAGTCTATTCTTGAATAGATAGGGTTAATACAATCCCATAATCCTATGTTCAATGCATTGTGTAGTTGAGACTGTGTACAGGAGATCTAGTGTGCAGCTACCCTTTGATATCAGTGTGCATACTGGCGTTGTACTGCTGCTGTAGTGCATACTAATTATGAATATGTATGGGTACTATGCTGTAGCCAAATAAGCGTTTACTCCACGATTAGATTCTACTAATCCTTCATTGCATTGGCTTTACTGTGTGCAGTCCCTTGCAGCCCTAGTCGAGGAGTGCGACCTGACGCTAGGACGCGTCTATCCATGCCTGGACAAGATCCGCGAGGTCTCGACGCAAATCGCCATTGATGTTGCCCGACTCTGCTACAAGAACAAGTTGGCGTCGGCTTTGCCCGAGCCTGATGACCTGTCCAGCTTCATCCGCAGTCATCAGTACACGACCGACTATGAGAACTTTGTTCCCGACGTTTACTCATGGCCAAATGGCAAGCTTTAAGTGCTTCCGTCACAGACCCCTTTCTTTCTGTATATAGGCAGTGTGTACTTTTGAATAGCTGTGTTTGATTTTCATAGCCGTTGTTACTTTTTCAATTTGGCACAGACTTTGTGCCTTTTAGGCAAGCCTTTTGCATTCTTTTGCTAGCTCTTTTCCTATATTTTTCCGTCAGTATTTGCATTATCCACAACATTGCCAACAGTTGGTGAGAGTGCTTTATTACTTGTGATTCTTACTCTTTTTTTATGATTCTTCTCTGCTGGCTTAATATCGGCTGGCAGTTCGTGATATCCTTTCTCTCATCTTTTGTGTCCCTTTTGGTCAGGCTCTGTTACCTGGACTGCAGGATCCTCTTCTTGTTGAAAAATGGTGCTAAGAATCTACTGGAGTTGGTATTGGATTAGTAATATACTATTAGATATAGTATAATTGGTTCAATCGTGCTAAGTACCATTCAGCGCATCCTTGGTGGCGTTGATAGACTGTCCTTTTTTTCTTTTTCTCCTGGCCTTGCAGTGTCTTCCGTTGTAGTAGTTTTTTTCTTCTCCTTCCTCTTTTTCTATCATTCTGATGTAGCGTTGGGTTTTGGTGAGCTGTGAAAACCCAGCCACCGCCCTTACACCGTACTATTGCAGTATCATTATTCCCATTCCACTACCATGAAAATTAATATTTATTGTATACTTCAATTGCCTGCCTGCATGTGTGTGTGTGGGGGGGGGGGGGGGGTGGCGGTGTTCCTACGGATGTCTGACTGGGTCGCATGTGAACTGTGAAGTTGGTTATTTAGTGTGCACATGATGTTTCATCCCACCCACCCTTCCAGGAAACTCCCCTGATAAATATCCATTTACTTTTGGAGGATCCTTCGAATAAAGTCTGAATGGATGATGGGTATTTTTATCTTGCTAGGTACATGCAGGTGGTGACCATAACATGCATAGCATGGGTTATGCTGCTAACAATCTTGATGCGAAGCAAGGTTGAAAGAACCTGAACCTGGATCGATGGCAGCCATGGTAATGATTTGGGCGCATTATTGTTCTGTACATGATTTTAAAGATTCAAAGACAAGGTCGCACGTGCAGATACCTTCAGCACAGTGAAAATAATAGTTAACCTTATGCACAGTCACTTTGAGAATTTCACCGATGCTCTCCACAAATCTCTAGACTTTCCGTAGTCCTTGACTTTGGGATGAAAGTAGACAAAGAATAAGTACGCCGACTCGCCGACCCGATCCAGATTATAACCTGGCTGCGTTGCATCCACTAAAGCTGGATACCACTGGCCACTGGTGCCATCGCTGTGGTGTGTGCTCCATGTCTGTATGCTGGTCACGTTCATGATGTAGAACGGATCACTCCACGTGATCAGATTGTCAGAAAGGGCGAAGCAGAAAGCCTGCGTCGGATGCGCTGGGTCTCTGTACCTTTCATGATTCGTGTGCGAGTGCATGTGTGCATGCTTACCAATGCCCTCTGGGACACATTGTGGTGTGGAGGGACTAGACAGGTCACAATGGCATGTGCCGACGAGCATAAACTTATTATAGAACGTGCTGAAATACAAGGAGAAGCGGAGGGAGTTGTCTCGTTGCGGTATGATATGGCAGATGTGTTGGTTCGGATCACCCCCGGACTTTTGCAGAGTGTACGGGTTGACCATCTTAGCATTGTAACCAGCACCATCCCAAGCATACCAAGAGGTAGGGTCTGACACGTTGTTGGTGCGAAACACGCACATTCCATCTGGTGCCGTCTCCTCCTTGCTAGTCTTGTTGCCGTACAGTGACTGTGAGCGCAATGCCATGAAGTAGAACATACCGTCGTTGGGATTGCGCACAATGCCGGTGTTCTGGGCCAGGCCTACCCGATGACCCATTCCCTGCACAGAACCAGCAGTGCATGTACATGTACAGTGGGTATTGCTCGTATCGCTGATGATCATGTCAAACTACTAGAACAGAACTCACATTAGCAGTGACTGACACACATACCCAGGAGAAAACACTCAGGAGTACATGTTTTGCATGTGTGCATGTGGGTGGCAACTGTTCATTGAAATGGGGAAACAGCGCATCACCTACAATTGCAGAACACTGCGACTTGTTGAAATTCGCTAACACGGGTACGTCACTCCAATAAAACCGATACACAACACTAAAATTGAATGTCAGCACTTCGGCTCACTATCTTCTCTTCAGCAGTGTATGGCATATTTCATTAAATGCTCCCGATTTATTGTTCACAATAACAAGCCAGCAACTCTGGATTTTGCAAGCTAAATCTCAACTACTTTTATAGCTCTCTCACCTGTGGGTATGTCTGTGGAAGTGCAGCAACAATACGCTCTTCAAGCGGATGCAGCTGGAAGGTCTTGCCTGCATCATAGCTGACAGCGCCAAGGAGAGTGCAATACCAGCAGTCATCCATGATCTGTGCATAGAAGCACACGGCACACTGTGAGACGCGCATGTGTGGTATTTAGTGCCAACACGCCCAGCTGGAAGAAAAACACTTGCATTGAATAATATTGCCCCGACTTTGACTTTTAAACTAAGCACTTCCACCACGCATGTGTACGTGAAGCTAACTTGTCAACAGCTAGAGCTTGATTCCATGCCACACATTGCTAGTGGCTGTTCAATGCTGAGTACTCGTGCTCCTCACACGACAGCTCCACACGTATCTTTTTTTGTGGTCATACACATGCATCAGAGATGGATGTAGATCTGCACCACATGATGTGCATGTACCATATTTTCCGGAGTATAAGCTGCACTTTGAACACTCAAAAAAGGGGGTGCAGCTCTATACTCCGATGATCAAATTGACGGTGATAAATAGGGTGGATGTCTGTGTTTCGTGGCAAAAAATGGGGTGCGGCTTATACTCCGGAAAATACGGTATTGTTATGAGTTCAACAAGTTTCTGCCATTTCTGATGGCTAACAAGTTTCTGCCATTTCTGATGGCTAACAGGTTTCTGCCATTTCTGATGGCTAACAAGTTTCTGCCATTTCTGATGGCTTATCAACAACTTACGTGAGTCGGGCACAGTCCGGAAACATTGTGTCGTTCACCGTGAAACTCATCGTGGACGATAGCATGGATAGTCTTCCCGTCTGCTGTGTAAACCGCCTGGATCCACAGCTGGTCATCGAACTGAGATGGATCTGCGTTGAAGCCACTGGTCATTAGTGGCTGGTGACAGTCACGCACCATGGTGGCGTTATCCGGATTCAACATTGTGCTGATTAGGCGATGGCTGGACAGTGAGTTGACTGCTATGATCTGGCGGCATTAGCACAATGGACAGGAGACTGAAACACAGTGAGATAGCTAGCCGTGTACGTGTGAGTTAAGTGCCAGGATTGGGATAAGAATGCCGGCGGGAGAAAATGGAAAGAGCTTGAGACGTACTGTGGATAGGATGAGAAAGAAGAGAACCCTTTGGCTTGGGCTTTGAGGGCGGCAGGAAGAGCTGCTTGAAGCTCTAGAGAGGGTGTTGTGTGTGTGTGTTGGGGGGGGGGGGGGGGGGGAGTGTTGTGTGTGTGTGTGTGTGTACTGTAAAAGCCATTATTCTAACGAGGCGCATATATAACAATTTCCCGAAATTGACTGGTTTACGTGTACCAAAGATAACGATTCTCACTTATTCTCAACGCTCAATAGGACAGTATATGTATCGATTTCTGTATAACGATTTCTATTTTAAAGACAGATTTCTCCTCGTTAACTGTTATATATATGGCTTTTACAGTATGTCTCTGTATGGGGGGGGGGGGGACACAATTCTCCACTCAGAAGTTTGGTTTGGTACCCATGGATGAGTTGGTAGCAATGACGTTCCAGTAAATCAGGGTGTGGACAGACCCAATACCTGTATATTCCCATCACGATCACGGAACGCTCTGGCGGACGTGTCTGGAAAGTCGTTTTCATTGCATGCTTGTGACGAATGGTTGAAGACGGTCTGAAACGGTCCGACCGTTACGCTGGGAGAGTTGCTACCGCTGCCCGGCCATGCTGCTCCCTTCCGGGTCCACACCGGCTCAGCCTCTCCTGGTCCATGCGATGCAGCTGCAATAGCGCGGTGCATCCCGGGTAGTACATGCAGGGTGCTGCAGACCAGGACCACCATCATCATCACTGAGCCTTCAGCCATATCGTCAAGTGACAGTGTAGTACCATTAGCAGATCTACTCTTGGCCAGGTAAAGTCCTTCTCAGCCAGTGGCAGTGTGTTACACGGAGACTAGAGTTGAGAGGTTAGGGCAAATGACTTACAAGTTCCCACAGAACTCGCTGACGGCCTGCTAGCTGCTCTCTCTCTCTTGCTGCACGTTTTAGTTTTCTTTAACCGCTATGATTCGATGATCCGAAACGATTTTGCCATGACTGCGAGTCGAATGACTGCGTAGGTTGGGGGACTGGACAATTCGTTGTTTCTCACTCATCAAGTCTTGATTATGACACATCACCCTAGCTGCGCTACGCTCCTTCTCTGACAAGTGGCAGTGGCAGTGACACATTTTACGAGTGTTCCAAACCAGGGATCGAGTTGTCTATACACAACTCCGGATCCGGAGCTCCCTGTTCCAAACGTACCGTCATCGACCACTCCGTCAGCTCGATCAAGCTGATTTGACCAAGCGCTTGCAAGCAGCTTGGTATTATTGCGCAGTCATTGTGACCGCTACCTCGAGTAGAGGGTGCAACTGCACACAGACTCAGTCGAGTCATGCATGGTCCATCCACGAGCAGGCGCTAGCGCCTGCTCGTGGATGGACCATGCATGACTCGACTGAGTCTGTGTGCAGTTGCACCCTCTACTCGAGGTAGCGGTCACAATGACTGCGCAATAATACCAAGCTCTATCGCTAGGCGGGTGTACGGGTACCCGGTACCCGGGTACGGGTGCGTTCAGTTCGACCTTGGCCTTGTGCAAGTAACGACACGTGGACAATCTGGCTTTTCAAGACTTGTTCCAAATTTTTCTTCTTTTTGTTATCTCTTCTACTTTCATTTCTCCACCAAATATCACCATGCCGTGGAAGCTTGAGCGAGGCGATGCCTTCAATGGCACCCATGCCACACTGCATACTGGTGCTAAGATCCCAATAGTTGGTCTTGGAACTTGGAAAAGCAAGCCAGGTGAGGTGGCGGCTGCAATTCGTGTGGGAGTCGAGGCTGGTGTTCGCCACATCGATTGTGCACAGATTTACGGTAACGAGAAGGAAATTGGAGAGGCTTTGAAGGGACTGTTTGACAGCGGAGTTGTGAAGCGCGAGGAGCTCTTTATTACCTCCAAATTGTGGAACACTTTTCATGCTGCTCAAGACGTCAGACCTGCACTTCAGAAAACCCTCAGTGATTTGCAGCTGGATTATTTGGATTTGTATTTGATCCACTGGCCACATGGTTTTGAGCGTGGAGAGGTTCTGTTCCCTCGCAATGAGGATGGTACTGTTCGCTATGCTGACACCCACTACATGGAATCGTGGGGTGAGATGGAGAAGGCTGTCAACGATGGCCTTGTTCGTCACATTGGCTTGTCCAATTTCAACTCACGTCAAATGAACGAGGTATATTGTAGATTGGTCACATGACAGACATGCACAAAGTTAACTGTGAAGTCCTATTGTAGAGATTATGTAACGTAACACATGGTATAAGTAGATCTACATCGGAAAAGAAATCACGAGTAGATGGTTATTTGTGCAGGCTTCACTCTGGAAACGACACATGTGAAATAATTGTTTGAAAACCGAGAAAAACAAACAACAGAAACAAAACAAAAAACAGTGTAGTAACGAAGAGTGGTGTGTCTTCACAGTTATTGGAAGAGCTACATGTACATGCCGTAAGGCACTAGACTGATACCGGTATAAATGTTGCGCACCAGCATTTCAGAAGTCAATTTTTGCTTTATCTGCCCCCCTCCCCTATATAGGTGTATGAGAAGGGAACAATCAAGCCAGCCGTGAACCAGTGCGAGTGTCACCCCTATCTCAACCAGGAACAGCTGTTGGCTGCTGCACGCAAACTGAACATTGTCTTCACCGCGTACAGTCCCCTCGGCTCTGGTGACCGTCCATGGGCCAAGCCCGAAGACCCAAAACTTTTGGACGATGCCAATCTGAAGGCTATTGCTGACAAGTACAGCAAGACGAGTGCACAGGTGTTGATCCGCTTCCAGCTGGAGAGAGGCGTTGCTGTCATTCCTAAGAGTGTCAACGCTGACCGCATTAGAGCCAACTTCAATGTGAGTCAGCAGGTTGTACTTGTTGATGACTAAGTGCACGGCTGTACTGTGTGCGTGCGTGTGTGTGTGGGGGGGGGGGGGGTGCAATCTGTGGGTGCACATCCAGTGCATTTGCAGATTTGCGTGCTTCTCTTGCGACGGGCGTGTGCATGGAAAGGAAGAAAGTCCTGGCATTTTGTATGCCGTGTGCATAGGTTCAGGTACAGCATGTGGGCGAATTTATGCCTACACTATATGGAAAGGAATGAAGGAACTCGGAGTATATCATTGTGCATGCTCATCTCTTCAGAGACTCTTTGTTATGTCCTTCAGTTCATGGGATTCTGGTTTCTTCTTCTTCTCCTCTCTCTCTCTCTCTCTCTCTCTCTCTCTCTCTCTCTCTCTCTCTCTCTCTATCTCTCTCTCTCTCTCTCTCTCTCTCTCTCTCTCTCTCTCTCTCTCTCTCTCGGCCGTTTTGTAGGTGTTTGACTTTGAGTTATCTGAGGAAGATATGGTTCAGCTTGCATCATTCAACCGCCCATGGCGTGCATGCGAACCCAAACTCAAGGTAAGACGAATTAGGTACAGTGGAACTGCTATCACAGGTTGTGTGGATGCAGCAAGACTTGAGTTGCGGGTGACGAATGATGACGTAAACAATGAATCCCCCCTCCGGTTTTCAGACTGACTTTAGGACGTTGGCGTACTGAGCTGAATGTGGGTACTAGTACTGTACTGTACTGTACTGTACTGTACAGTACTGTTGATTAGTTCCAGACTGTGACGTGAAGTGAGATGTACAGTGATGCAATCAAGTGGGAAAGGTCAGACTTACGAACTGGATTGTGCAGTGCACAGTTCCAGCCACTTGAGTCCCTTCATTGGCACGTGTTGCGTACAGCAGTATATGCATCAGTTCAACACCAAAGGTTGACGAGTATACTGAAGTCGCTTCACAGGTAGAACATCGACAAGGGCTGGTCAACAGTACTACTAGTATATGGTACAATGTCTATCTACTGTAAGACATGTATATATAACGAGGAAGCAAATCTAACGTTTTAACGGATGACATTTCTCCGTTATAATAAAATCCGTTGTGGCCGTACTGCTTCATATATGCTGTGTGTGGATATGGCAGAATACTGCAAGATCGTTAACATATCTTCTCGTTAACCTATGAATTTTGGACAATCGTTAAATTTGCGACTCGTTATAATAACATGTCTTACAGTATCTCCTGCTATATCCATGTTTGAGTTCTTGTCAAAGCCGTGCTTCTATTGTGTTGGCTGTAAGCCATCTCTGGTGATTCAACTCTGAGCAGAGAGTGGACATCATGCACCATTTCTGTTTGCTGGTGATAGTGGTGTTAGCCTCGCCCTGTGTGCACGTTTATCCTTGCGCTGTACTTGAACTGTGTGTGTGTGTGTGTGTGTGTATGTGTGTGTGTGTGTATGTGTGTGTGCACGTGTACAGCTGGCTGACGGATCTGAAATCCCACGTGATGCTGCTCATCCTCTCTACCCCTTCAACGACGCTTACTAAACCTTCGGTGACTGGATTCCCCTTTTCTTCAAACGTCTTCATGTCTGGGCTGCTGGTCTGTCCAGGCATATAGCCACACTTATAACAACCCCTGAATTTTCTACTCTATCATTCTATTCAAAAGAATCCTACCTTCTAGTCAAAACAGTATGTTGAAATTATTTAAAAAGTGGCCGCGGTGGTAGTGTGTGCTGAGTCCTAGGATATGCATGTACGCCTGGTTCATACTATGGTAATTTCTGCAAAACACCGCTGCATTGATGTGAGTTGTGCAGAATCATTATATTATGAACCTGGTACTAGTGGGTGTGTCGTAACCAGCGAGTCCTACCAGAACCATGTTTTGGTAGGACTCCCTGGTCGTAATGTACTATACTAGTATACTACTGTATAAAGGGGTAATAGCAAAAAGAGGTCGCTGAAATGCTCCTAAATTGTAGTGTGTTTGCAGGAATAGCTAAACAAAGTGCAGTACAACGCCCAGAGGGTCAGTGAACATAATTATTATGCTGAAGGCTGAAGGCACGCTTTGGTGTTCATTTGCCATGTTGTGGAGGGAGGGACAGAGCATGATGCATGAGCATGGACTTTTTAATTTCATGGACAAAGATGCTTCTTCAAGGTGTCAGGTGCACCTAAGTTCAGTGTACAAGGAGTTGTTGGTTTGGGCACGACAGGCCAGCTGTCAGTTCAGGTACCGATGGCCTAATATATCATCTTGGTTGCATACTGCGAAATCTGCACATGTACAGTTGCGCTCACTGAAATCCGACCCAAAGTGCAAAGCTGACGCCCTGGACCAGTTCCGATTTACATCATTGTATTCGTACATGTGTACGTCCAGCTGCATTCATTCAACTTCCAGGGCGTCAAGGGCCGTGGAAGCTGAGGGCGCCAGCTTTGCACGTTGGGTCGGATTTCAGTGAGCGCAACTGTAATTGCATACGCACAGCTAGAGTAGTACAGTGCAGATAAGTGTACACACATTCAATTTTAAAGCAAGCAGAATTGAGCGCATCAATTAATTGTTCATCCATTTTTCTCGCAGGACATAAAATACTTTTCCAAATGAAAAATAGAGCTAGAGATAATTTGACAATAGGTTTCACGGTACCTGAATACAGGTATGCATCTAAATAACTTCATGGAAATTCTACAGTTATATGAATTATCGGCACAAGCGAATTTCTAAATTTATAGGGCGCAGTTTGTGCAGAGAGACCAGGGCAGGTAAACTGATGCTTGACCAAGACAGCAACAACATGGCACCTCTACCACAACTTTTGGACATACAAGGAATGTGCAAAAATCAATAGTCAACGCATCATCTCTCATGGAAAACCGAGAAAGTCATGCGTACACAGTTCAAAGCCATGGAAGAAAAAAAAAAAACGTTAACAACGCAATATTGACGTGCCATGCAGGAAATGATTGAATATGAGACAAGTACAGTACAATGAGCAGAGCGGCGCAGGATCAAGTAACACCGGCGGCGGCGAAATGTCTTGCAGTGTAACAGTGCAGGATCAAGTCACACCGGCGGCGAAATGTCTTGCAGTGTAACAGTGCAGGATCAAGTCACACCGGCGGCGAAATGTCTTGCAGTGTAACAGTGCAGGATCAAGTCACACCGGCGGCGAAATGTCTTGCAGTGTAACAGTGCAGGATCAAGTCACACCGGCGGCGGCGAAATGTCTTGCAGTGTAACAGTGCAGGATCAAGTCACACCGGCGGCGAAATGTCTTGCAGTGTAACAGTGCAGGATCAAGTCACACCGGCGGCGGCGAAATGTCTTGCAGTGTAACAGTGCAGGATCAAGTCACACCGGCGGCGGCGAAATGTCTTGCAGTGTAACAGTGCAGGATCAAGTCACACCGGCGGCGGCGAAATGTCTTGCAGTGTAACAGTGCAGGATCAAGTCACACCGGCGGCGGCGAAATGTCTTGCAGTGTAACAGTGTACTTAGTAGTCCAGACTCATTAGCAACGCAGTGCCACGCTTGACCCAGTGCTCGGACGGGTGTTGCCCGGATTTCATCTCGACACCAACGATGAAGGATGGCCGGCCACTGGTCCCCGTACGGTTGGAATAGTAGTAGCATGGACAGAAGTACATTCCTGTAGAGAAAAGAGGACAGGAATAATTATGTAGCTAAGATCCGAGGCACGGAGAAACGGCTGAAAATACGCATATGCAAAGACAAAAAAGTTGGCGTGACAGCAGAATTCTACAATACTGTACCTTTGAGTGGTTTCTTTCTGGCTTCTATCGGGTTGAAGTGAATGGTCGGAACTGGGTTGACCAACATCATGGGATTCGCTTCAACCAAATGTGAGTTCCGCTTATCCCAGCCAGCTCCTTCCAAATACAAGCCTTTCACCCAGACACCATCCTGTAGCAACAACACAGTAGTGGACAATGCATACCTTATTTAAAACTGCTACCAGCACGTACCACTGCACACGATGCTGCTAAGAAAACATTTGTAGTGCAGAAAAACTTGACAGATCTCCGTGTGACCAGAAGCACTCGGGTGACTACAGGCATTTGATGGGCTATGGCTCTTGTGAGCAGTGACACTCACAATAATACAGCAGCAGCAGCAGCAGCAGCAGCAGCAGCAGCAGCAGCAGCAGCAGCACGGGCAGCAGTAGTGGCAGCGCGATAGCAACAGCGGCGACAGCAGCAGCAACAGTCACAGCAGCAGCAGAAGTAGTGTTGATGTACAGTGTAGCACAAAACAATAGAAGTACGTGTGTTAAAGAGCTGACCATATAGCAACCATCCCGTGTGCTATATGCTTGCATCTCACGTTACCTTGGGCGTCTCAACAATGTTGCTGTCATCCAGTGTGGATACATTGAATTCCCACTGCAGTGAGTCAACGGATACCTGTACCGAAGCAGAACATGTGCACGGAAACACCCAGCTAGATTCAGTCCACTGCTCGTAATCATTACAATCTCAAAGACCACAACACTATACAGGGGTTAGTGCTAAAACCTACACACATGCTGCCAGTTCACACACACATGCACCCCCACCTCATTACATCCACCGCACTTTACACAGCTGTGTGTACATGTGCTAGTAGAATGGTCTGATATACACATTACACACAGTCATACATTGTTCCTTCGAGCGCAAGTCTGGAGGATAGCGGTGAGGAATCCAGTCGGGAACGTGAAGCCAGACATCCAGAATATGATTGGCTGGTGGCCGGTCTCGGCCCACTTGGCAAACTGCTCCACGCGCGCCACTAGGTCTCGTGTCCACGATCCCAGTGGCTTGTGAGACGGGTATGCCTGTTGACCGGGAGTAAACACAGCAAAGCATGAACAGTATAGTGATCAAAACACACAGATGATGGACAGAGAGTTGATGCCGGGTATGCACACCAATGAATGTCACATGGAAGGTGAATCTTGGAGTGACTCCCATAGTGACATGATTGAAATCTTGGTTTTAGGCGCATAAAGAGGGGTAAGCATACAAGAGAAAAGCACAGGAGATGTGAATTGGCACAGCATACATGTAGGTATAATGGCAACTGGGGACTTGATACGGATAACGCATACCTTCTCCCAGAGTGGTGGCACCTTTCCTTCACTCATACAGATCAAGACTTGCTCTAAATCTGATGACATCACTACCAAGCCTTTGATTCCCTTCTGTAGATCCACCAATGACGTTCGGATCACATCCAGCAATGCATTGTAGCGCTGAATCTAAAATGCACACAAACAGTACAGTTCATGGTTCACCTATGAATTAGCCAGATTATTGCCCCAGTTTTAAAGAAAATAGGAGGCTGAACATTGGCAACCGTGTGATTTCCCAAACAGAAATCATCGACATATTTTTGCAAAGAACCCGTGGAATGACAAAATGCTGTTAGAAATACAAAGAGTCAATAGCCAACAGGAAATAGCTGAGTGTGATGTCCTTCTATGAGCCAGATTCGGTTGCCCAAGTCATAGAAAGTCCTTTTCAAAGATCCGGTTTTGACAGATCGGATACACATGTAATCGCTATTTGAAAACTTCCGAAGGGGTGTCCTTATATCCAATCTCCACTGTATACCCACATGGTCGGGCCCACAGCCTTCCAATATCTAAGAACCAAAACGTTGACCAAGTTCCTACTTGAAATGACAGAGAAAAAACCCAGAATACACTAGCCCATCGCACCGTACCTCTTGCAGCAATACGACATTGAGTGGAGCAGGGTCGTCGGCAAGGAGCTTGAGAGTTGCTTCATAATCGATGTTCTCTGGAATACGCTTAAGGACATCTGCTGCTAGGGAAAGGACCTGCATACGCAAAAGAAAGGACACCAATGAAGAGAGAGTACTATGACAGTACTTAGAAGTACCGCCAACATGCTTCCTCTTTCTCTCTCAAGCGCCATGCCTTGATTTACAGCCTGGTAAATGAAATCAGAAGGCCGAGTGTGTAGCGGTAGCTACTTAGAGTAGTTTCGCCTGACTGTTTATTGCAAAAGGGGGAACATTATCGGACACGGAAAAGCACAACCAACTGTAAGGAGAGCAGAAACGAAGAGGTGGTTCCAATCGGGAATCACTGAGTAAAGAAGACCGAGAGCGGAATGGACGGCGGTGCTGCGTGCACACAGCAGCGACCGGAAGCAGCGTGCCCAGTACGGGATGCCATGTATAGATGGAGCCCAAGGGCAGTGCACTCAGACATGAATACGCACGCGCACCCGAGTACTGCGTTCAGTGCATGCGGGGACTGTGCCATAGAAGGGGAAGGGTTAGTGATGCGCAGCCAGCAAGTCCAGCGATACATGAATGCATGAGTCAATGGTACAGCAGGCAGGCTGCGGTTCTTATACGAGTACACACGTTAGATCAATGCGAGTGAGTGTAGGGAGTAGGAAGGAGAAACCTGGAGACAGACATTGATATGCCTAGGGATAGAGTTCTGTCATGATGCTACTCATTACACTACATCTCCCCTAACGGAAAGAGTTGCAGGCCCAGACAATGCTATGCCCAGGGATAGAGTTCTGTCATGATGTTACTTATTACACCACATCTCCCCTAACGGAAAGAGTTGCAGGTCCATGTTCACATGGTCGAGATGAGCCGCTCCGGTGCGATGGCTGTGCGACTTGAACAGGTAGTGGAGGTGGCACTTGTGTTGGGCTCGGCGGCTGCAGGCATGCCGTTTTGGCTCGCCACAGGAGTTTCTCCACCGCTTGGTGGCTTTGGGCTGCGGCGGGAGTAGCCATGAGGTGTTGCAGTGAGCCGTTGCAGTAAGCTGTTGCAGTCAGCCGTTGCAGTAAGCCGTTGCAGTAAGCCGTTGCAGTGAGCCGTTGCAGTGGGCCGTTGCAGTGAGCCGTTGCAGTAAGCCGTTGCAGGTTGCAGTAAGCCGTTGCAGTAAGCCGTTGCAGTAAGCCGTTGCAGTGAGCCGTTGCAGTGAGCCGTTACAGTAAGCGGTTGCAGTGAGCTGTTGCAGTGAGCCGTTGCAGTGAGCTGTTGCAGTAAGCCGTTGCAGTAAGCTGTTGCAGTAAGCCGTTGCAGTGGGCCGTTGCAGTGAGCCGTTGCAGTAAGCCGTTGCAGGTTGCAGTAAGCCGTTGCAGTAAGCTGTTGCAGTGAGCCGTTGCAGTGAGCTGTTGCAGTAAGCTGTTGCAGTAAGCTGTTGCAGTAAGCCGTTGCAGTGGGCCGTTGCAGTGAGCCGTTGCAGTACGCCGTTGCAGTAAGCCGTTGCAGTAAGCCGTTGCAGTAAGCTGTTGCAGTGAGCCGTTGCAGTGGGCCGTTGCAGTGAGCCGTTGCAGTACGCCGTTGCAGTAAGCCGTTGCAGTAAGCCGTTGCAGTAAGCTGTTGCAGTGAGCCGTTGCAGTGAGCTGTTGGCTTGCAGTGGCGTGTCGTGAAGCGATCGCGGATGCGGCCATCGCGAGCGTCCTTGAAGTCGCCGTTGTCCGCGCCGCCGTAGAGACGATGCAGAAGTGACTCGTCCACGGTCTCGGATGGCGACTGTGTGTCGCGTTCGAACATCGTTCGTCCGTGGACGACGTTGGACACGGGCGTGACGTACGCCGAGAGTTTCGTCTCCACTTCCTGAGATTTATCGCGATCGCCGGCGTTGTCGAACGCGAGCCATCCTAGATCCTGAAGTTGCAGACCAGGTTCGTTGCGGATCAATGTTATTTTGTTATCCCTGATCCTGTTCACTGCGCCATGTAGCGGTGGCTACTTAGAGTAGTTTCGCCTGACTGTTTATTGCAAAAGGGGGAACATTATCGGACACGGAAAAGCACAACTAACTGTAAGGAGCGCAGAAACGAAGAGGTCCCTACACAGGAATCGCTGTGTAGAGAAGACCGAGAGCGGAATGGACGGCGGTGCTGCGTGCACACAGCAGCGACCGGAAGCAGCGTGCCCAGTACGGGATGCCATGTATAGATGGAGCCCAAGGGCAGTGCACTCAGACATGAATACGCACGCGCACCCGAGTACTGCGTTCAGTGCATGCGGGGACTGTGCCATAGAAGGGGAAGGGTTAGTGATGCGCAGCCAGCAAGTCCAGCGATACATGAATGCATGAGTCAATGGTACAGCAGGCAGGCTGCGGTTCTTATACGAGTACACACGTTAGATCAATGCGAGTGAGTGTAGGGAGTAGGAAGGAGAAACCTGGAGACAGACATTGATATGCCTAGGGATAGAGTTCTGTCATGATGCTACTCATTACACTACATCTCCCCTAACGGAAAGAGTTGCAGGCCCAGACAATGCTATGCCCAGGGATAGAGTTCTGTCATGATGTTACTTATTACACCACAGAGTGCAACTAAGGTTACAGGCTGTAAGAACCGGAGTGTACTAGGGTTACACAATACCCGACCCCAGCTCACTATTCGTGTGGATCTCACTGCCATCCGAAGGTGTTATTGTAATGGGTGCGGATTCGCTGCACAACGTACAAGTGTGTCCACAACATACCGTATATTCTCTATTATAAGCGCCGTGCTTATATATTTTCAACACCGCTTTTATTGGAGACCGCGCTTATATTGGAGACCGTGCTTATATTTTTTCAACCAATACATCCATAGAGAGCAAGAAGAAATACATGCTGGATATCATGCATGCAGCATTGATTTCCACCAAGACCGTGCTAATAATAGAGACTGTGCTTATAATGTTTCGAAAGGTGCTCACAGTGTGCTAGTATTAGAGACTGTGCTAGTAATGGAGACCTGTGCTTATAATAGAGAATATACGGTATGTGTCATATGACCTAGAGACAGGACTGATCGGCATTCGCCCCACCTCCAAGACATGACCATGAAATGCTCCAGGTGGCAGGGTGCTCTTGCGATACTTAATTGAGTTGGTTGCACTCGTATTATGATGGGGAACTAGTTGGCTAGCTAGTTAGTTGATAGGCGTACACCGCAGCAAGCTGTCCTTTCCTCCAACTAATATAGTTCACAGCGCAAACTCTGGAGACAGCTTGTTTGAAAAAGAACCTCCAAGGAACAAAAGATTAAGCCCGTGCAATGCGTGCATACATGGGTCCAATAGGCATACAGTATTATCTCTAATATAAGCACAGTCTCCAATAATAGCACGTCTCCAATAATAGAACACCTTGGGGCTGCATTCAAAAAATAAAGTGCTCAGTCTCCATTATAAGCACACTGTGTAAATTCATTATCTGTACCGGCAAAAAACCCCTGAAATGTGTGTGTCATACATGAATTTGGCATGGCAACATGCCTCTGAAATGAGGTTGAAATAATAATGGAACAGTCTCCAATAAAGGAACGTCTCCATTAATAGCACGGGGCGGAGGTACATTGAAAAAATAAAGGACCGTGCTTATATTAGAGATAATACAGTAGAGATAATACGGTATGTATTTAAACTATTTAAACCAAGCCTGGCATTGTGATCGAAGCTTATTCAAGGAAGAACTGCAAAAGAGACGAAAGGCATTCAGTGTGCAGTAGTCAACTTGCCTTGTCTTCCTGGCTCTCTCCATCTCCATCGGATACTTGCGGTCGCAGAGACAACAGTGTGCCCAAGAGATTCCTGTAGAGAAGGACGACCAAGAGCAACATCCCTACAATACATTCTGTCTGCATATTATAACCGTACACACGAAAGAAGACACATTGTCTCCACCGTCTTACATTGCTTGAATAAAGTACAGTGAAAACTGTCTAAGACGACCGCCGCTCAAGGGAATTCGAAAACGTGGTCTCAGTGACCAGGTGGTCTCCTTATCCAGGGTCATTTGACTGGAAATAGCATCCCTTGGTGCTTCTTTCAGTGGTCTTCTAGAACAGGTGGTCGCCTTATCCGAGTGGTCGCCTTGACAGGTTTTACTGTATACATAAATGTGGATTCAGCTTGGCGGCTTATTGATTGCGCTTATCACACTAAAGAAGCTGCAAAGAAAACAGGTTGGCACCAACAAGAGTTCATGATGTGTGAGAACCCACTATATCCAGCTTGCGCTAGTGAATCATTCCCTTCCATATCGATTTGAGGGACAGTTCGGCAACCGGTCGTCCTACAGTCTTCAGTCTTCATCCCTGCAACAAACAGAAATCGGTAGTGTCTGAATCTCCTTGATAACGCTGCCGACATGTTACACATACTGAAGACAATACCGTTCTGTACGCACCTTGTCTCAATGATCTGGCTGGCAATGTCTGCGTTGGGATGTTGGCCAAATGCCTCTGGATGGTCAACATTTGGCAAACCGTTGATGTAATCCTGAACGAGATCAAGGACACGAAGTAAAATCTCTCTATTTTAGCATGGAAACATGCCAATAAGATGTAATCTTTGATTTTCAGATCATATCATTCAACAGTCGGGAAAGCTGAAAACAAGGCTTCGCAAGCCTCCCGTTCCATTTTTATCTCCACAGAAGTTTGAAAGAAGCCTCAGTTATCATAATCAAGCCATCGCAAAGTCCCACACTCGGTGAAATTGCAATGCCGCTCTCACCTTGTAGTCATCAAGTTCACCTTCCTTCGGAATGTAGTACGTTGGCAGGCTGGACAGGCTGTAGCCACAAGGTACCAGAAGCAAAAAAACATTGATGTTGATAAATCTCCAAACAAGATATGGGCTGTGACCCAGGTTAACGGTGCGTATTATGTTTCAAATCCTGCTATGACGCTTCTTAGCGAGGATGTTTCATTGGAAATTACCTGAACAACAGTAAGCAGGATTTGTTTCTGCACAGATTATAGACAAGATACGAAGAAAAAGGATCTTGGTGCAATGCGGTGCTTGGGTTCAAAACAACCGATGGCAGGCCTACCCAACTGACAGGTTTATCAGTTGGGCCAGAGCTAGCTACTTCTTTGGCCTAGATGATAAGAAGACCACTCACGCATCATGAATAACATGCACACACTACTGACTCATTGTGAATGACGTGAAAGTCACATAGGCAAGCTGCCTACAATACATCTCACTCCGTACTACTTGACAAATCAGTACGTGTAGTGATAGTATAACTTGCGACAGGCTTACAGATAGAATGGCTTCTCAACAGCCTTGTCCTGGAAGGTGTCGTTGATGTAGGTTGTCAGCAGACGTCGGTCAATGTCATCAGTCACATGACCGCCGTACATGACACCAGCCACCTGGACACCATGGCAACAGTCAGTGCACATGTCACATAGGGCACACTAATCCGTACATGACACCAGCCACCAGGACACCATAGCAACAGTCAGTGCATGTCACATAGGTCACACTGATCCGAACAGTGCCATAACATGACCCTTCTACCTCTCCACCCTGCCACTGACTTAAACATTGACACATGCCCTTTCATGCACAGTATAACATCAATTGTGCAATAGATGCCGAAGAAGACTTGACATTCCTGGCGTATGCTATCGTGGTCACGTTGGCATTGCTTCCTTGGCAACTTCGGCTTACCAAGTACTTGAGTGCATCCCATGGTGTTTCATCGTACTCATCAAGGTAGATACTGATCAGGCTCTCCGACACCTTCACAGAAAACACACACATACGCACAAACACGCATGCATCCACGTACACACACATGCACATACACATACATCAACAGAGGAGCATACTCGTGTTGCTTTCAAAAGCCTCGCATCTTATCTGCGTGTTAGGTAAATCTTTGTATTTCCACTTCACCACATTCATTCCATCATTGCCACATCAGTTTATCATAACTCCAAAGTTGCAGATGTTTGCAAATGGAGAAAACTCAATCAAGACCAAGCTTTTCGAGACCTTGGTACTGAAGCGTCACCAGAATACATCTAGATTGAAACATAGTTGTGTGCAGACACATGTACCCCCACATGCCCCCCCCCCCCCCCCCCCCCATACACACACGCACATGCAAGCACACGTACATGCATGTACACGCACATGCATGTACATACACATGCATGTACACACACACATGCGCATGCACACGCATGCACACACGCATGCACACACACACACACACACACACACACACACACACACACACACACACACACACACACACACACACACACACACACACACACACACACACACACACACACACACACATACACACACACACACACACATAAACCCACGCACGCACGCACGCACACACACACACACACACACACACACACACACACACACACAAACCTCATAGTCAGAGTTGTTGAAGCCATAGATGACATTCCAGCCCAGCATGAGGAACTTTCTGCGCTCAATGAGCACACTGTGAAAGAAGCAGAGTCCAAACAGCAGTGCTTGGTACTTGGTGCGTTTTCTGCACCGGTAGAAAGTGTCTTCTGTGACAAGTCCATACAAACGCTTCATGTTGGCCTTCAGACCCTGCCAGTCAAACAAGACAACAGAAAACAAGAGAAGACAGGCTCAGTGCACATCACTACCAATTGATAATAGTTATAGCACTACTTCTGAAGTAGTTCATACGCCTACCCCCTGCATGTGAATGTGTATCCAGGCCTGAAGAGAATAGCAGCACTTACTTTTGGAGGTTCGGTTGTCATCTTGATGCCCACTTGCAGAATGGAAATAGGAAACTGTGGATGCGGCGTGCTGCTTAGCCAGAGTCGGAAGTCTGGGTGAGCATCTTGAACCTGCAACACAACAAACCCAGAGCAACAGCAAACAGCACTGAGCCCGGACGGGGTCATTACCTGTTGGGAACAGCTGCCTCTTAGAAAGCTGCCACTGCCGCTCCCCAAGCGTAGTAGAGGAGGTGATAATTATGATGCTCATGTGCAAACAGGTGAATAGTACGTCATGCATTTTGTCTGTATGATACGTCAAAACTAGCATGCGGCATCTTGGTTGCTCTTTTACTTATCCTCTTCCCACAATTGTATTCTTGCACAACCTCAACCCGTTGTCTTGAGTGTTTGTGTGTGTGTGAACGCAGTCATTACAGATGCAGATTTGAGAGAGGATCTACTGTACTGATAGTTGTGCATGCTGAACAGACGGCAAGATTTCTTCCCTTTTTGCAAGGCTCCCTGCACACCAATATCAAATGAGACAAATCCGTACTACTACTAGCGTACCTGGAGCTGCTCAACAATCTTATCCAACTGTGGCATCCAGCTCAATGACAAATGACAGTTGGCCAAGAACACCCAGTTGCCCTGGAGTAGGAAAGCAATAGGCCAGCACATCACCCAGCACTGGTCAGCAAGCTGCATCTGTCAGAGTAGATCTGAAGCATGGCAGCAGCGGCTGGTGCCAAGGGACGATATTACGCATATAGTGCTGCTCTTCCCAGCAGTCAGATACCCCTGAACTTCTCTGTTTCTGAGTGAAGAGAGTCAGTTGCAAGAGCTGCCAGAGAGGCCTTAGCCATGTTTGGCTATGATTCTTCTTGCGTATCAAAAGTTTCAAAACACATGAGGACAGTTATCAGAGCAGGTCTTAGTGTCTCGCAAGAAAGAGGTGCACACACACACACACGCACGCACACACATACACGCACGCACACACAGTCAAGTAAGCATGTCGTCTATAAAAGCAGCCAGTACACTGTGGCTGTCTTACTCCGGCGTAAGCAGCCTAAGCAATGTACATTGTGGCTGTATGCATCCCACTGTAGAGTATTCCTCTGGCTGTACCTGCTTGACACCCTTTTGCAGCATGCGTGTAGCTATCGGTGCCTGTCCCTGTCCCAGAGACAGGGAATCAAAGTGGTCCAGCATTCCCAGTGACGTAGCGAGTTGAATCAGCTCATTGGTAGGGTCCTACAAACACAGCAAGCAAACATGAAGACATTACTGATATCAAATACACACTAAGGGGCCATCCGTAAAATTTAATATAGATTTTATTTAGAAACGAAAACTACCGGTAGTCGTTTAGGGGGGAGGGGGTTGAGCGCCTGTTCGTTTCTCGAAAATATCGATGTACATTTTGCATGCGTGAGCATGTCCAGACAAAAAGACAAAAATATCGATACTATGTAGCATGTGTATGTGTTCGTTTCTCAGGTGGGGGGGGGGGGGGGGGGGAGGGGGTTGAAGAGAAACGACTAGTTTTCGTTTCTAAATAAATATCGGTATTTACAGAAGGCCCCCAAGACAAGTTCCGGCACAAAGTGAAAAATTGGAACTGAGAGATCAGGGTCTGGATACGAAGTGTAAAAATCGTGGTCTCATCCTTTTTAAACTCGGATACTGAGCCAGTAATAAATGTAAAAAAAGAGAAGAAAACACATGAGAAGGAGTTATGCAGCAATTATCCACGACTGTTACAAGATGATAGACAGTCAGAAAGTGCGATAATAGGGCACAAAACTGACAGGCTACTGAGACATTCAGCGACCCGAGACTTAGCTCTAACACATCTCCAGTGCGCAAACCAACAGCCTTCCAACTTTCTGACTGTTTATCATCTTGTTACAGTCGTGGATAGTTGCTGTATAACTCCTTCTCATCTGTTTCTTCTCTTTTTCTCATCCTTTTTCCTCGAGGCAGATTGGATTATAATTTCGAGAATCCACAGACATGCCGATGTCCACTCGCCGCCAGGAAACCGCTTCTCAAGAGCCTCCCAAGAAATCGTTGCTCAACATCCTCTCTGGTCCACCAGACTTCGCACAGTCGCCACCTCCGCCGCCTCACCTGTCCCGCCTCCATCTAGGTCGGCTCAGCTCGGCGGGTAGGAGATGCCATCGTGGTTCACCTCCGCGTCCATCAACCTCTCCACTCAGATCAAACGAAAACCACGACCCCATGCATTAAAACCGGCTGCTCTGTGAAAGAAAGGCTGAATGTTATCTATTATGGCGTAATGTCCAAATATGATGGGTTTCGTGCACAAATCCCAGAGGTAACAATTGTTCTGCTTTGTCTATAGCCATAGCTCTGTCATACACAATACATTTACACACGGCTGCCTGAGCTGTTTGTACATGCTGCAAAGCTGAAGCAGCGGTTCCTAACTGTACTTTGTAGCTACTTACCACACCAGATGAGAGGACGAAAATGAGAGGTGTGCGTGTTGTGGAGTCCTCGACCACACTCTTCATGTCCAAAACCGGTGGCTCAGTGAACCTGTGTCACAAACAGACCGGCAGGCACATCATACATGGCATGACATGATACTACCTAGTCAGATGAATAGAAGGATAGATCAGGACAATTCCACACATTTGCAGTGGTATTGAGCAGACCAACACCACCCCGGCTAAGTTCCTGTTGTCCTCAGCCACATGCGCTTGTACATGTAGCTAGGTCACGGCGGTCACAACGCACAACATGTAACACAAGCGGCACAACATGTAAGTCACACAATGGAATTCACTAGGCAGCAGTGTACCTACTGCAGGGCTTCCTGATTATAATTATACACCCTTAGTTCAGACAGTCTGGGAACAACACGTGGTTACCACCCCATACCCATCACAATACCATGTATGCAAGTCACCCAATCGGTGGTCAAGCTATGATACTGCATAGCACTAGCAGCAGACCATGCTACAAGCTATGACACTGCATACATGTACCACTAGTACCAGGCCATTGCTTACTTCACACCAAGGTTGTTGATGATGAACGTCGTGGAACACAGTGTGACGCGGTCTGGCCGGATTGATCGGACAATCAGCATCTTCTGCAGTTCGTTCAGAGACCTGTCCCACTCACCTATGCAGTCCATTCAGCACAGCACAGTGCAGTACACCACATCATGGCACAGCACCGCACAGTACAGTACAGCACAATATGGCACAATACGGCACAGCGCAGCACAGCATTAAACTATCATCATGATCAAGACCAACAGTACAACTCCAATAGAAGACTACACAGTCTATCAATCAAGGCAAGTAACATACAGTCAACTTTGCGAATAATCAACCTCGATCGTGCATGAGAAAAGTGTCGTTATTCGCGAGTTTTCAGTATTCGTGGCATTGTAAGTATGCAGTTGAGTGGTCAGTAGGTCTGAATATTCTGTTATTATTCACGAGTTGTTGCTATACCCGAGGTGGTTATTCACGAGTTGTTGCTATACCCGAGGTGGTTATTCACGAGTTGTTGCTATACCCGAGGTGGTTATTCACGAAGTTGACTGTACTTCCAATAGTGGTGTGCTATGTCTGACTTGCAAGCATCCAATATCATGTCATCCAAGCCACCATGGCAGGGATAGGCAACACTAGCAATTCTGGCAATTCACAACCTCCGTCACAACCTCCGTCAGTATGGGTACAGGGCAACGGCATTGTGGAGTACATTAAACATTTGGCATGACCAGATTTAGAAAAGAACAATGCAGGTACATGGCTAATTTGAGAGAACAAAGTGACCCAGTAAATGAGCTAATTTGACCAGCAAGAGCTGTGCAACATCATCAGCAGAATCCCACATTCTCACCTGGAAGTGTGGTTTTCTCGGGCTCAGCACTTGTATACCAAGCATTCCATTCACGCTGCTCCATTTCAAATGAGTTGATCATGCCATGGAAGTTGGGCAGTCTAGCATCACATTGACACAAAGTAGCACATTGACACAAAGTAGCACATTGACACACAGCAGCACATCACCAGTATTAGTGACAGTTCAATACGCACATGCCCACCAAACATGCCATCGCAGAATGTGTTGCCCTGAACCATGATTCACCCCGGGAATCCGCCGTGGAACTCCGTAGAACCCGGCAGCCACCAGGTCTTTGTTTCTCTCGTGGTAGTGGAAGTTGCCCATCCACCCACCTAGGCTGGATGTATGTCTTCCGCCGTTCTTCTTGGTATTGCATGCTGGTGCGTATGGCTCTGCAGTTTATTCCATACTGTTTTTTTTGAATGCTCTGTTCGTGAGGTCCGACTGGCAGCGGGGCAGGGAGAAATGCAATACATGGGCTGGGGGCCAAAATGTGTGTTTTTCCTGTAGCCTGGCTGAGCGGTCGTAGCTAGGAATTTAGGGAGTCATTGTTTTCAGGCACTCCCCTGCCACCCAGTCCCCCATATTTACCAATGATGGGCGTAGGAACCGGTCCGGCAGGCCCGGCGGTCGCCGGACCAATAATTTGGCAAAAAAAAAAAACTCTGCCAGAATCCACAATCGGTGCTGGAGTAATTTATTACAATAGTCAGCAAACGAGTTGACAGTGCGGCAGAGCGGAGGTAGGGCGTTCCACCGATTCGCGCCAAGATAGGATAGAGAGTGCAAACCAAAGCGTGAGTGACAGTGCGGAAGATATAAGGTATTGGTTTGTTGACCCCGTGTGACAGCTCTAGTGCAGTGTGTGGCGCCTAATAGTGTGTATATTGACTGCACAAGACGGCTGAATTTTATATTTCAATTTTGCAGTGTCCCTGTGAGTGTTACTTACCTTTGCTTGTGCTCTGGAAGGGAATCGATCTCCGCGTAGCTGACCATGTCTGACTCTTTGCCTGCTAAATTTAACCCTCCCAAGGACTTCCACTTCCCCAAGCGAACGTTTGGAGCTAAGAAAGAGGAGCGATCCTTCAGGATGGATTGGTGTGAAAAGTTCGCGTGGCTCCACTACGATGTGGAGAAAGACGTTGCGATTTGTCATGTTTGTTTGACGGCAGACGTGGAGAAGAAATTCCTTGCCAGTACCAAGCGTGACCTTGCTTCCATTAGCAAGGGATTCACGTATTGGAAGGACGCAACGGCATCGTTCAAGAAACATCAAACGAGCAAAAGTCACCAGGAGGCTGTTAGTGCAACTGAAGTGCTCCCTACCCAGGTGAAAGACGTCTGTGAAATGCTCAGCACTCAGCACCAGCAGCAGAAGGTGGAAAACCACGGAATGTTTCTTAGGATTCTGGAGAATGTTCGCTTTCTGGCTCGACAGGGGTTGGCATTGAGAGGCCATGGTGACGATTCGGACAGCAACTTCTTGCAGCTCTTGCGTTAACGGTCATCTGACTGCCCTGGAATCCTTGAATGGTTGGACAAAAAGACGAACAACTATGTGTCGCCTGTCATCCAGAACGAGTGTCTGAAGATCATGTGCCTGCAACTCCTCCGGCAAGTGAGCTCCTGCATTCAAAACAATCGCTTCTTCTGCGTTATGGCTGATGAATGCACGGACTCCAGCAACAAGGAGCAGTTTGTTTTGTGCATTCGGTGGGTTGACGACGCCCTGGTCGATCACGAGGACTTCATTGGCCTCTATGAAGTGCCAAGTATTGGATCGGATATGCTGGTGTCCACAATCAAGGAGGTCCTGCTCCGCATGAGCTTGTCATTGTCTGGCTGCAGAGGCCAGTGCTACGACGGAGCATCTAATATGACTGGCAGTCGGAATGGTGTAGCTGCTCAACTGCAATCAGTGGAGAACCGTGCTGTGCTGACCCATTGTTACGGCCATGCACTCAACCTTGCTGTTGGGGACACCCTGAAAAGGTCAAAGATCTGCCGTGATGCCATGGATGTTGGCTTCGAGATCAGCAAGCTGATTCGGTTTTCTCCAAAGCGCAGTGCTGCGCTGGAGCGGGTCAAAGTGGCCGAGAGTGGAGATAATGAGTCACCTAACACTGGTATACGTGCGTTCTGCCCTACACGGTGGACAGTCCGTGCCGATGCCATTGAAAGCATTCTGCTGAACTACAATGAGCTGAATGTGCTGTGGGAGGAGTGCCTTGACGGGGGCAAGCTTGATCCTGACGTCAAAGGAAGAATCATTGGTGTGAAGTCTCAGCTGGCCAGGTACACCCTGCTCTTCGGCCTGCACCTTTGCCTGGCAATCCTTCGGCTGACCGACAACTTGAGCCGAACTCTGCAGAAGCAGACGCTGTCTGCAGCAGACGGACAGGCATCAGCTGCTTTGACTGTGAAGACTCTGGAGACCATGCGCTATGATGAGGCATTTCAGCTGTTCTTTGGCCGGGTTGAGGTGGACCGCAAGTCCACTGGCACTGATGAACCTGCTCTCCCGCGAAAAAGGAAAGCTCCTGCACGGTTTGAGATTGGCACCGGAGTGGGCCACCATCATGAAAACCCAGAGGACCAATTCAGGCCAATGTACTTCGAGGCACTTGATTTAGCGGCTGCTTGTATTAGAGACCGATTCGACCAGCCTGGGTACAAAGTGTACCGGAGCTTGGAAGAGGTTCTAGTTCATGCAGCCATTCAGGCAGTGACTATTCCAAGCAGCTTGCAGGCGTCAGTTCCTTTTACAAAGATGACATAGATGAGCACCTTCTGAAGGGACAATTGCAGACCTTTGCCACTCATTTCCAGCAGGCTACCAGCGATGGCAGAGTAACACTCCGACAGTGCCTATCTTACCTGCGTGAGATGTCTCCGGAGCATCGTGAGCTCTATAGTGAGGTGTGCACAGTTGCCCGTCTCCTGCTCGTTATGCCGGCAACAAACGCAGTTAGCGAGAGGTCTTTCTCTGCTATGAGGAGAATCAAATCGTACCTTCGAAGCACCATGCTCCAAGGAAGGCTTAATCACCTCATGTTCTTGTCAATCCACAAGGATCTCCTAGATCGCCTTTGTCTCCGCAGCACTGCTAATGAGTTTGTGCGTGGTAGTGAGCACCGTCTTTCGTATTTTGGGAAAATTTAAATCACGAACATGTTTGTGTACTTCTCAGTTATACACAGCAAATACTTACGAATTATTATCACTATACAAACTTCACATCTTGTCAGTCTTAAGCACTGCCCTCAAGCATAACCTACAATTTTAGTATTCGATGTACACACTAAACCCAGCTCGAAGTGTTGCCTCCTCATGACAGATGTTTAAACTACCAGCCCATGGTGTGACGCTACACACATAAGAGAAATGCAATTCAACTGCATAAACATCATTGAATAAGTCATGACATCATTATCAGTGTATGACGTCATCATCTGTTATAACGTATTTGATTCTCAGGTCCGCCGGACCAACCAAAAATTGCTTCCTACGCCCCATCATGTTGCTTCCCTGCCTTTTGCAGCTCTTTCATTCATTTCCACGTTTTGTGGCTGCGCGCGTGTGGTTTCTTCTACCCTTTCCTGGCACTGACGCAAGCAGGCATATACACCACCCACACAGAGTAACGGTATCACTGAGCAGTAACAACATACTTGTCCAGTTCAGTTATGTTGTCCCAGGCTGACTCCGGTAACCATTTGGTTGGATTATCAACTTGTGTCTCGCGGTCTATCACCTGCCATATCATACATATGCAGAATCACACGCACACGCACATACGGACACATACGCAACACACATGGACATTCAAGCATGAATGTATGATTAATTACATGTACTTGCAGTTTCTACTTTCCCGCTGGCAGCAAGGATAAATTTCTTTACATCACATGACGTCGCCCCAGATATCGGCACTCGTCTCTCCTAGAGTGTCCACCCTCGCTGATGGTCAAACTACATACATGTACATAATTATGTAGCTACATGTATGAAGGGAATAGTTGAAGAACCACATATGTCTGATACCACCATGCAAGCACCAAGTGTAATTAACTCGTTTGTAAATGACAGTAGAAAACAACAGCGTTAACACTCAACCAGAGTTCATGATGGTTGTTACAGCAGCAGGACTTGCAACCCACACCAAGCAAGCCATTTGACACTGTGTCGGTTGCGAGGTGGCACCCTCTAATTAAAAGATGGACGCGACTTACCACACCCCCACGTAAGAAGAAATGGTAGTCATCCATGTTGAGCTCCTCAGCTGCCTCCATGATCTTGGCACACATGTGGAAGCTGAAAAGCAGCTTGTGCCTCTCGAACAGGCCACGGCATGTGTACCTGGGCAACAAAAGTAGCAACAGCACCATCATCAGCATCATTATCATTAGCAGCAGCAGCAGCAGCAGTATCATCATCAACAGCAACAGTAGCAGTAGTAGGAGCTTGAATAAAAAATATTGTGTCCAGCAGTAGGAGCAGGAGATTGACGCACTGTACATGATTTCCCAAACCCAGATCATGATCCTGTTAGCAATCATTTGTGAGTAGAACTGATCTAACTCCGGGGCAGTGAAGAATAGCATGACTCTACTGTCCCAGCCCAAGCACGTATAGAACACTGACATTGGTCTTGTCAGGATGGTTTGCATACATACAAGTGCATGCACACCACCTACACACACCCGTACTTATATGCAGCATGTATGGTTGCCCAACCAGTACCTTAACATATCTGAGCTACTTGCAGTATAACTCTCACCAGTTTCCCTCACCTGTATACAGCATACGTGTGGTAGTTATTCAACTCCTTGATCCGATTGGCCAATTTGAAGTGTGCGTAGTTGGGACTCTTGTCAATGGACATGTTGAACAATTCTATGTAGGCATCCAGTGAGAACTGGTACATGGGATCGATCCTTCCCATATCGTTCAAGACGAAGAAGAGAATTGAAGCGCGCTTTGCGCACGGCCGGTATTGCTGCGGGATGGAAATTAAGATGAAAAACATGCAGAGTGAGAGGATAGTGCCATCATGCACATGACATTAAAAATACACTCAGCACACCATGCATATCAGTGTAATGTAATGTCACTAAGGGCTTGTTCACATTAGGCTTGTCAAGAAACTGCAAGGGCCTCAAAAGGAGACACGAGTACAGCAACCGAACGATTCGTTTCAGGCAGTGAGCAAGGAATGCAATGAAAAACGATTTAGATACGGGTACACGCACACACACACACACGCATGCACGCACAAGAACAGTCTGAACTCTTTTATCATTCCTCCAGGTATAACATATATGGACGGCCTTGACAGCTTGCTTGAACAATTCTGCACTGAAAGAAGCAGATTCCTTTAGTTTCTAGAGAGCCCCGTGTGACCCATACCCACCACCCGTGCTCACAGTTTCAGTGTGTGACTGTTAGCACACTTACTTCACGTGCGGCGTCAATCTCCTTCTCCGTGACTTCGCTCACTTCTAGCTGCTTGGTTACCTCCTCAGAGGTTATCTTTGACGATTGGAGTGTTTTCACGAGATCTTCGTCATCGAGTAGAGAACCCTGGGCTGTGCTGAGAAGCCTGGTATTGACAACAGCACATGGTGGTCACACAACTTAGAAAAACAAACAAATAAACAAGCAACAAACAAATTCAACACCACACAACACATGAATACAATAGAACAAGGATCTACTAGTACATTGTATGGTTAACCCTTCCCGTGCTGGCCCCTTCCCGTGCTGGCCCCTTCCCGTGCTGGCCCCGGCTTCCCGTGCTGGCCCCTTCCCGTGCTGGCCCCTTCCCGTGCTGGCCCCTTCCCGTGCTGGCCCCTTCCCGTGCTGGCCCCTTCCCGTGCTGGCCCCTTCCCGTGCTGGCCCCTTCCCGTGCTGGCCCCTTCCCGTGCTGGCCCCTTCCCGTGCTGGCCCCTTCCCGTGCTGGCCCCTTCCCGTGCTGGCCCCTTTTTCTCCAGCAAACTGACTTTCCAGCGCACTGACTCTCTCTAGCCTATGGACTCCACGCAGCTGAATCATAAAGGAGAAGTGAAAAAGACGAATCAGCAGTAGTTTGACAGATATACCAGTATTACATACTGCTATGAAAGGAATTCGGGTGGACACACCCATTCCCATAGCGCTGCACATCCGAACCAGTTCCGTTATTTTACATACTATTTTACATACTGAGACAGAAACTAGAAAGAGCTGCAGACAACTGGCACTATGCACTACGCATGAGAGAGCTATACAGCTAATGTACCGTACCTCAGAATCTTGTCCTCGAGTTCCTCCAGCTTTCGCTTTCCTTCAGCAATGCTGACGACGAGTGTGTCTTTCTGCATCTCCAGCTCGGGTTTCTCTTTACGAACCACAATACCAAGGAGCTGTGCCTCCAAACCTGAACAGCAGTGGAACAGAGTTACCAGCAGATGGAAATGGACAATCGGGAAAGACTGAAACATTCAATGTGAAACCAATCTTGAAAACATCCCAAGCACTGTCCATTCAGGGATCATGATGAGACCTCTACATCCGGCAAAACCCACAAAATACATGCACTTCATTTCCTCTGAATTTGGCATGCTTTTTTACCCACACCCTGGCTGACACGTGCACATGAACATACAACGTATGCAGACATGCCAAACAAGAAGCAAGACGGGTCATCTCACCTTGCTCCTTGACTGCAAAGTTGACGATGGTGGTCTTGGTGGCAATTTCGGGTGTGTAGTGCGGATTGCTGAGCTTGGTGGTAACGTAGAACTTGAAGTCCGGGTTGTATTCGACCTCCTTGTCACCCAGCCGTATCATGTACCTACCACCTGCAGTAGTGCAGTGTAGCACGGTGTAACAAATAGAAACCAGGCACCATCAGGCACAGAGTAAACCCTGGCTCTGGCTAAGAACTCCATTATGCTACCATGCCAGTATTGTCATACAGCTACTGTCTGAAAGTACATGTATCACGGCTAGGCAGGCATCAGTGCTGCATTGCATGGCCAAACAGGCATGCTGCATTGATTTGTTTGGGTATTCTTGCCTGTGTAAGAGGCGTCACTCATATGGACACAGTGCATGTATCCTCGACTGCATGATTATGTTCTAGCATTTGATCTTCCATGCTTGAACTCGCTGGGCTGTGCGCAGATAGCACTAGCACTGAGGTGAATGAAGAACATGCATGCTACTATCATGACCATGACCTTTATCCACGTAGGCACACACACACGCACCTTGCTTGATGATAGATTTGTTGAGGACAGGTCCGAGAGAAGGATCCAGCTCCTCCTGTACATTCTGCAGCAGAACTGGGGTACCAAACTGGACTGCATTCTCCAGTGTTCGCAGGAAATCCGCCTGCTGCAAATCGATTACCCTCAGGTCCTACAAGGATGATAGAAAAGTGAAAGGCAACCAAATGTACACAGTGTCACCCAGTTTCATGAGTAAATTACAGATGAAGATAATTTCTATTCCAACAATAACGGTCAGTAATCATCACTTGGATAATAATTCAACACTCCTATAGCAAAACACACAAAATCATAAGAAGTAGAAGACTAGCGGTAGAGAATACGCATACCATGCATGAACAATAAGAGCCCTCTCTCGATGGAATCCCTCTCTCAATGGAATCCCTCCTTTTTCCCTCCACCCCCCCCCCCCCAACCTTCCCCAGTAAGTGTCTAAGACATTTTCGAAGATAGAGGCACCGGGGTACGTGTATTGCGATTGACGAGTATGACACAAAGCCATAAGGAAACACGCTCGATAGTGGTTGTGAATAATATGAATACAACGAATCCGTGTTACACTCGTTATTAACCCTTTATTACCGGATTACTTGCACAGCATGCACCAGAATTACGAATTTCAGCACAATTTCCAACTTCACCAGGTCATAACTTTGGTCTCCTTCACTTGATTTTCACAATCTAGGGCTTGTTGGAAAGCTCTTGGCGAGAGCAACGCCAGGGTACCAAGCTCCATTATCCAGTCGCCACAAATCAGGCGCGGTAACACAGCAAAGATGTCTCCAAGCCTGATATGCAAGCAAATTCGTCACATCAACGCCATTCCACTCTCCTTCATCGCAGAACGCTCAAATTTGTTTGAGACGATTCAAACTTCAGCCGACTACGTCATTATCATGTGCTTAGTCGCTCAAAGAGCACACGAAAAGGGATTTCCCCCAAAAATGGCGAAGTGATCGATCAAAAATTTGAATTTGCCGAGATGAGAATACGGCGCGCGATATCTCTGGCGTCCGACATCGTAACTCTTCGGCGATTGTTGGATTGGATAGCTTGGAGTTTCCGCTACCAAATAGACCTTTCGATTGTTGAATTCGCACAAGAAATGATTGAAACGATTGTTGAATTCGCACAAGAAATGATGGAGTTATGAAGATATTACTGGCCTACAGACGTTCGATCATATGATCGAAAGTCTGCAGGCCGGTAATAAATAATAGTCACTATTTGTTCATGTGTACGCCCTCTTTACGTCATGCTGACATCTTGATGCATGCAATGCGGGCACAGTTTTGCAGCCCTCGTGCCAGAGCATGCGCAGTGAGCCAGTGGCTCATCTTCGGCTATCTTTTTCCTTTCGCTCTCACTTGTCTCACCTGTTGTTTTTAGTGACATTGAAATCAAGTTGACTCAACTAATCTCAAGTAAATAGGACAATGTTGTTCCAAGAACCGGAATACCTCCAAGCAAATTGTTTGAGTGATCAGTAATTATTTGTGCGTGGCCATTGCCCCCCCCCCCATAAAGCTACACACAATACCATATAGGTGCGCGCCAGTATGCTGAATCATACTGGGATGGTATATGTACTGGTACATGTACATGCTCAGGCTGCCGCTTACCCTGGCCTTCTCCATGTGCTTGATCCACTTGATAGCCTGACCTTGTGGGTCAACCATCAATGGCCATCTGACAGCCAGGCATACACAGGCATACACAGACATACACATAGCAGAGCAGAGGCCGGCAGCAGAAATAGCAGCATCATCATCGACAGTGAAACCTACTGCGGTGAAATACCAGCTGTGTTTAGAGACTGGCCGTTCCAGGCCCCGACCATACCTGACTACATACATTTCACCTGTGTTGAAAGACAACCAGCCTATAAAGGCTGAGTTTTCATGCACCCTGGCCTGGTTGCTGAACACAGGTTTGACGGTACATGTAAGGACACAATCATGGGATCAGAAAACAGCACGGGACGTGTCCAGTTTTATACCCGTAGCACTACATCGCACAATACATCACAGCGCATCACCTGAGGTGTAAGAGCTGCTTTTTGTCATTGGAGGAAGCCTGTGGGACAGCTCATGGGCTAGTTTGCTGCCATACACGTTGTGCAATTCACATCTACAGAACAACCTTGATAACAGTCTAGTGACTGGAAGTCACTGTCAACCTTACCTTCGACCACGGGTTACGACCACACCGTTTTCGGTGGAGAATGAATCCGATGGCAGACCCTACACCAGAAACAGCACAATCCAGACACACAGCCATGGGTGGACACATGCACGGCAGCACAAGAAGGTTCAGGAAAGCACTGAATACAACCTGGAGACAGAGTTTTCGACTACTAGTAAGCAATCGCCGTGGACATGGAGTTCCTGGCTTATTTTCGCCGCAATGATGGCATTCTTGTGATGAATGATGGCAACACAGTAATATGAACATTTTTCTGAGCACAATATCATATCAATGTTGAATTACCTTTGAGAAAACCAGAAGAGCATGTCGACAAGCCTGCTCATTACCCCAAATTCATACTTGTACTTTGAGTAGCTATTCGCGCACAGTAGGTTGAACTGTTAAAGGATGATAATTAGGTTGGTTATTCGTCTTTCTTGCCGGTGTTCTTGTTGATAGGTTTGCATCCAGTATGTACCAGAGTTTATATACGGTGTTTGCCGCTTTTGAGAATCTAAGTCTACAAATACCACAAATCCACATACCTGAATATTCCACTGTCGTACAGTCGTTGCTTTGCCAAGGAAGCCAGAAAAGGAGAAGTCTGGATTGCAGGGTACTCTGAGCTCACGGACCTACAGAGCAATAGCAGAAATGTGCCAGGTGCACAGCAAGATTGTTTTTATCAGACTACAAGCAGCGTGTGACGCATCACTCAGCATTGCTACACACAACACACATGTTGACGTGGCAGAAGTACAGGCATACACTGGACATGCATTCATGTCCTGGAGACCTATGTGTTTATCGTCAGAGGTCTGCATGATCTAAAAGATGGGACAACAATACCTCACAGTCACATCCTAACTTGCTTTACCAGAGACATCTAGTTCCATAACACGTGAGATCTAAAACCTAGGCCTTCTAAACTACACCGCAGCATATATTCGGCATTGTACCTTTTTCAGCCAAATGTTCTCCACCAAGTCATCCCGGTAGTTGGAGAGGAATGGGCCAGCATAAGACATAAATGCAGCAGCCATGAGGCAATCTCCAACTAAATAGCTGATTGCTTCCTCCAGCAGCTACGCAGTTAAAACAACAAGACATGAAGAGCACGTATGTGTCCACCAATTGCAGTGCACAAAATGTACACGAACATTGTTATGCACAACTTCACATGCACACACACGCGCACACACATATGCACACACACACACACACACACACACACACACACACACACACCTCAGACCTCAGACCTCAGACATGCCCATCACGGAAGCGATGATAGCGAACAGCTATGTTAGACATAGCAACTGGTGCTGGGATTTCACCATTTAACAGCTTGCAAGGCTGATGAACACACACACACACACACACACACACACACACACACACACACACACACACACACACACACACACACACACACACGTGCGCGTTCACGCACGCACGCACACACCCACACATCTGAAACATCCATGGATATACAATATTACTGGAGGTCTGCAAACACTCCACCCTGGAATGATCAGTCTCAATCAGTTTCGGGAGGTTTTTTTTACTTCAATTCTCTCACTATGTACAGCATACACGATACAGGCTTCCCGGATGTTGCACAATGCCATTGAGTGAGGCTTCCCTGAGCTTGTGCAATACCATTGAGTTAGAAGACTAGAATAGCTTACCAGCACGTTTGCCTCCCAGCGCACTCTTTCTCCTGCCAAACCAGACACTAGCTTTCCAGCGCGGTCCAATTTCAGTGCCAGCATCTCCGCATTAGCCTTCAGTTCTTCTTTCATCTTTAGCTTTTCATCATACTGCCGTTTCAGGTCCTCCACTCTGTCTTCCACCTGGTCATGGGGAATTTGTAAGATTGAAAATGACAGTTATGAGGAGTGTTTGTTGCAATAAAATGCAACCATCTCTGATTTCTGAGTATGAGGGTGTGCTTGCTTATGCCAGTTTTCATTTTTGACAATGCTTGTTCCTCCATGGTCGGTTGCTGTGAACACTGTGACGAAGTTGATTGCATGAGCCCTTCTTGTGTCAGCAAGACAGCAGCAATTCACTGACTCACAACATATAACACGTTGATGCATGCATGGTACAAGTCAAAACCATCAAGAGAAGCATGCCATCCACCTTACCTCCTTCAGTTTCTGCTGTGCGTCCTTCAGAGATGCTTGTGCAGCCTCTAGCTTGACAGTGGCATCAGCCAAGCGCTAAAAGCAAGGACATGCAAGAAATAACTACAGTAAAACCTGTAACTAACGACCACCCCTTGGTGCCCGGAAAAGTGGTCTTTAGTGGCAGGTGGTCTTTAGTTAGAGGTTTGCACCGCGCGGCCATATATGGATCCCATTATATGATATGTATGTCAAAATGCAGATAATACAATCCCCCACCACTTGCGCACTGACATTCTTCTTTCAGATCATACAACGTTAACACTTGGAGAGAGAGAAAATCAAGTTTTTTATACACCGGAAGCGATACGACCTTTTGACCCGTATGTCGACTCACTGGGTTTCCAGAGCAGCGCTGGCCTGGCCAGGCACTGGACTAGTCACTATCGACTCCATCCTCATCTGTGTGCGACTACACTGGCAACTGGTATCAGTGTGTAGATCTACAGTGGAAACTCAGTCTTGGATGTAGTGTAGCGTAAACTGTACTGGTGTGTACCAGTACTCGATCTACGTGATGCGGCAATGTTGCGAGTTTTCGCACCTTCACTGTGGACTAGTATCCGCCATCGTTTCCTGGCCTGTGTTCCGTACAGGTGAGTACATGTACCGTAGCATGCTAGCTAAACCAGCACAGACTGTCACTGTGTCAGTGTGACCTGGTGACTGAGCTGTGTGATTGCGCTTCCACAGAGAGCCGCTTAGTCTTAGTTTCTCCTTCGAGTAGTAATATCGATCAAAGAGCGCTTTGGATGCGCTCTCCAAGACGTTTTCTATCATGTTTGTTCTTGACAGCACTTGAAATTATGACAGGTGTAGTGCAGTCCACACTGATTCCACAGTAAAAATGAGACTGCGTTCATTTGTCCAGCTGTAGTATCGAAACGACCATGGAAAATCATCAAAATTTCGAGAAGGAGCTTCGAGCAATGTTTGATTTGCTACATCGCGGTCGCTAGTTACGGGTCAAAATTCGACATTGGGACAAGAAAAGGCGGTCGCTGGTCGCGTTCAGCAGGTAGTCGCTAGTCACAGTGCATTTTGAATGTGAGACCGTCCGTGCCTGGTGAAGTGGTCCGTAGTACCAGGCTGGTCGCTAGTCACGGTGGTCTTTAGTTACAGGTTTTACTGTATATGAATAATGCCGCAACATTCAAATTTGTGAGTAGTATTGGGAATGCATGTATTACACACAATGAAAACGGATACAGGCGAGTACAAGTTCACCGCATCAGGAAAGATACTAAGTCAGCTTGTACCATGCAAAGAACAGCAGGCATCACAGGACAGAGCGTATAGAACCAGTCAATGCTGCAATAAAGTGCACTACGGCCTAATGGTTCGTCTTACTTTCTTCTTGGGCTCCACAACTCTGTAGATACGTCCATAGACTTCCATAGCTCTCACCCACATGCACAGGGACTTGGCAGCGAATGACACACGGCCAATGTTGTCCGGTTGAAAGTCCTTGTCCGAGCAGATACTGCCGATCTTCTTGAGTATCTTGTCCGAGATGTTTTCCTTGTTGAAATTAATCAGTGAGTTGATGAAGTTACCTTCACCTGTATTGGCAAATAAAACCATAATATTATGCATATAAATAAGGAATAACGAGGTTTTATTGTGTGACTCAAGTTTCACGCTTATGCTATGAATTGTGTATAATTATATCAGTTTTTGAATGAGGGGAAACAGTTACCCCTAATCCATTTTTCCATTTTCCAAAGTTGACTTGCCACCCAAAATGCAACGTGCCCCGATTTCACCATTTTTCACAGGAGGGCGCTCAATTAGAGTAACGGGGCGTTGCCCCCCCCCCCCCCCCCTCCCCACACACACACCCTACTTTGGCTAGAGCCCTGACAACTGTACATATCTATCACTTACCAATAGCACGCTTGGCGTCAGGCCATCCTGTCTTTTCGCCCTTCAGAATCATGACGGCGTCCATGACACGTTCCACCAGCGGAGGTGGCATAGTGTACGATCTCACTTCCGTCATGTCAGTCTTATTCAGGGACTTCAGTGCCTGCAGAAGAAGCAGGGAGCATAGCAGCCTGCTGAATACACCTATGCATTCGTGAGCCATCCTGAGGCCTACGAAATCAGTACTGCATTGTATTACTATGCTCCTCCAAACGGCAATAGCAACATCAGGGTGATAAATAACAGAAGCAAGTATGGATTGCATGGGGCTCTGTGCTTTCTAGTTTCTGATGAGTCAGCAAGATGTCAAACTTGAATGATTACCGATATTCTAACATGCCCAGGAAAAGACACAGCTTTCAAGTCCAGGTACTGTACTCGCCTCTGTAGCGGCTTCAAGAGCTGGGATGGCTTCAGCAAGGTCTTTCTGAGCAGCTTCAGCAATTGCCTTGCAGCGTTTCTCTTCCTCAGCAATCTTTTCACCACGAGCAGCAACCATCTGAAGAAACAGAACACAACCGGGAAGACACTTGAGGGCATCTGAACAGGATGCAGGAATGCGAACAGAAGGGAGAGCGGGAAGGGGGGGGGGGGGAGGGCAACGAGAAAGCGTGAAGTAGGGTGCATAATAACACAGACATGCTTGAATGGAACACTCACACTCTGCTGCAGATACATGTAGGCACGCAGTGCGAGTGGTATTATCATGCAAGGATATTGCTGGATGAGTGTGGAGCGCTGATCATACCATGCTAAGACCTAACCTTCTTTTGATCATCGGCTTCACGCTTTTGCTGCACCAGAACGATCAGGTACTCCTCGCATTCCTTCTGGAATTGAGCCACCTTTAGCACAGTGATACAGGCGCACAACACACAGCACTAGCAACACGAATACAGGACTGGAAGCACTTACTCTTCGAGGCCGGGTGACCACTTTCATTCAATGTATGTGATGTTTGTAATTACTCCATCTCCAGTAGTTATATGTACATACACACAGTATTGAGACGGGAAATTATGTTGCAGCTCCGAGTTTGATGTTCATGTGTGATCATCAGTATGCGTGATCATCGGGCAAAATCACTCGGTCTTAGCAGTCAGGACATATAGCACTCTTCCGACAGTGAAGTACCCTACTTGCTAACACGTCTGCCCAGGTATAGATGAAAACAATCGTGTTCACCATAGCATGCCATGTGTACAGGCTGGCAGCTGTGTCGTGTGTCGTGTGCCTAGTCGCTGTGGCCTCAATGGTCACTACATAGCTGGAAGTGACTCAATTTGAACACAGCCCCAGCATACGAGCACTAATCTCCACCGGTATGTATGACACATGCACTTGTGAACATGACCAAAGGAAATAGCTGGGGCAAAAAAAGACATCCGAATATGACTATACCCGGTCACGGACCACCACGATGAGAGAGAGAGACCACAATTGACAAACCTGTTTGGTCTTTTCCTCCAGCTCCACGCTCATGCTCTCCACCTTTGTGCGTGTTTCGTCCAGCTTCAGCAGTCCATTGCGCAGCTTGGAGGCCGCATCACCCAGTTCCTTTCGCTTCTCTTCAAGAAGTCTACATAGCCATACACAGACAGGTGTCTCAAATCCTTAGGCTGCCTATAGTGCTCTATGTCACAGTCCAGTGGACAGAGTCAGTAATTCAGTTTTTTACACAGCAATGGTACAACCAAGTTATTCAAAGGGGCTCCTGGCTATCTAGACTCTAAATGCTCGGTGTTAGTGCTGAGTAGTATAACACTGTTTTCAAACAAAAAATGGCAGAACGATGCAGTTCCTGGGCATGCCATGAACCAGTGGGGCTACAGCGCTGCATGCGCCAGTCACCGGGGGGAGGGGAGGGGCTGCATGTGCCCGAGAAGTTATACACTGTGTTTCTGCAGCGACAATAGAGCTCACAGTTTGTAGCCAGACACGAGCTCCAGGTAGCTGGTTGGTGTGACATAGTTGTGACGCTTCATCTCGGCCAGCATTTTCTTAGACGCCTCACCAACTGAGCGGTGCATGGTCACAAAGATGGATGCAAGGTTGAGACGAAGCTGCAAGAAAGAGACAAAGCGTGTGTGCACTTGCCAGATTCAATCTAAATTCAGGAGAAATGAAAGGCTAAGGCATGACTGTTTGTGCCTAATGGATCGGTATTGCTTTGCATCTGCTCACACTTCCACTCCTCACCAATCAAGTTAGGCTATGATTCCATTTCGAACAAGACCAAATCAAGGTGATGGTACATGATTCTCTGTCTCTGTCTCTGTCTCTGTCTCTGTCTCTCTGTCTACATTGTTTTTTTTGTTGTTTTTTTTTGTTTTTTTTACAACTAGATTAATTTTCCATGATAAATAAATACAGTATACTAGTAATCAATCAGTAAAATCCAAAGAAACCGCTAGAAGCAGTATGCGTAGTAGTCTACGGCCAAGATACCCTGTCTCTCTCTCTCTCTCTCTCTCTCTCTCTCTCTGTCTCTCTCTCTCGTCTCTCTCTCTCTCTCTCTCTCTCTCTCTCCTCTCGCTCTCGCTCTCGCCGCTCTCGCTCTCGCTCTCGCTCTCTCTCTCTCTCTCTCTCTCTCTCTCTCTCTCTCTCTCTCTCTCTCTCTCTCTCTCTCTCTCTCTCTCTAACTCTCTCTCTCTAACTCTCTCTCTCTAACTCTCTCTCTCTAACTCTCTCTCTCTAACTCTCTCTCTCTAACTCTCTCTCTCTAACTCTCTCTAACTCTCTCTCTCTAACTCTCTCTCTCTCTAACTCTCTCTTTCTCTCTCTCTCTCTCTCTCTCTCTCTCTCTCTCTCTCTCTCTCTCTCTCTCTCTCTCTCTCTCTCTCTCTCTCTCTCTCTCTCTCTCTCTCTCTCTCTCTCTCTCTCTCTCTCTCTCTCCCCCCTCCCTCCCTCCCTCCCTCCCTCATCAAAATCAAAGACTGCTACACAATTGTGATTTTGTATAGCAGAAACTGCTATGCAAAAATATGACAGTAAATTCATCCCTGATATAGATAATCAGCTTGTTGCTCGTTAGTCAAACAATACCTCATCAGCTTCACTGTCAGACATGTCACCCAGTTTGATGTCCTCCAGGTAGCGTTGTGCCACCTCCTGCAAGGCCTCCTTTGGCCACTCTGTGAACCAGTCGATAGTTGTGCAATTCACAAGACCGGGATACTGGCGAAGGCGATTTCTAAAAGAGCATATGGGCAGAACACATCAGTAACAAAAGTTCACATAGCCGTTAGTAAGCAGTACAAGCCTGGGCTAAATCTAAACCAGAATAGTGAATGTGCCACGGTAGCATTAGGTACTGTACATAAGCAAGTTGATCTGAATAGAAGCAAATCTGGTTTAGATGATGAAATAGACAGGAGAACGAGTAGCAGTAGTGGCAATAGAAGTAGTGGTAATGAGAAGAACAAACTGACCTGAATGGTTCGCCCACAGGACTCATACACAGGACAATGTGCAGATTGTTGCGGACACGTTCGACAAGGAACGCAAACATGGTATCCGGAAGATCCAGAACACCTGCCTTTGCTGCCTCACTTGACAGAGCCGACCGCACCTGAACATAAGAGAGAGAGAGAGAGAGAGAGAGGGGGGGGGGAGAGGGAGGGAGAGGAGAGAGAGAGAGAGAGAGAGAGAGAGAGAGAGAGAGAGAGAGAGAGAGAGAGAGAGAGAGAGAGAGAGAGAAAGAGAGAGACCTCTAAGCTAAGGCTACTGCAGGGCGCACAATGGTGCGTGACTTGACCATGAATGACGACAATCTGGAGACAACTGAAAATCACATCACAGCACTTCCTTCTGCCTCTCTTTCTGAATTTCAATACACAACGGTTCTTCTGCGACTAACCTCTTCAAATTCATCAGGTTTGTAGAGGTTGGGTACCTCTCCACTACTCAGAATGTTGTTGATATCTTCAAGGAAACTCTCCATTACCACCTGTGTGTCATTGAAAAGGAACACTGTTGGCTTGTTCTCCACGCCAGCCAAGTAATAGAGACGACGCAGATCTGGGAAACAAACACACACATGGCATTCCAAATTCGCGGTTGTCCTCGATCCTCAAGCCAAGCAACGTTGGGCGAGGTTAGTACTTGGATGGGTGACTGCCTGGGAATACCTCGTGCAGCAGCTGAGTCGTGCTGTTGACTTTTCTTTTCTTTTCTTCTCAGTTTTCATGACGCTTTCTTCTTCTCTCTACTAGTACAGCTCTAGCGTGCGTCGGTGGGTGGTTCGGCGGTAGTGTGGGCCAGGTTGTATGTTTGTTTTGAGCTTTGTCCCCTTCTGATGCCCCCCCCCCCCGACCCAGCCATTCTGGTGGAAAGGGCCAACCCGTTTTTCATCATGCACGGATACACTAACTACACTTTTGTAAGCAACTAGCCAGTTCGACCCTGGTGGGGCAAGTGGTTGGGTTCGTCCTGCATGCATGTCTGGTCACGGTGCATAATGTGCTGGTGCTTTGGGCAGGCTTTGCCCTTCCCCCCTCATCCCATGCAGAAGGGACAGTATGCCCATCAGCCATGATGGGGGAATCACTGCTTCTTCATCATGCACTGACTAGAATCCAGTTTGAAAGGCGAGAAGCTTGTGATAGCGACCATGGACAAGGAGGGAGTGAACGTGCACTGAACTTTTCATTTCATCATGAACTTCCCCTTTAACTAGTAACGATGTGAATGTGGGCATATATGGTACATGGCTTGGGTGCGTGTGTTATAAATAACTTTGGTTATGAAAACCTAGTTCTCTTGCACATTGGTGTTGGTTTAATAATAATATATCAAGAGTTGACTGTACAATGCACCGGACAGTACACTGACCTTCTCTGAACTCCTGCAGTCGGTAATGACGGGAGATCTCGATCTGAAAGACATTGTACTCCAGAATAGAGCTGCTGAGTCGCGCCAGGCTCTGGCGTCCGCTGCCGCCGACACCGACCAGCAGCATATTGCCACGAGGCTGCCGAATCACGCGCACTATTCTGCATACTGTGCACCGCACAGCATGGCACAGGGAGAAGAGAGGAAAACAGAGTCAAGCACCTTGTCAAGTGCACTCGGCAGACACACAATGTACAGCTGATATGCTATGCAACACGATAAAGAGTTCACATTCGTGATTGCATATGCGGCACATGCAAGTGGGGATAGTACGAATTGTGCGATAGCCAATACTACAGCACAATCGACTTACTTCACTGAACAGCTGATGCAAGACTAAGCTAAGCACACACCAGACCCGCTACACCAGTGCATGCACTAAGTGTGGCATGAGTTCCGTCCAACACCTACCATGTTCGATAGCGTCACGGAACAGAACAAGATTCATGGCAATGACACCTGGCGTCATGTTGTAATCCTCCATAGAATTCTCCATGGTGTTTTTCAGCTCCTTCGGGTTGGTCAAGTCCTCGTAGACAGGTGGGTTTAGATCAGGACGCATGAAATCACCTGCACCAGGCCAAGTCACGCGTAAACATGCAGAGAAGAGGACATCGCAATGCCAATAGGTGGATAGAAAGCACACCAACACATTCAAAAACTAATACATACACAATCATGTACATGTAAGGGATAAGCACCTTAGACCCGAGCCATAAAAGCCAGAGCTCTCCACAACTCTTTGATTCTACATTACTGCCACACAGGATGAACAAACCAATTTGCAATGATTCACATCTTGAGCTCACCGAACACAGGCAGGACTTTGTTCGGACACACAGTGTTGAATGAGACGTCAAACAAGTTCCCGAGTCGTTCGGATACCATGGTCTGAAATCCTTCCCGGTCCTTGTCATCAATCAACCGATCTGCAAATACTCTGCAGTGAAATAAAGACGGGAGTAGTTAGACAAGACACTCCTTGCAATGACCCAGCGCGTACGAACATGTACTCGTAGTACACAGTAATGAATGGGCAGAAAGCACAATAGCCGATACAGCAGTAGCAATCATTACATCACCTATAATGACATTACATCACCTATAATGACTACAGCCATGTACCACGTAAATACTGTGTACTTTGTGTGTTTATTTTTATTTTACTTCACTGAAGTCAGGGCCAGAAACTGCACCGTTGCCTTGTAACTATACTTACCTGTAGGATTCGTGGATCCATAATCGGATCATGGCGTTCTTCGTGTCATGGTAGTTCTTATTAGCACGCAGCAGGCCCTGGAAAACCTTGGAAATGTCACGCAGGTTGAACAGGTAGTGAATCTTGGCGGGCGTTGGCAACATCTTTGTTGAGATTTGCTGCGCACGTGGAAATACAAAGTGACATGCAACAGTGCAAGAATCAGCACATAATACCACACCGAATGCTTGCAGCCTAGTCTTGTGGGGTCCACTGCACTGTGGGACATGGACAAACGAACGAGACTACTCAGAAGGGGTCAGCGTCAAGCCTGTGTTCTGTGTACCCACATCAGTGTGTTCTGTAGACCAGCTGAGGGTGTGACAGGAAACCAGCCTTTCCTTTTCCAGCCTGGTTCACTGTTTGCAATGTTCGGGGCTTGGACTGGAGCAGGGGTTGGGGTAGATGTAGCCGTACATGTAGACCAGCAGTGATTCCTACCTGATAGATTTCCAACGTGGCCTGCGTGATTATCGGTCCAACTGGTTTCACATCTTCTTCAAAATCCTGCAGCTTCTGGGTGATCATCGTGCCAAAGATACGCTTGATCTGACTATCCTGTGGCAGAACATTCATGCATCAACCACAGCACAGTGCATGTATTTCAGGACTCGTTTATCCAGGCCCAAGGAAGTTTGAAAAAAAGAAAACAAGTTTGAAATGTATTTATAGGGTGGTCAGCTTTCTCATCTACTCGAAAATATTTCTTGCAAAAAGAAGATGATGTAGACGAGACCGGCTTGACCATGGTGAGCAGTTGCATACAAACACACACTGGTACACTGAACATGATCACTGCCATTGGAATACGTAGTCCAGTACCTGCGGAAATGTCATGTTGATCAGACTGAAGCGGCTTTGCAGCCGGCGGGATATGTGAGTACGGCCACCACCGGGAGGGCCCATTGCAGCCATCAAGAACATGTCCTGGGCACATAAGCACACACACACACATAACTTCACATACACAATACATACATGACACAGGTGCTAAGCTGGAGGAGAGGAGGAAAGTTCTCTATTTGATCCAATGTTATGAATGGTATGAATATGACAGGAGAGTATCGGGCATGTGTACACCATCAACTAATGACACATTAAAATCAACAATGTATGACTGACCTTGACTGTTTTGGGCACCTGCTTCAGGCGATCGTACCAAAACCCATAATCCATCCACTGACGCACAAGCTCCAGCGGTGGCTGAGAGCCAAAAGTATCCTTGGCTGGCATATTGAGATCGTCCATGAACGTCAGTAGCTTCTTACCGCCAATCGGTACGAATACACCTGGGAGCAGGAAAGCATGGGATTAGAAAGTTAGAGGACATAGAACTTTCCTCAAATTTCTCGGCCCATGCCACGGAAAAGAGGACGTAACATTCTGAGAACTGTGAATTGTGAACTGCATCCCAAGTTTACCACGGCTGCATGCGCCTCCTCGCTACACCAGCCTCGAAGAAGCAGCCACTCTCCCCAGGCATGGTTAAGTTGCTGGTTGACTAGTTCCTGACACCCGTCGTGGATTTGGACACCCTACAAACCCATTGTGGTGGGTTACTCTTCGTTCTTGCGCCCGACGAACTGCAGCAGATCTGATGGCTCAACATATTAGCTTCACTCCAACGCATGCTGCAATATTTGTGCCAGGTCACAAGAACGACCAGCTTCGGGAAGAGCATCACATACTTATTGCACATTCTTCATCCTCATACTGACCTGTCAGCCTATTCAGCCGGGTTCTTTGTCAGGGCCACCACAGTGATACCAAACTTATGTTTGGGCAGATCTCCCGGGGCTCCTGGTCGCTTGATCAGGTTCGCAATGCACCGACATCGTATTCACAAGAGGAAGCTGTGTGTGCCTGCTACTCCAGGGAATCGGCCAGGACCCTGCCCGGTTTGGGCACACACAGCTTCCTCTCTGGTGGAGCATCATCAGCAATAGCCGTAGTCACAGATAGCCTGAGATGGGCTCTTCAAACCGCATGGTGGTTGGAGGAGTGATGCCGCCAAGGATGACTATGTACCCCTCACTTTGCCTGCTACTGCCTCCGTTAGGGGTCGTCGCAAAAGTTTTTTGTCGTCCCTGAAACGAACATGATTCATTTGGGGGGGAGGGGGTGCGAGCCAAAATCGCAAGTCGACCGACACTGTACATATGACATGTACATGCATGCGATTTTCGTCGTCCAGCTGCATAGCAAGCTGTGTTCGTTTCAGAGGGAGGGGAGGGGGTCCGAGTACGAAATGAACGATGTTCGTTTCAGGGACGACAAAAAACTTTTGCGACGACCCCTTATCTATGTCTGTTTGTATGCCAGTGTATGCGGAGCGAGAACCATTCTTACCTTTCGTTCGCTTTTCCACCCGGCTTTCAATGATCTCCTGGACATTGTTGGAAGTGGTCTACAACATACAACAGATTGATAGCAGGGTAAAGGGCACACTATGAGCTGGCTTATTGCAGTGCAAAAAGCAGCATCAAAGAAAGTGTAGCCTATATGCAGATAGGATCTCAGTCTTTACTCAACTTACACTCTTCATAGACCTCGTCTTGCTCAATATCATATAGTTAGGATGACTGCATTCAGAAAGACATTTTCACACAACTCCTGCCGACTATCGTACCTATTGATAACCATGGGGAAATGGCAAACGTTATGTCTTACAACATCCCCGTTCCAACGTCCCCACCCACAATCAACTGTCTCACTCTCTCTCTCCCGCACCCGCACCCACACCCACACACACAAACACCCGCAATTCACCCCCCCCCCCCCTCCCTCTCCCCCTCACCCACCCATACCCCCCCCCCCACACACACACACACACTATCTGCACCCCCTCCCCTCCCCTTCCAACACACATAAACACACACACACACCACGCACACCACGCACACCACCTGGCAGTCTCACTAAAGTCCACACCAACACACAACACACACACACACACACACACACACACACACACACACACACATATTCAATGTGACATGCATACCTGAGCCGACATGTTGATCATCAGGATGTTGTACTTGCTCGAATCAAGCTTTTGCAATACGCCACCAGCAACAGAGGTCTTGCCAGTCCCGACCGGACCAGTCATCAGTACAGGCCGTCCAGTGCTGATCAGAGAATGTACCAGGAAATCATAGCGCACTGTGTCCACGGTCGGAACCATGATCTTGTAGAATGGAGAGCTACCAAACACACACAACACAGCACAACACATGACAGCGGGTGTTATCACTAAATGCCACATAGGGCGTTTGCGAAAAGTCTTTCCTCGCATTTTCATGCAATTTACAATGATCAATCAAGAGGCAGTGAAGGGCTACTATCCAGCCTCACCGTGCACTCACTGATAGTACACTTTGAGCAGGCTCATCAGTGTCACCATCAGTCATGCTGCTTGGGGATTTCAACATAAATATTAGCTCAGCTGCAACACCTCAGTTTCAACATTGTAACAGTGCAGTTACCATATTTCCCATATAAATGTAAGTCTCACCTTCCACACGAAACCGTCAAGGGCAAAGAATGGGGTGCGACTTACTATCGAGTGTGACTTAATACTTATGTGAACGTATTGAAACAATAAGGCACAGACCTAAAAACGGGGTGCGACTTATAATCAAGCGCGACTTATAATCAAGTGCAACTTATAATCGGGGAAGTATGGTAGCTTTTCTGTTGAGCAGTTGGGTGAGCGCGACGGCGGCAAGTGGTTTTCATTGAGCAGGACTGTACCTGCATGACCAGTGAAGAGGATAACAAGGCGTTGTTAGTTTGTTACCAATCCGGTCCTAAATTCTTACTTGGCTGGATAACGCCATGATGATCGGAGCTGTTCCTCCCACATGACCCAGCCTTTGTTCCTCACGTCAACTTGGTACTCGTAGATAGAGTCCTGCAGATAGGCAATGGCAATGGACATGACATGTGGCTCTTGTGTTGGACATTTGTGTTGTGAACCCTCTGGTTCTCTAAAGTGTCAGGAACGAACGACCCCACACAGCATGAGGACAACTATTTATTCTCAACAGTATATTATTTCACTTCCATCGACTAATATTAATGAACAATTAATGAATGAATGAAAAACACTAAAACCACCAGGTAGTTATAGCGTGAAAATGACAGCATATATGAGAAAAGCATACACATACAACTACAGCGCACACAGCAAACCGCACATAGCGCATGTAGCGTATACTACGTCGTAAACATCAGCGGTACGGCGGAGTCGGGATACAACTGCATTGGAACGAACACAATGTCACAAGCGAGAAGGCCTTTCACTCTCGAGAACTTGTGGTTTCACAACAATTTTCACACTTGCAGCACATAAATGCCCCTACTTGGCATAGAGGCACAAGAGTATACACACATGTATGTAAGTGGCATGATAGCGGCAATTAGCTGAATGTACATGTCTTTGCTTATGATTAAGTCAGGCAGTGGACACTGTAGTGTAATCGCATGCTCACCTTAGCTGGGAACTGGCCTTCAAGCTCCCGGTAGTACGCGTCAATTTTCTTTCTGCCTTGCTCATCAACAGATGCAGCAATTGACCAGATAACACTGAACAGGAACCAAAGTTCCAGCATCCGTAGATACGTCTCTTCATCATCAGATGCATTTACCTATCAAACAAGACAGAAAATACGGACACACAACATGTCAGCAATACAAGAAGCCAATCTACACTCTACACCAGCTGTAGCATTGGCCAGTGAAACCCCGGACTCAAGAACAGCGCCACATATTGACCGGGCTTATATCCTATAATGCATGCACTGAGCCCCATTCCACAGTTCAGGGTACCAAGGGTTGCTCGGCGCATGCACATAAACGTGGGTACCAGGAGTTGAATTTCACTGTTCAGTACTGTACATGTACTTCACGTGTTGACTAGTGCAACATCTGCTGAACAGGTTACGGTGATAACAACGGTGTGCCAGGCAACAGAGATGATCAATCACAATTCATGCAGCTGACTTCTTCATACATGAGACTTACTCCATTCTCAGCTGTGGCCAAAGCATCCACGAGTGTGCAGAGAGAAGTGATGCTGTTGATTTCGGCCACGGGAATCGTCTCCTTGCAGTTGACTCGCTTGAACTCCAACAAGCTTGGGACGTGTTTGTCGAATAGACGTCGCAGAGGCTCAATTGATCTCTGCAATGCGCACAGCAAAGATAGAGAAACAAAACCAGCAAAGGCACTATCACTCATAGATTCTAGCCAGGCAGAGTATTGCACAAAATATCTCAAGGCACTTGTTCCAGCCCGGTAAAGTGAATTGTTGAACTTTGCACAAACGAAATCCATAAATGCCCAAAGGTCTGTATCACAGAATGTGCAGCCAAGATGTGAAATATCATACAAAAGCCCCAATTTTGCTAGTTCCGTCCCTCAGTCAACTGTTAAAAATAGTCTAACACATTTCGGACGCATCCTCAGTTTCTCACCAGAGAATACATGGAAATAAAGCAAGAAAAGGTGCCTGTATGAACATTACAAGCCGCATACTTCTAGTTCAGGAGTAACATCATTTGTCACTTCAGATGAAGACCTGTGGCATCTTGATGTATGATATCTGCGTTTTCAGCTCACATAGCACTGGGTTTCAGCTGTGGATCTATAACGCCTCGAGATGCAGCTGAGTGGGCGCCGGTTGCTGGATAATACGAAAGCAGTCACTGTACTGCCTCAGGACGCACATTACCTTCTGGCATGCTGGCTGCTCCATGATACAATATATTTTCGCATGCTGGCTACTCCATGATACCATATATTTTGGTATGCTGGCTGCTCCATGACACAATATATTTTGGCATGCTGGCTGCTCCATCATGTAACCACTCGAGAGAACGGGCCGAAAAACGGAAATTGTTTCGACAGTTGACTGAGCAGTGAAACCAGCAATGTTGTTGCTTTGTGTGACTAAATTTCCGTCACCTAAATCTGTGATGTGAGCTACTGTGGTTGGAAAAGAAACCACTTGTACTCACCTGCTCTGTTCGTCGCTGCAGCCATGACTCAACGTAGGGCCTGTAGCCAAGACTGCTGTAGTCCATGTAGACCATCCCACAGCGACTGACGGTGGCTGGTGATGCTACAGACAAGTCCTGAGTCTCAAACAGCAGTGAGACCTGCATGCAAAGAGATAGCATGATCAGAGCTCATGAAGGCACGTTCCTGTCATATACATGTATGTCGAACCGCACCGGTCCTAATTGCAATTATTATAATTATTATAGGCTTTTCCGCATTGGCATCGCCAAGCAAGCTTGGCTAGCCTTCGCATAAACTGCTCCATAACAGACAGGACGGGTTGGAGCAATTGAGACAAGAGGTGTTCGGCATGGGGTGTTACAACTCACAAAGGAGTTGGAGGACTCCAGAGGAGTCAGAGGGCTGTCAGTTCCTTATCCAAATATCCCTAATCGCATAATCCCGTATCATCCCAAATCATCCCTAATTGGATGCCTAATTGCAATGCACAGTAAACTACCTAGCAGCAGATGCGGATTCAGGTCAAGACTTCCTCATGGCCAGACTACACAATGAGTGTGGTCAGACCAGCTAGGACAGAACCTTTCAATAGGAACCATAGGTCAGTCAACTGGTGGACTGGCGGCAATGAGAAGACTTGCAGCATGTGCATGTTAGTGAGTGCATGAGAAGACTTGCAGCATGTGCATGTTAGTGAGTGCACACATGTATATGTGGGCCTTTCCTACCTGAGGAGGCATGGATATCCGCTCTCCGTTGATCAATGTCAGCACTTTGTTATCATCCATCACACTATTCATGGACTCAATCCACAGTGTATCCACAGGCGCATCGAATAGCAGCCACTTTTCATCGGGCTTCTCGTCTTCAAACATCGACCACACACACGGGTGCACACACACACACACGTGCACGCACACACACACACACGCACGCACGCATGCACGCACACACGCACGCACGCACGCACGCACGCACGCACGCACGCACGCACGCACACACACACACATACAAACACAAACACACAAGCACACAAACACACAAGCACACAAACACACAAGCACACAAACACACACACAAGCAATGTCATGTGTCAACAATTGTTACTTGTGAGCAAGACAGCCTGGGCGAAATGTGCCTATATGACTACAGTCCATTCATAAAAAGATGGGCCCTGGCTCTGGCGAGCTCCCGTATTTGGCGATTTTTCGTGATTTCATCGTACACAGTGCAGTGCTGCGAAATTTGAAATTTGAAAAAGGGTCCAAAAAGGGTACCTGAACTGGGGTTCGAACCGCACAATGCACTGTTGCAGACGGGGTCAAACGGCCTGGATTTTTACGGGTTTTCCCAATTCAATGCTTTGGGGGCAAAACCTGGCCGAAATCCTATTCTTGTTATGGCTTGCTTTTTGGACAAAAAAACTTCAGAAACATAATTGGAAGAGGATTCCATAGGGGATTGCAGAAAAAAATTCTAAAAAAACTCAAAGTTTGACCCATTTATGGCCAAAAGCTAGAAGTCCATCTTTTTCTGAATGGACTGTAGTGTTGAAACGAGCGTATCTATAACAAACGAGCGATCAGTTCCACTAACGAGCAAGCTATCGAGCGAGCTAACGAGTTTCATTGATGTGGCAAATATGATTATTTTTTTGAATAATTTTTTTCTAAGTATTAGTTCGATTTTTTTCAGCTGGTTCAAATATCACCGCCGGCATTTGGGGTTGCTGCTGCTTCACTTCGGACTGCTGTTTGGTGTCGAGATGTCTTTTCAGCGCCGTCGTCGATTAGCCTTTGTAAGAATAGACCGTTTTGCAAAGATTGCAAGTAGCCCTGGTCTTCGCTGCATCGCGGGAGAAAACTTCCAAACGACTGAGCGTAACTTTCACTCGAATGGAGAGGTGACCGAAGCATATCCTGCGACAGGTCAGCAGATGCGGAACAAGACATCAGTAGAGTCCACCAAAGCTGCAACGACAACTGAAACAACTCAAGTGTCGTGCAGGCATACAGTCACCTGTAACTGCGAGTGATTTTCACTTTGCGCGGGACTGGACTCTCGATCGACCAGGGAGTCGTAAAATAGTTTACGACTCCCCGGTCGACATGTACTGCCATGTGTACGGAGTACGGTGTACGGTGTTCGTTAGTGCAAACGAGCTGGCCGCACAAACGAGCCGAGTTTCTGGCGAGCGAGCTAACGAGTATCCGGTGAGATCGTTTCAACACTATAATTATATGACTAATTCAAATCCGGGAAAGGAATGCCGGCGAGTATAGTGATCTAGTAGTCCTTGCTGCTTTCAACCTCTCCAGGCTCAACCTTTGGTGGCATACAATAGAACTTTGCCCAGGATCTCAACTACCCAAGTACTACATACCTAACAAGAAAACCAGTCGAGGATTATCAATATAGTCAGCCACTCAACGCAAATAAATGAGAAGCATTACTGATCATACCTGCACAGATCTGCCTCATGACGCTCGACAGCACACCATCTGTCCACTCGTTGGTGCTGAGGTCAAACTCTCCGTACAGTTCTCCCAGTGAGAGAGATTTAGGATTAATGGGATGGTCCTGCAGCACAGATTCACAACAGAACCCATTGCAGCAGATGTGGACAATGTTAGGCCTGAAAGCAGGTAGAGGTCTACCCTAAAAGCTAATCACACAATTGTGAACCACTATAGTAACAAGCAGGTTGTTAATCTATGCATTTGCGCTGATGGAGAGAGAGTGGGGGGAGGGGCAGAGAGGTGCGAGAGAGGGAGGTGAGGTGAAAGAGAGGTTAGAAAGGGGAGATGAGACAGAAGGGGGAGGTGAGAGAGAGAGAGAGAGGAGGTGAGAGGGAGGGGTGTGTGTGTGTGAGAAAGAGAGAGGGGTAGGTGAGAGAGAGAGAGAGAGAGGGGGGGGGGGCGCGCGGGGGTGAGACGGGGAGGTCTCAGGAGGAGACTAGAGAGAGACTGGTACCTACCTTGACAACGTTGTAGGCAGGATCTTTGGTCTCCTTTTTCAGCCTGCCAAGTGTTGACTGCAAAATTCGCCAGGTAGTGGATTTTCCTGAGCCTGTCTCACCAACAATCATCACAGAATGACGTGAGTTCTTCGTCTCGAAGAGCTGAATGACCTTGGTGATTGAGTTAGGTGTTACTTGGAGATGTGCTTTGCGCAGCTCTGCCTCAATTGCTTTCAGCATCTATTGAAGTTGAGGGAGCAAGGCAGCCAGTATCAAAATAATAGTTCATTAGACATAGAGCAAGGGAGGTGTTACAGGCCGGCCATATAGGGTACGGGTGACAAACAATACATCAGCCAAGCATACATGAAAGAAAATAGGATGGGACGTGATTCAACTCACGACTGAGTAGTCCATCTGCGGTGTTTCTATGCCAGGGAACAAGTCCGACACGATTCCATTGAAGAGTGGCGTGTCGGCTGCTGTCAGCTTGGCAATGTTCATGTCTTTCATGGCAAGTAGTAATACCTGCAGGCACAGAGCACAACATAAGTCCATTCTCCTGTTTAGCCTTGTCAGTACCGCTGCCAAGTGGACCAATTCTGTCTCCTCAAAGAAGATTACAAACAAATGCCATGAACAAGTTTTAGAAACTATCTAAATTGAAGATTCCCAGCACTGCAGGATACTCTGCTGTTTCCAACTTTCTATCCCAGGCAGAAGTGCTCGAACTCAGGCTGCAGAAGGACCGCAGGCTCCTCAAAAACATGGAATGTTCAAGCAAGACAATTCTGTTGGAACAGAACTTTGCAACTAATCGTCAGATGACTGACAGTCACCCGTTACACACTCTGACTTTGTTATTCCCCAAGTTCCAAATTACCGACAAGCAGTACGAGTTTTCAATCCAAGTGAATGCGTGATGCAAACCTGTTAGAGAGAAATGGCAGAATTAGGCTTCTCGTGTTCCTCAAAATCTCTAAGGCAGCCGACTTCTTTTTGGGAAGGGCAGATACTTACCTCATCATCAGGTGTTGTTGGCGACACACGCTTCTTGCGGCCAGCGTAACGCAGCACCGAGACCAGGGCACGTAGTCCAAAGTCATAATGGTCCTGCTTGGATAGCTGCTGCACTGCCAAACTGTACAGCGTCTGCACCTTTCTGGCAAGAACCTGTCGGCATGAATGTTGGGCAAATGAATGCATTGCACAGTAACACACATCCAGTGCTTGCTTCATTGCAGAGGATTTCCAGAACAGCAGCATTTTTTCCTTCTCCTTTTTCACCATAATTTTATTGGCTCACCATCCCAGTTGAATTTGCAGACCGAAATACCCAAAAATAAATATGCGCCGAATATTTGTTGACTATTCATGACTATTCGACCATTGCCAATCTGTAGCATTGGAATATGCACACTTTGGAATATGCACACTTTGGGAAAGCAGCAGCAGCAGTGGCAGCAGGGTATGGTACACTACCTTGGTATTTTGGAAGCCTTCACCGAACAGAATGATCTCAGCAATGAGGCCAGAGTCTGGCACCATCATAGCAATGGGTCTAAACATGCTCTTCAAGTTGTCTGGTAGCTCAGTACGACCAGCATAGCCTATCAACAGTCAAAACAAACACACACACACACACACACGCACACACACACGCGCACACGCGCGCACACATACACACACACACACACACACACGTGCACACATGCACATACTCCAGTAATAGTTGGCATCATTGACAGACAGATCATTTCACAACACCTCCATTGCAGTATTGGACCTATTGGTGATCCATGGGTTGTTAGGATTCAAGCACAACAACGAGTTCTGTTAAACTTTGAATCACTGGACCATGGAATAAGTTAGAATCATGTATGTATATATGTATGTATAACTCATAATCACAAGGTGATCGTAGAGGCATTAATCAGCGAGAGAATTGTGAATGATGTCTCTGAATCCAACTCTATCGTGTGCTGCATGAGAGAGAGCATGCAAGGGAAGACCCGTCCAACTTTTAATGTTAGAAATCCATGATGTCGCGGGCCTTCCTCTCGGTCGAGATCCAGGAGTTGATCCTTGCAGGAAGGGCTTGGAGAAAACGTCATGTCTCGTAGAATCATAGAAAGCCGCATAAAATACATATCAGCACGGGAACTTGATCCTAGGCATGCCTCCTCACCTGGATTCATGGTGATGAAAACACCGCAGGACCAGACGAGGCGGATTTCCCTGCCTTCAAACATGAACGCCGATGTTCGCTTTTTGACCTGCCTAGCTAGAGCGGACAGGATACTGAGAATCTGCTGGGCCACAACGGACAACACTTCAATGTTTATCCGATTGAACTCGTCGAAGCAGCCCCAGGCACCAGTCTGTAGTATAATATAATAATGGAACACACAAAAGTACTAGTAAACTGTATGCAACCTTGGAATGTAGATATTGAAGCCCCTAAGACATTGAATCATTGTGACTACACAGAGGAACATAGACACCATTCGCCGAGCAGGAGTTGAGTCAGTTGTATCTGATATCTACACTGGACCTATGCGTGGGTGGGGTATCTCCACTAGATCTATGTGTGAGTACGGTGACAAGATTACCATCCCCAGCAAATAGTCTCGTAGTTACCTTGGAATCTTGTTCAGATCAACGTAACTTACCCTAACAGTAGAGTGGAGTGATTGGGGGGGGGGGGGGCTATCCTATAACATAATACCTACTCTAGATGTCAACTAAAACGTAGGCGTACTAAAATATAATGGGTCCTGTTCACCACTACTGTGCAATTTGTTCTCGCCTATGCTTCATAGACTATCTTTTACCTGTGAGAGACCACTAAACATTCTTCCCATGGATTTGAAGTCCAGGCCTTCAGAGCAGTTGACAACAATCACGTAAAAGCCAAGAGCCTTGCCGAGATCCTTCGTTGTCTCAGTCTTGCCGGTACCTGCCGGACCTTTCGGACTTCCGCCACGATGGAGATGCAGGGCGGTTGTTAGTGTCATGTAGCACCTGCCACGTGTCAGCATTGCCAGGACAAGCAAGTAAAGTAGAGACCAGTGAATGCAATTCATCTGAATGCTCCCTGCTGGTGCAATCAAGTTTTGAATTCGGCAGCAAACTAATCTGTGGCTCTCAAGTGTTTTAACACCTTCTAGCAGTGTATAGCTTGTAAGATACCACACAATTACAATTAGTACATTCCATTACCCTCCGCTCTACACATATGTACGCCCCTCCCACACCTCCAATTCAAATACGTGCTTCACCAACTGCATGAATTGACACATTGTATGCCTAACAAGCTAAGTACCACCATGCATGTAAACCGTTCAAGCAGAAATGCACACATGCGTGCAGCTATCAGTGCAAGTCACACGGTATCATCCTACCTATCAGTCAACGGTGTGATGACCAGACGACCTGAGTTACCCAGGTACTCATAGCCATACTGGAACTCAGTGTTGGTCTGTCTTGCCACACAGTCATCAATATCCTAAAGAAAAACCATTGCAGAACAAACACATAGTCAATCCAGGTATATTGCAAGTTTTGCGTAGCTAAAGTATGTTAACGCGGTGACGTAATGTTTTCACTGTATGCTGATGTCTATCACGCGCGTGTTCGCGCCAGCTCACGGATGCGCCGTTGTGCGCATGCGCAAACTCTCCCAGCAGCTCGCTTTGCATACGTACACCCTTCAGCAGCCTTCGTGCCTGGCTCTCTTTGTTAGTTGCATTGGCTCGCATGACTCTTGCTCCGTGTTTTCAGTTTTCAAACTCCTCAAAAATGCATGAGCTGGGATAAGGAGCTGCTACACATACACACATGCACGCGGGCAGGCAGGCAGATAGGTACGCCAGCTCGTAAAAGCAAACACATGCTAACTCACATCATCCCAGTAGAGACGCAGCTGTGACAACCAGTCAAACCCTAGCTCATCCCGGATGTTTGATTTGATCAGCTTCTCCAAAACATCACGGGCATGAACCTGGTAGAGGTAAGATTGACAGCAGCAACACATCACAGTTGACATTTCTTACTGAGTTTTGTCTCATCAAGAAGGAATAGGGGCGTTAGACCTGGGTGGCCACGTTCACCCTACTCTTCGTTTGGCATGATCCGTCTGATTCGTGCAAAACGAGTGCAACAATAGTAACCCTGTAATTTGATGTTTTCTGGATGAGTTCTGCACTTTACAAGTACTTAAAAAACATGCTGGCATTCCGTTCCTAAATCGAATTTCCCAAAATGTTCTGTGTGCCCCTCTCTCCCTCCCATTCTAAAATCCATCAGCCGGCTCACTTCAAAGCTCCTCCTGCCACTGCAAGGCATTCATCACAATCATAAAACGTCTTGCACTAGTCAAGTTAAGAACTCAAGGTTCTGCACTGTTCCAATGATAGCAAAGGAAACAAATAACACTAGATGCATGGGGACATCATACCTCAATTGTGACCAATGCGACGATCTTCGATCGTTCCAGTTTGGTGAGGTTTGTGCGAATTGCACCGGAGAACTTCTCCAGCATGGCAATCTACAACAGGGAAGCAAAGGTACATGTATAGTAGAACGCAAGTTACAAGAGACAGACAAAACACTCTCAACCACTACAAGTAGGGCTTTCATTGGTGTCTGAGTGGTGAAAAGAGAAACCAATGAAACATGTCGCGCTGTCTGATGATCGCTTGTGCACGCAACTCGAGTAACAGTAACACAGTTCCACTTGCCCTTCTCTCCATGTGTAACACAAGAACCTAAATATCACTGAACCCAAAGCACAATATCTATGCTTGAAATGCATTCAACATGAAGGTTGACGGGCACTCTTCAAGAGCTTGCCTGATGAATTCAGTCAACAATGTTTGCCCCAAGCTTAGCTAGTACACTAGGGTCAAGAGGTCATGTCGACGGAACAGAACGCATTTGTATGTGTTCACCTACCCATCCCAGCAGAGTATTTGCATGTGTTCATCTACCCATCCCAGCAGTGTAATTGCTCAATGATGCAGTTCTAGGTAGGTAATCCTGCCAATATGATATGGGATCGAAAAAAGCATCACACACCTGCGCCTTTTTCATCAGCTTCAGAGACTTCTTATCTCCTTTCTCTCTTGTGGATGCCAGGGCCTTTGTCACGTCAGCTGTCCACTGAATTTGACTGGAGGTAATAAGCGTCTGGTGATTCGCAAAAGCAAACAATGAACAAAATAGTTCAATCACTCTTAGGCAACATGATGCTAACTCCTTAGCTCTTGCTGTAGTCAAGGGTATGTTGGAAGGGTATGTTGGCTAAGGGTATGTTGACTAAGGGTATGTTGGCTAAGGGTATGTTGGCTAAGGGTATGTTGACTAAGGGTATGTTGGTCAAGGGTATGTTGGCTAAGGGTATGTTGGCTAAGGGTATGTTGGCTAAGGGTATGTTGGTCAAGGGTACGTTGGTCAAGGGTACGTTGGCTAAGGGTATGTTGGCTAAGGGTATGTTGGTCAAGGGAATGTTGGCTAAGGATATGTTGGCTAAGGGTATGTTGGCTAAGGGTATGTTGGTCAAGGGTATGTTGGCTAAGGGTATGTTGGCTAAGGGTATGTTGGCTAAGGGTATGTTGGTCAAGGGTATGTTGGCCAAGGATATGTTGGCTAAGGGTATGTTGGCTAAGGATATGTTGGCAAAGGATATGTTGGCAAAGGATATGTTGGCAAAGGATATGTTGGCAAAGGATATGTTGGCAAAGGATACGTTGGCAAAGGATATGTTGGCAAAGGATATGTTGGCAAAGGATATGTTGGCTAAGGATATGTTGGCTAAGGGTATGTTGGCTAAGGATATGTTGGCAAAGGATATGTTGGCAAAGGATATGTTGGCAAAGGATATGTTGGCAAAGGATATGTTGGCAAAGGATATGTTGGCAAAGGATTATGTTGGCTAAGGATATGTTGGCTAAGGGTATATTGACTAAGGGTACGTTGGCTAAGGGTATGTTGACTAAGGGTATGTTGACTAAGGGTATGTTGGCTAAGGGTACGTTGGCTAAGGGTATGTTGACTAAGGGCATGTTGGTCAAGGGTATGTTGGTCAAGGGTATGTTGGCTAAGGGTATATTGACTAAGGATATGTTGGCAAAGGATATGTTGGCAAAGGATATGTTGGCTAAGGGTATGTTGGTCAAGGGTATGTTGGTCAAGGGTATGTTGGTCAAGGGTATGTTGGCTAAGGGTATATTGACTAAGGATACGTTGGCTAAGGGTATGTTGGCTAAGGGCGTGGGAATGGCCAGATGAGATAATGGCCATGTTCAGCCGTGCATGGTGCAGAAAGCATGTTCCAGTGCAATAGATTCCTTTCACCCGGTGTCACAACTACACACACATCAAGCACACTCTAGAACGTTGCGATAGTAGAACAATTTGCTATCATACTTGTAGTTCCAATGCATGCGCATACAGCCCTGCTCAATGCTGATACAATAACAACTACATTTACCTGCCCAGGCCACTCCTTTGTCCACTTGTCTCTCTTTTTCAACATCTTGCGCAGCGCAGCGTACGTATCACGCAGCACATCCTTGAGTGTAGAGCGCATTGTTTTCTCCACATCACCGAGCCACAACTAGTGTGCAGGAAAAAAAACGGGTAAAGTACACCATCTTCAGCACCTATCCACCTTTCTGCCGGACTGCACTGGTCCATATATGGCTGTGTGTGGACCAACCAGGGCGGATTAGCACAAGTACCATGTTACATCTAGTCATTAACGTTATTCGTCAGGAGTGTGATGATGGCACAATTGGCATAGTTGGCAAATATAGGTACTCAACTCGAATACAATAAAACAGCCACACCTCTCACCTCTACGGCGCCCTCCAGCATCAACATCGAGTTGAACGGTACCATTTCACCCTCTGATGAATGCATCGCACTAGCCTCTGTCTTCTGGCGGACGGCACGCAACGTTAGAGACTTGATGTTGTCGAAGCACTTTTTCAAGTGAGGTTGGACCTTGGCGCAGAGAACACACACACCATTGGCACAGACCAGCATTGACAACACACAAACTTAGTTGACATCGTAACAAACACACACATACACACACACACACACACAAACATCATGAAGTGCCTTGGCACTCTTCATCCTTGCCCAGCACAACTAGGTAGTCCAGACACAGTGCTGGCCAATAATACAAGTAACCAAACATACCCGGCATGTCTACACATACACACAGGCAGCACATACACACATACACACATACACACATACACACATACACACATACACACACACACACACACACACACACACACATACACACATACACACATACACACATACACACATACACACATACGGTGCAGTGTGCTGCTGTGACTGAGCTCAGTAGCAAGAGTGTACTGGTGCTCACACAAAGCGGCCAACATTGAGATATTTCTTTCGACTCGCGGTATCACGCTTGAGCAACCATCAGACAAGCACAAAAAAGCAGAGCCAAATCAAAACACTTTGCTCATTTGTGCATCGCATGTACATAAGTGACGCATGCAAAAGCTTCCATACATACAAGCCACACGTTCACACACTCACAGCTTCGGGGTTCTTGCTCTGTCCTAGAATCTCCAGTAGGTCGTCGTTCGACAGGAAGTAGAAGCGCGGGAAAACCTGTCGCTTAGTCTCCAGGTACATGTCCAGAGATTTCTGGATCTCCTCCAGTTGAACATTCATCTTGTTCAGCTGGTCGAGCAAGCCTGCGCACCAGTCACATCGTCAGCCGGTAGAATGACAACAAAATTATTATGAAGGTTCACTGAGTGCTGTAGATCTGGATACCGAGCCACCGGCTAACACATGATTGTAAAAACAATGCGCATAAGGCTCCAGGACATGCGTGCTTCTCAACTGTGCAAGAGAGATCGACAGGGCTGATAGATTCAGCATTGCCAACTAAAGGATGCGGTGAACAGAGTACATTTAGAGGGACAAACCTGGATGGTGCGTGGCTTGCAGCGCATTCGGGTTGTTGTTCATACGACACATTATCTCCTACAAGAGTGGAAGAGCACATAGCACACCATGACACAGTAAGAAACACAGTTTTAACAAGCCTACGGTTGCTTAAGCTGGACAGGGGAAACAGCTGCAAAATGAGACCTTTTTTTTACACTATGGCAGTCCATACTGGTACAAAAGAACAGACTGTATAGTCGTCTACATGTACTTGTGTATATAATTATTACTGAGTATTATGTTTGATGCGGTGCATATATAATAATATGACCCGTGTCCTCATTCACACCTTCAGGTATGCACCTGTGCCCTTGTCGTATCCGTGATAATTGTTGCCTGTACCCGGCCTGTTCATATGCCGACTTTGTTCCATGCGTTCTTCAACTTCATCTCTATACTGCTGTTGTGATTGTGAATGCTACGTCAAACCACATCAGTGAACACAACAGTGTGAAGACAACACAGACCTCGTAGTTAAATCATTATGTTGTGCTTGTGATCTATAAACCAAATTAAAGAAATAGTGATGCCAGCACATACCTTCCAGTTCTCATTGACACTATCAAACACCTTGGTCTCATCTGGAAGCTGCTTTCTAATGTCCTCGCCAACAAAGATATTCTACAGAAACAGATAGAGTGGATGCAGAGAATATTAAACCATTGCAAGAGCGCAGCTATACCGGTAAATCAAGCTTGGCAGTCGAGACAAACTGCAAAAGCCAATCAGTTGTCCACGCACCAAATGTCTGCAAAGAGTGCAGGTCTACAACCTAAGCATAAAGTAAATTTTCTGCTGCTGCACACATGTTCTTCTTACCTCCAAGTACATCCACTGTCGTTGCACAGTCAGCGTGATCTCAGTCACTTCAAGAATCAGTGACAGTGTTCTTTCCCACTTGTCAACCTGTATAAAGAGCACATGGACAGCAAGAAACCATGTCCAGTCCATCAGAGCACTCGAATAACTCTCCAGTTCTCTGCCTCCCTTCCACTCTTTCTTTTCTCTTCTTCCAATGTACAAGTCAGAACAGACACTGATGGAATATTCTGGCACTTGAGTCGACTCGTACCTGAGACTCAAATGCCTTGACAAATCGGGACGCCTTCATGGTGGAGAGCTTCACCTGGTTGTCGTCCAACTGTTGGAATACTTCATCCGTCCCCCTGCTCAGCAACAACCATAGAATTGAAAAGCAATGAAAGTCAGCCAAAACAGTTGAACACAGTAAGTCAGCTACCAACTCTTTTAACTCCTAGAAAAGCTAAGTTCCTTGTAGAAAGCATGCAAGGAAAATGTACCGTAAATGGCATAGCAAGAGACTTCCCATCAAATACGGCGCAGCAAGAACCATTACATATCATGTATACACATGCTGAGTTCTCACAAGAGAGGAGAGTTATGAGGACATCGGCATGCAACATCCTAGTCAAGCCTTGATAAAGACACCAGTGTGAACAGGGGTCAGCAGCAGACACTCAGTACACCATGACTCTTTCTTTCATACAGACGCACAAGACTGTGGTGCTTGTTGCATATTCATTTAGCGCAGAGCGCATTGCACACATGACAAAAAAACAGAGGCAAAGTCTTTTCTCAGTAAGTTTTGCCGAGGTCCGTATCTGAAATATTCATCAGACAAACATACATGTACATGTAACATACATGTACATGTAAGTGAACAAGAGGTGTACAATGTAGTAAAGTTTAATAAGTAAACCTTTCTTACTTGAGGCGGTGGTGTCCCTTAGTTTTGTACGGACCAACGTCAAGGTTCAATGTTTCCCAGATGGCAGCAATTTCCTTCAGAGCCTAAATCAGCCAACACACAAAACAACCTCATTTTCATTGATACAGTGTCATTGATACAGTGTCATTGATACAGTGTCATTGATACAGTGTCATTGATACAGTGTCATTGATACAGTCACGGTCATTGATACAGTGTCATTGATACAGTGTCATTGATACAGTGTCATTGATACAGTGTCATTGATACAGTGTCATTGATACAGTGTCATTGATACAGTGTCATTGATACAGTGTCATTGATACAGTGTCATTGATACAGTGTCATTGATACAGTGTCATTGATACAGTGTCATTGATACAGTGTCATTGATACAGTGTCATTGATACAGTGTCATTGATACAGTGTCATTGATACAGTGTCATTGATACAGTGTCATTGATACAGTGTCATTGATACAGTGTCATTGATACAGTGTCATTGATACAGTGTTGATACAGTGTCATTGCCCACAATTCACATGTGTTGAAATTCACAATAACGGTCCAGCCCATGATCGGGACATTTGGTGCTCCAGAGCTGAAAACAGCTATGGGGATGATATATACACGCAATGATGATGATGAAATACATTATGGAGGGATACATTTCACTCTAAAAACCCTTCTTACGTTTTGACAGGAAATGCCTGTGTCCTGATCGTAGGAAGATGTTTGTTTTGGTAATGTGTGTGTGTGTGTGTGTGTGTGTGTGTGTGTGTGTGTGTGTGTGTGTGTGTGTGTGTGTGTGCGTGTGTGTGTGCGTGTGTGTGTGTGTGTGTGTGTACGTGAGTGCATGTGTGCGTGTGTGTGTGTGTGTGTGTGTGTGTGTGTGTGTGTGTGTGTGTGTGTGTGTGTGTGTGCGTGTGTGTTTTACCACCGTACATTGCTAGTAAAGGAGTGCAGGTCCAAAAGCTGGGGCATGAGGCACTGTACTTAAACCGCCACCATGCTTAGCACACACACACACATACTTACGTCCTCAATTGACAGTTCTTTGCTTGCCGCACCAGAGATGTCCATGATGTTATCGGAGAACTGGTCAAGTCCAAGATCAATGATCTTCTCCAAAGTAAAGTCAGGTGCTGCACAGACAACAAGGTCACAATTCACGTTTGCATTATTATTATTATCATCAGCCTTTTCGCGTTGACATCGCCAAGCAAGCTTGGCTAGTCTTCGCTTAGGCCAAATGAAATGAAGAATGAGGAACTTTTGCATTCACCGTCGGAAATGCCAGGAGTCCTAAAAAAGCAAGGACACGGATATCATGTCCACAACTAGCAGTTCCACAGTGAAAATTGATATTTTGTGACCAAGTGCCATGGAGAATATTCCACTCATGCCAGCTGCCTGCAATGGCTGGTCAGTATAGCATAGCATTATGATTCATGAACCCATGCGGAATATTGTGATTTTCACGTACAAGTCTCATCAAATGGCTTCCTGACTTCCTCCTTGAGTTGATCCCAGTGACGCTGCCGCATGGCTGAGTTCTTCAGCGCCTGGATGAGAGGCATGGTACGCTTGAACTGCTCAATTTCCTTCTTCATAGACTCAGAGATCTCCCAGTCTTTATCCTGTTTATAACACCGAAACAGAAGCAAAAAAGCAACAGCAACAGCAGCACCAGCACCAGCAGCAGCAGCAGCAATGAAATGAGATAAGAAGCTGGAAATAAGGTCGAAAACAGATTCCTCTGGAAAACAGGGGGATCAGGTCGAAATTCTCCATTGTGATACACTGAACAAAATAACAATCCCAATACAACAGTCTATAGCACAGACCTTAGTTCTGAACAGCGCAAACCTACATACCTTGCTCTTCACTTCACGGCCGAGTTTGGTCGCCTTTTTCAGCATCTGCTGGGCTTGCAGCTCCATGCTATCCGTTTCCAGGTCTGCAAAGCCACCAACTTTCCACTTAGCCCAAGAATTCTCCCAGTCAGCATACAATGCCCATAGACTCTCCAGAAGATCAAGATCCTGGAAAGCAAAGAGCGAAGAGAAGGTGAGGAAGAGTGAAGAAATAAACAAAGGAACAAATGTCTACATTGCAGAGGTGCAATGTCCTCCACAACTTGTCATTCTGTTTCCAGCCTTCCGCATTCTCACAGGAAATACAACGTGGATGCATTGTATTGTTCTGGCGGGAAAAATGTCCCTGAACTCAAAAGACAAAAAATGTGTGCATCGATGTGAAAGGAGAAGCCATTACACAACAGACTGAGGATACTGCACAGTTGAGAGGACTTTACCTTCTCAAGACCAGACATTTCCTTGGAGGGGGGTTGATCGATTTTGAAGAGTCCAAGACCTCGCCGCACATCGGATTCATCCTTGTTCAGCCTTCGAAGTGTCTCCCGCATATTGGCAATGAAACCCAAGGCCTGCATTGACACCATGAGGCCAAGGTGCATGGAAACAATGTGTACAGATACAGACCGATATTAAAAGACTCTAAAAAGCAAAAAAACAATAGCTGGCAAGAGGTGTGGACATGAACAAGTAGACAGCGTTGGAAGACAGCACAAACAAGTACTAGCCACAAAGTGAGGCATATGAGACACAATGTCACACGGACTAATGGCTACGCCGAGACGGCAAGGTCACAGCACTAACGTTATTTTAAACTCACGTCTTGCGTTGACACGGCGTTCGAGTACGGGCCTTTGTGCTGGAAGTCATCGCATGCTTGCATCACGTTGCGTTTGAGCTCCTCTGCCGATTGGAGAAGGCCAGCGCGGAATGATTCCTAGAGCGATGGGCAGAAAGCCACACAGCAAGTTCAGCACAGTCAGCACAATGTCTTGTATACTTTATCTGATATGACGTGCACAACAAACCAGTCAGACACTGTCATGTGACATATGCCAATATAAAATTGATTCTTACTGAGCGGAAATCTTCAGCTCGAACGTTGCAAAGCCACGGCACGATTAGACTACTTCCTGACCGTAAAGAGGCAGGAAATGGTTTCACAATGCATATGATGTTCTAAAATACATTTAGGTCAGCTCAGTCATGTATGCACTGGTTGACATCAGTTTGCCGCGCAGGGCCGTGTTTCAGCCCATTCAGGTACCCCGTGAGGAGGGGGGGGGGAGGTTCAGCCCATGCAGGTACCCCGTAGGTCGGGGGGGGGAGGTGTTTCAGCCCATTCAGGTACCCCGTAGCACCTACCTTCGTCTGCTTCAGCATGGCATCACTATCGTCCAGACACTGCAGATAGTTCTTCCAGCATCTGTCCAAGCTGTCTATCTTGATACGCACCTAAGTGAGGCGAAGTTCAAAAACAGAAAAGCTGTTCGAAACAACCATTTATTGACGATAAAGAAAAGCATACACACAAACTGAGCAGAGAACAGAGACTACGTGCAAACACGGCATGGTGATGCAGGCTGGTGCATTCGACTTTTACAGGTAATAATAATATTCGCAGGATCCGCGTCAGCATCTCTTGAATGTTCAGAAACACACAAACTAGCCTTTGCATCCTATTAGAGGTACACATCCTTGATGTATTTGTGAGCATGAACCACAAGTAGATTCTGCATAGTGCATACAATACCTGACAAGTGATTGAACAAATGAACAAACTGTTAGACAAGGCAGTGTGAGTGTGTGTGTGTGTGTGTGTGCGTGCGTGTGCACACGCGCATGTGTGTGTGTGTGGGGGGGGGGGGAATTAGAGACATGAAATCCTGGGTGGTGACATGGGCACTATGCAAGGATGCATGTAAGCATGTAAGGATTTAGACACTTTCAAAGGAACAGTACAACAGAACGGACAACAACCGTACGTCAGGGGTGATTTCGAACTCGTGATTCTCCAGGACACGGAATCGGTCGAGCAGCGGCTCAAACTCTTCCTCTTTCTCTGCCGTTGATGCTCTGAGCACCTCCAGGTGATCCATGCTGTTTGTGAGCTCATCCAGGTTCTTTGGCACTTGTGTCATGCTGTGGGGATACATCACAAAACAGCACTTGTGTGATGCTGTGGGGAAACATCACAAAACAGGGCATGCAGGTAACTTTCACCAATATGCTGCTACTCGGCGTTGTCAGTATTGTGCAACCTCTAGATTACAGACACACAAGGGCAAGGCAGATATCCCCCTGTCCCTGTCCTGAATAGGGAAGTGTACTGATAACACTACAAAGTGCATTGCAGCTTGGTTGGGAACATTTGGGATTGAACACGTGTCCTCAATATGGAGGTGTCCTTTGTTGACAAGTATCCTTAGCTGAGAGGTGTCCTTAGTTGCCAGGTGTCCGTAGTTGAGAGGTGTCTTTTGGTGAGAGGTGTCCTTTGTTGATAGGTGCCCTTTGTAGAGAGGTATCGACTAAAGGGGGTTCTACTGTGTTTCCGTTGCCCTATTTACAATAATGACCTTTCCAGGTCATGCAGTTTGGCGGCAAACCCACCTTTACCTACACTTCTCACTACTGGGTCTCCTCTGCAACTCGCTAGTCCGATATTTGTGATAACAAAATGGGAGTGGTTACCCCACGGGACCATAGTCCAAGCACTCAGCTCGGTGCGGGTAGTTCAAGCACAGAATACTAGTACTGGCATGAGCATGCATGTAGGCAGTGTTCTGGCAAGCACAGGCGCTAACGTACCGCTCCGTGTTTTCGGCCATGTAGCTGTGCAGTCCGTTCAAGGTTTCCATAGCCATTGAGTTCAGAAGGCTGATGAACCTCTCCACCCAACCGACAACGTGATCGTTGATTGCCTGGCATAGTGGATTCAGATCCAGCACCACCGACTGAATGTTGGTCACGGTCTCCTTTCGGGAAAGCGCCAGCGATACCTCGTTGTACCTGTACAGTAGAGAGAAGAAAGATACCAGAGCTTATCAGCGGAGCATAACCTACTACAATGGGACAAACGTGTCAGTCAAGATAGAAGGATACCAGAGCTTATCAGAGAGAAGAAGGATACCAGAGCTTATCAGAGAGAAGAAGGATACCAGAGCTTATCAGAGAGAAGAAGGATACCAGAGCTTATCAGAGAGAAGAAGGATACCAGAGCTTATCAGAGAGAAGAAGGAAACCAGAGCTTATCAGAGAGAAGAAGGATACCAGAGCTTATCAGAGAGAAGAAGGATACCAGAGCTTATCAGAGAGAAGAAGGATACCAGAGCTTATCAGAGAGAAGAAGGATACCAGAGCTTATCAGAGAGAAGAAGGATACCAGAGCTTATCAGAGAGAAGAAGGATACCAGAGCTTATCAGAGAGAAGAAGGATACCAGAGCTTATCAGAGAGAAGAAGGAAACCAGAGCTTATCAGAGAGAAGAAGGATACCAGAGCTTATCAGAGAGAAGAAGGATACCAGAGCTTATCAGAGAGAAGAAGGATACCAGAGCTTATCAGAGAGAAGAAGGATACCAGAGATTATCAGAGAGAAGAAGGATACCAGAGCTTATCAGAGAGAAGAAGGATACCAGAGCTTATCAGAGAGAAGAAGGATACCAGAGCTTATCAGAGAGAAGAAGGATACCAGAGCTTATCAGAGAGAAGAAGGATATCAGAGCTTATCAGCGGAGCATTACCTACCACCATGGGACAAACGTGTCAGTCAAGATCCAAAAAAACTCGTGAGGTGTTTAGAATTCTACTACGGGGTATGATGTCATCTTGAAAACACTCCCGTGTATGTTCTCGCTCTACACAATGAGGTTCTACACTGGGATTTGGGGGTGTTGTGTAACACTGGGATCATGTGTTGTGTAACACTAAGATCATGTAGATATTGGGCAAAATTCCTTATCAAGGAAGCCTATGGTGATGGTAGTGGTGAAACGAATATTCGAATATTCGAACATTCGTTCGATTGATCACATTCGAATATTCTTTAAGTCGCATTCGAGTATTCGTGACGTCACTTCGAATGCAGTGCATGTACATACGCGCACGCCAAACACAGTACAGTGCAGTGCGTACAGCCTGCCTGTGACTTTGTACTGCATGTTTGCACATGTATGTGCATGCTGGACTGCCAATGTAGCAAACAACATGTATAAACTTCGAAGTAGCCTTATGTGGCAGTGCATTTTATGTGGCACTACCGTTTGTCATACCTAATAACAATGACAACATCCATCAAATGACTGAGAGGAGGTCATGTGATGTCATCTGTGTTAACAAAAGAATATTCGTTCGTTCGTTCGTTAAGCCAAAGAATATTCGACTACTAGGTTTTGACATTCGTTTCATCACTAGGTGATGGCAAAGTATTCAAGCTGTCTGTGAATGCAGAAACGCACTGCAGAATGCTGATGGGTGACATACGGTACTTACCGACTGATGTCCGCCTCGAATGCAGAGATAGGTTGATTGAGTGCCTTGTACCGCCTAATGAAGGAGTCCTTTTGAATGCGATACATGTCCCGATGCCTGAATGCCGCACACAAAAAATGCATTCATACTTCAGAGGGAGGGGAGGGGGGGGGGGGGTGTAACCCGCTCTGTATTCCCCTATAACATTCACGTAACCTATGGAATGAGGCTGATGTATAATACAGCTTGCGATACAAGGACCTAGCACTGCCCATGCGGTAGGGGTACACATGGCTTCGCTGTGCATACAGCACCTCCTGTGCTCTGTAAAGATTTTTTTACAGCCAGGGTGACCTCATCATGCAACCACTCCAACTGGCCTGCTCTGTGAGTTTACGTGCTCAGGACTCACCACATACATAAAGATCTTCGACAAGGGTCCAGTGCTGCTACATGCATGCTTGTGTCAAAATTCCGAGCTAGGTGCACTCAAATGCATCTATGGTCTTTCTCACACTTCCCAGTCAACTGCCAGGAACTAGAGTGTCCTATTACAAGGTAAGACAACGGTATTCCATGCTTGACAGCCAGGCATGTCCCTCCTTCAGTGGAGGATGGTTGGCATGCACTGGGCATGCATGATAAACGGTGCTCCTCTTTTTCCTATGCTGCACTGAGTGCTGTGATTACATGACAGTATATATATATATATACGGGGTGGGGGTGGTTGCTTACTCATCCCACTCAGTTACGTATGCCCGTATTTCGTCACCACTGCGTATTACACCAGCACTGATGGCCTGCTTGAACTTGTCCATCTCGCTGTCAGCTTCAAGAATGCTTGCAATGGGCTGCAGGTGACAAGCCGCACATAGAGCACAGGTGAGCTAGCATCTCCGAGCAGTAGCACAGAACAAACCAGTTAAACCACACACTGAATTGCCTATAGCACTACATGCAAGCCTGGTACAGTACATTTAGAAATTGCAATACTAAGTTGTGCATGCAAAGTGCAATAATCAGGCAACAAAAGGAGAACCATTTCAGCCAGGACAATGACCAGAATAGGACAGTGTCAGTGTAGCAACATAGGGACATCAGCAACTAGCACAAGTCACTAGGCTCATGTGCCATGGCATGCTTGGAGGACAGCTCACTTTCTTTGTCGACTGTATTTTGAGAAGCGACTGCGGCAAACGCTGCACTACTGACATGCAGGTGGGTAGACACGATGCGAGTTTGGAGAAGGTTTCATGCAAACCCTTCAAGCTTGGCATGTATCCAACCTGCAGAAGAATAGAAAAATAGTATACACACCATGTCCCACCATGTCTAATCATCATTCAGTACACACATAACAGTATAAACTAGAACTGAATGACCTACCTAGCCACCCAACTGTACTATCCTTGATATTTCCCAACTAGACTCGAGGATCACTGAGGATTCGCTTTACAAATTCGATTGCAAAATCATGTGTAGTCAAAACATTGCTAAAATAATATTGATCTGAACGAGAAGTCCCACAGATAGTACCCAAAATACAGTGCAGATGGCAATGTGCAAGAACAGGAAATCAGTGTTGACGTGTACACTTGCGGAAATGAGGTGACAAGCACATGGAATTGGGTAAACTCTCCTCCCCCAAAGCCAGAACATCTTATCAGCATTGTACTTACCGTGGGACCGTCTCCTGTTTCCTCCAGGGTCGCATAAACACGAATCAGAGGACGTGGTGGGGTCTTCTTGTCACCTTGTATGGTGTGACTGAGCTCTTGAAGAGACCATTTCACATTCAAACGGCATGCTTCTTCTAAGACGGAGTCCATCTTCTCCAAGTATGCCATCCAGTGCTTTTTGATCTACACAAAGTAACCACATTTAAAGTGAGTTCAGAAACCCTGCAATAGAATTACCGTATTTCCCCGTTAGTTAGTACGTACTAACTTTCGAACTTAGCAGCCACATGAGTACTAACTTTCGGGGGTGGTACTATCTTTCGGGGAGTACTTTTTTATCGGGGTAAATGACACGCAGTGGGAAGCCTGCGCAACTCTAGTGTCCGTGCATATGATGTATGTACTGTACGGTGTCTGTACATGTAGGACGGGTACGAACTTACTATCTTTCGGGGGGAACTGTCTTTCGGGGTGATAACCTCGGTAGTGGAAAGTGTACTTCGAAGTATTTTTTATAGGGGGGTACTAAGTCATTGGGGAGAACTTATTTACGGGGAAATACGGTACTAGTTTCAGTAGTTCATGGAGAACAAAGATAAGTGCACCTAAGATAGGTGCCAAACCAGGAAAGATTCCCAAGGGAGATGCACAGCAGAAAGGTCTTAAATTGTGCATCATATACCTGTAAACTGAACATGTAGCGTTGGAAAAAAAAGTATATCGATCCTACTATTCCCACATGTGCATCCTGCAAAGACCTGTGCTTGGATTGAGCAGGCAACACATGTCTATTGGTTGCTGCAACAAAGCTGAAGCTCAACATGCACTCTCAAGCATCTTCGTGGCAACCTACCTCTGAGCTATCACCGACAAACTGGCACACTAGATACGTTCTTTCGAGGATGCCAACAATTTCCGAATGGAGCCGATGAATTTTCTGCTGGGTTTGGGTCCTGTGTCGTTGCTGCAGGCGAAGTTGTCAAAACACAAATGTGCACATTGTATATCCAACGAAAGGATTTCACCAACACCCACTCTCCGTATGATGGAGCAGAACTCGTTGAAACAGCAAAGCGACACTATCCTTGGCTGACAATGTGATTCGTTTGCAGTGACTATTGCACACAGGTTGAAATGGTTACACGGGCCAGTGACCTTTTTGAAGAGGGAGATGCATGTTCTGCCTGGTCTCACTGCACTTGAATGTTCACTGATGCATTAGAAAATAATGCACATAATCACCTCAAGCATCAATTGTGAAACGGGACTGCATCTTATAGGGAATAAGGGGTAAACGATGTGGTGCAGCCTCCTCGGGCCAATACCATTCGACTCAGTATCCAGAAGACCATGGAAGACTACAGGCTCTAAAAGTTTCATCTTTGTCCGTGCTTCTCGTCCACAAGCACAAAGAGTCGCTTACAGTGAAAGTTCTCGCCAAACCAAACGGCCCAATTTGTAGAATTCCCTCTTCCCATTTCGGCGGAGGAGCGCAATTTTAATTGGGAATATAGGATGAATGTGACTTCACACCTTCCTTAAAGCACCACCATTCAACTCAGCACCCAGAAGACAAGTACTAAAATCTTGAATTGGGCCGAACTTCCCCTCAACGAGTGCCACGAGTACTCGTAACAGGCTCAGCAGACAGCTGACAAATAAAACATTCATCTGTGGCATTCAAGCACGTGCTGCTCTCATAGTCAAAACTGTTACACGGGTAAACAGCAATAGGACCTACCTGATCCTCTTTGAACTCGTCCTCTTCATAGACATGATGTGGATCCACTTTGAACAGTAGCAACTCACTGATCTTCTGGCATGACTCGTAGAGAGCTTTCTCCGCCAGCTTGTAGGCATCCACAAGGGCTTGTGTCTGCACAGTGCCAAAGGGGATTGAGTCAACCAACATCAGTCCAATAGCAAGAACGCCAGTATCCACCATATTTCCATCCGGATGAGTTTCATGTGAAACATAGAGCAGCATGCACTGCCTCTGAGACGTTTGCAGAAATCTAACAATTACATTTCGTGAGCAGATTCCATACTAAGCTCACGAGCCACCAGTCCAACTTACTGCCTTAGTCTGCGAGCGGCATTCTGTGATGAAGGTATCGCCCTGGCCTTTCTTTGACCACGTCAACTTGGTGAAGCCCGGATGGATCTTGCGGTTGAGGTTACGAATGCGCTCGCCAAAGAGCATGCGCTCCTCCTTGCTAAGCACTCGCAGAATCCTAGGATACGCAAGCAAAGAGGCACAGGATAGTAATCAACATGCATTCCTTGTATTTGGCATAATGGTGTGGAATAACAATGACTGTAGAGCTTGTGGCAATAGAGACATGTCCACATTACATATACTCATTATACTAAACGCAGGGTTCTAGCCAAAGGAGGGTGGGGGGGGGGGGGGCAGCGCCCCCTACTCTGATTGAGCGCCCTTCTGTGAAAACCTCCCCCCCCCCCCTCCCACTCATTTGTCGATTGTTGTGCTTTTCAGGCAATTCAACGAAAATGCAGTCGATAGTTACTAACAGAGGGTTCATAAAGGCACGCTTGTCTGGGGTGAAGTTGAAGTCGGGTATGCCAATTATTTGGCATACCGGCAGACGCTTTGCATTTAGGCAGGCGTGGCTGCACTCTCAAGGGAGTATGATGGAGAACGGGAAAGTGCTTTGTCACAGGTTTTCGTGTACGATTCTCATGCTCGGGCAACCCTAGGTGTATGCGCAGCTTTATACGCACGGCACTGTTCTCCAGCAGAAGCCCGAAGAGATGAAGTTATAGGTTTCGTGCCAACAGTCAAAACTGACATTGTGCAGGATCAATATTTAACTCTTATGAAGGGTACAGAGCTCAAATATACAGACAGCAGCTAAGTAATGGGTGGTTTAAAGCTCATCATCAACAGCTTCTCAGAAACCTACCGATTGTAGTCTCGGACGACCAGTAGGACATTTTCTCGCAACTTGCGCAAGTCCTCGCGCTGGGAATACAGTTCCTGGATGTAGTGCGGACAGTCAAACTTCATCCGGGCCCAGTAATCTATCTCGGAGAACAGCTTCAGCAATTTCCTACAAGAGGACAGAGCACAGATATTTGCTGCGTCCAAGCGCAACTGAGATCGTGACAAAGCAGGCGATACAATGCACACACATGCAGGTGATACAATGCGCACAAATGCAAGCGATACAATGCACACAAATGTAAGCGATACAATGCACACACATGCAGGTGATACAATGCACATGTGTATCATGTCAAGTACATGCATTCACCATCCCTACAAGACATAGCTCTGCTAAACTGTACCCGTTGAAATTCATGTCGATCAGACTGCGGTCTTGTGGTGACTTCCGCAGTAAGGGCACGTCCAGCTGATTTGTCAGAGCCTGTATTACCAGCACAACAAAGCAGAGAGGAGAACAAACTCAATTTAAAGTGTGTGATAGTAGATAAGAGCGGCGGCGGCACGGGTAAACTCAACTCAATTTTACCATATGCCTCTGGTCACCTGGAAGTAGTCTGTACATTACGCACAATGTGCCGCTTTAGTGGCTAGATCAGCCGTCCGCATACCATCCAGACAAGCATCATAATTATAGCAGATCATAATCCTGCAATTGGTTCTGGTTGCATCACTGTGTTTGTATGTGTGCACGTCAGGCTGCATTCGCCCCGCTTCCAGGGTGTCAAGGGCCGCGCAAGTCCGGGGCACCATATATGCGCTTTGATTTCATCTACCACAACTAGTTTGTTGAATTTAAACGCATATTTGGTCGGAAAACCAAAAAGGGTTGATACAATCCAATTGCCAACACAAAACATACGGAATAAATACAAAAAGGAGCATGTGTTTATAAATTTCAGCTGGCAATTACTGACCATGCTCAAAGTACAAACTTGAAGCTACCAATAAGCCAATAGTTTGATATTGCCACCTGGCAGTGGAACACAACACAAAAAAGGCGCCTTGCCGAGTAGACATGGAGGTGACAGAACCCAACTCCAGGACTTAACCTTCTTGCGAGCGGTGGTGACTACGATAGTCCTGTACTCCTTCTCAGTCCTCACATTCCGTGGCTCGCTCTCTTTCGTAGGCTTGGGCTGTCTGTCTTTGCCTGTGGCTGACCGCAGGAAGGCTCCCCTATCCTTCTCTGCCAAACCATAGTACATTGACAATGCTCCTGGAGGAAGATCTGGGAGAACAGTTTTCTTTTTCACTTTCTTGTGCTTCCCTGAGACAGGTGATTTGGTATCGTAGGGACGCCGCCGTGGTTTTGGCGTATGCAGTGGCAAGCGGCGAAACAGCTTACGAGGGCGCCGCTTCAAGACCCGTATTTTTATTCTTCCGAAACGCACAACCTTCTTTCTTCTCTTCCGCAATCTAGCTTGATACTCCGTCTGGTAAATTTCAAACCTCCGATCAAGTTCATCCCGATAGCTTCGATTATTCTCAAGAACAGTATCCAATGCCTCATTGAACCAGGGACGACGCTGCTTGATGTACCCCCAGAAATGTCTATTCGTCATCCGTGATAGGTCTGGCGTAGCAACCCTCATCTCATGCCTCCGGCGGCTCGGTTGTATCTGAGTAGGACGGCTTTGTCGCTTGCTCTCGCCCCAGCTTGCAACACCAAGAAGTCCCATGTCCTGCATGGTAAGACAGTAGCAACTAGGTAAGTGTACAACATGGCTTCTCCTTTACTAGTATTCTGGACTATACACAATACACGAAGACCTGACCGAAAATGAACCCCAGTGTTCAGCTTGGCAAACATGGGACATTGCAAGTGTGTGTGTCTGCTTGTGCCTGAGGGAGGAGGGGGAGGGAGGAGGGAGGGGGGAGGGGGAGGGAGGGAGGGGGAGGAGGGGGAGGGAGGGGGAGGAGGGGGAGGGGGATTACACCTGGTCAATATAACCATCAGTCATAAACCTTGGCATGAAATACAGGAACGCTGCAAGAAGTGTACCCACTTTACATTTATAGCTCTGGACAAATAGAAAAAACAGTGCCCCGGTCCCATCAGTACCAACCTTGTCTATGCTGGAAATCCATTTTCCGTACATCTTGGTCACAAACTCATCCAGCACCTGTGCAAGTTGATCGTATTCAGCCTCCACCATGGAAGCAATGCTCAGCTCTTCCTTGATGAATGTGGCATTCCTCAGAATCTGACAGCCACACAGAACACCAAACATGTTTGGGGACGCAGGAAGCCGGGCCACGCATATGAGACAACTCCTAATCATTCCGCCAGCCTACGGCCAGATAGAGATACATTCCCTGCACGAGTAACACGCTTCAGGCTTGCTAAAGTACACATTGACAAGTTACATTACCTCAACAGGCCGGTCGATCCTCTCCTTCAGTGAGCGTGCCCAGCGAGCACGTCCAGCATAGTAAGGCATTGTGGGCGGTATTGCCGGTGACTTGTTCACAAACTGTTCCTTGACGGCCGCAACCTCCGTTTGCAGCAGCTCATACACACGCATGGTCGTCTTGTCCAACGTGCGACGAATTGACTACATGATACGCAAAGCAAGAGCACAGGGGTTGAAGGTCATACAATACTCAAATATACTTGTTAGTCATATTTGATGCTATTGGTTTTCGAGCTAAGATACCAATTTTCACCTTTAAAGTTTGAATCATCCTTGCTGTTGTCTAGCGATGTGCAGTCTCCTGAGTAGTGGCATTTCAGCAATGTAGCAGCGACTGGGTACAAGCATCCGAGGCTTGCAGGATAGCCGATCGTCCAGAAAACAGCATTTCAGAATATGCTTGCGGTGATTGCCACAGCAGGAATATTACGAAAGTGCATGGCTTTATCACTTGTAATACACTGGAGCAGAACACTCGGGGACAAAAGAAACTCAACCACGTTTGTGTTCTGGAAGAGGGAGACTGTGCCGGTCTGCTGCAGTGGGCAGTGTACTTTCTGCAGCATGACACTTTGTTCGTGCTGCATTTTCTGGTCAGAAACCGAGCAGTGAAAAGCGTAGGCCGATGCTGCACTCAACCATTGACACATCCACAGTCACATTGATAAATGTGTGTTCACACAAGCACGTACACAATCTATGCACATTGAGTCATTGACACACGCGCATACACATATGTACACACGTATACGCAACGACATATACACATGGGCAGGCACCGACATGCACACACGCGTACACAGTAACGGTGCAGTGCAGTACTGCATCTAGCACTTACTTCCCGGGTTGAAAAGTGGAAGAACACTTCCAAGAGATCTACGCCTTCCGCCACAGTACTGGTCAACTGGAATGCTGATGTCATCAAGTTCTGCACCATCACCTCTAGGTCTTTTACACCCAGTCGAAACCTAATATTTCCACAAGCAGTCAGAATGGGCATACACTCGTATGATAATTGACTACACAATGCATAGCAAAACGCCAGCAGCATTTTCACACAGCACCTTCAGTATGTTTCAGTTCAAACCATATCTATCTGAATCAGGACACTGGTTTATGAGGCAGGCATACTACAGGTACATGCGCATAAGATTCACATTGGCTTCAACAACTTAAAATTATACATAGTGTTTGCTTTGTTGAGAAGTGCAATATCCTTTTCAGCAGATATGATGTCGCTGACTCAGCAGTGACAGTGGGCACCCCCATGCCATCGTACATGTACTTGCCATTGGCTTACCTGTTGTATGCATTCTGCCAACCAGTAGCCTACGGCACAGAGCAATAAAAGTAGATAAGAAAACAATGAACTCATTGGCCAACATACGGTGATTGTGATACCAATTCTCACAACAAGATTGATCTGCAACATGTACTTCAAAGTGCATCATCTGGAATATTAAATTTTCGCTTGGCACATTTACATGGAGATACGCTGGCTGGATGCAAGAGGTGCAAACAACAATAAACAGATGTGAGGGGTGGGGGGAATAAGAGAAATGACGCCTATACTCGACATGCACGTGCACGGACACTATACAGGAGAAATCCAGTACATGTTTTCTTCTTCCCTTTCGATAGAGGGTGATGACTGATGAGAGATATAGACTTTTGAAACCAGTGCTAAGAAAGGTACATCCTAGCACACACACCGCAAAGCACAAACGTACTTTGACATCTAGAGCGTACGCCTTGACCGCTGCCAGGGGTTCTAGAACCTTGTCAAAGGCATGCTCCACTTCGGTGAGACCGTGCGCTATGTGCGGACCATTGGTTCCATGGAAACACGGTAGTTGATCACGCTTAGCGGGGCCCCATCGACCAAAGTGCCGCTGCCCTTCACACACCTGACAACATTCACCATCAGATCACAGAAGCATGCTCAGCAACAAGCTAACAGGCAAGCTGGGACAGCCTACAAAACAGCATGGATAATGTTCTGCAGCACATGGTGATGAACTGTATTGTGCATGTACCAGCTAGCCAGGACCAACACTGTACACGTATGGACAATGGGGGGGGGGGTGGAGAGAGTACAGCAGGGGGGGGGGGGGGGTGGAGAAAGTACAGCAGGGGTGGGGGGGTGGAGAGAGTACAGCAGGGGGGGGGGGGGGGTGGAGAGAGTACAGCAGGGGGGGGGGGGGGTGGAGAGAATACAGCAGGGGGGGGGGGGGTGGAGAGAGTACAGCAGGGGGGGGGGGGTGGAGAGAGTACAGCAGGGGGGGGGGGGGGGGGTGGAGAAAGTACAGCAGGGGTGGGGGGGTGGAGAGAGTACAGCAGGGGGGGGGGGGGGGTGGAGAGAGTACAGCAGGGGGGGGGGGGGGTGGAGAGAATACAGCAGGGGGGGGGGGGGGTGGAGAGAGTACAGCAGGGGGGGGGGGGGGGTGGAGAGAGTACAGCAGGGGGGGGGGGGGGTGGAGAGAGTACAGCAGGGGGGGGGGGGGGTGGAGAGAGTACAGCAGGGGGGGGGGTGGAGAGAGTACAGCAGGGGGGGGGGGGGTGGAGAGAGTACAGCAAGGGGGGGGGGGGGGCAGCGTGTGTCGCCTCACCTCCTTCAGGTCATTGCAACGCTGGACAAAAGCGTCGACATGTGCGAATATCGCACTCTCGTCCAGCAGCCAGCGAACGCTTGACGCCTTGCGATGCAAAGTGCTGGTCTGTGGACAGCAGTTACAATTTAGCAGGCATACAACATGGTCAATCATTGGTTCAAAATAAACAAGCTGACATTTCACTATTATCAGTGTAGTGAGCAAACAGCACATCACCTAGCACCATGCTTAACACTAGGAAAGGTTAAAGGTTTGTGAAGTTTAAAATTGCCACAAGTTTGAGTGCTACTGCCACAACCAACACCAACATGATTAGCTAGGTTGAGAAATTGTGTAGAACACACCATGCCAGTAAGGGATAGGGTGTAACAAAGCAGTCAGGGAAAGAGAGAAGTATGTTTTCTTATGATTGGGTGAACGTGTGGAAACCGTCAGGCGAAATAGCACGTCATCGTACATTGGAGATCAGCGGGAAGAAGATGACGACGTCCACTAATTTAGTATCTGTGCACACGAATCTGCTGTGTGTGTGACTCTGTGTGTCAGCTATGATATCATCTTCTGTGGTTCCATGCCTAGCATGTACGTCTGAATCATCCTGCAAAGTTTGAATGACGTAGGTTGAGCGATCGCTCCGCGAAATATACTTTTTGAAATTCTCTTCATAGTATATCTTCCACCATTGAAATTTCGAATTTCTTCAAAAAAAGTGCTGAGAGGGGTGGCTTGCAACCTCGATATGGCTTGTTCCAGGCATGCTTTGGAGCCATCTTCTGTTGAAGTAGTGGCGGGGATCTGCCCTGCAACTGCTACAACAAAAAATGATTCGATCTGAGAAAGGGTGAGACCGCGAATCTCGGTTGAATATTGAGTATTTCAAGGCTTTTCACGACGAAGATGGAGTTCTTTTTGGAGATGGACGTCGCGGCAAAGGACATGGTGTCCGACGTCTGGCGTCTGGTGAAGCCAGGGATCATTTGTCCAGTCAGGTCGGCAGCCTAACCGTCGGTAAGCTTGTGTTTGGATCCCGTTCTGCTCGATGTGGTAGATCACAAACAATTTGATATCGCACAAATTGATCTCAGCATCGTGCGTACGGTATTTTATATTCAGAAAATCCCAAAGTGTCTCTGTGTGGCCGTCCTATGCCACGAGAAACTCCAATCAGGCTCCTATGTCCTCTGCCTTCATGATTGAATGTCCACTTCGTTTGAACAACGAACACAACAATCGAGGACGGCTTTGCAATGAAAAATACAGCTATACTGGAGCTGAAAAAAAGAAGAAAAAAACGTGCTCAGGATGAGACTCGAGTACACGCATACTCTCCCAGCAGGTGAAACGCAAATTTTTGTGAAAAATGCGTGACGCCGACTGACCAGTAATTTCGCCTGACGCTTTACTATACTAACCGCCCTCCAATAAAGCATAAATACCACTCGAGGAAGAATTGCGGAACTGTCCAAATAAGTGTACAGTCTCAGTCTGGCAGGGCGACCATCAGAAAGACATACTGCATCGCCAGAAATGTGCTGTGTGTGTGTGTGTGTGTGTGTGTGTGTGTGTGTGTGTGTGTGTATGGTTGTTTGCTGCATGAACCAATTTAACCAAGTGCCTTACATTCTGGTAGAGCTTTTTCCAGGACTTGCACACCTCGATGCAGTCATTGAGCTGTGCCATGCTCTTTGGCACGTCACCAGCAAAGACTGCAGCCAGATCAGTTGCCTGCGCACAGCACTGGATAACGCTGTTGCTCACCTACATGTACAACAGATGAGAACCAAGTTACAAAACGTAGAGCAAAAGACCGCTTTCATTGTCGAATTGATCAACTAGAAGGGTGATCTCCAAGCAAAATGACAAGGAAAGTGACACCAACCTATACGATTGTGAAAAGAGAGTCCTTGGTGACCCGTAAAGCTGGCATAGAGGAGTACGACCACAACAAACCTTGCGTAGCAGAATGGTTAACCTCTCCGTGGTGTTGTAATGCGGGCTATTCACCCAAATGACACGTGCTGTTTGTAGGATCGTTGGGAGGAGAGACGGCACTTTGGACAGAGGCGACTTCTCCAGCTTTTCACACGGCTCTTTGAGAAGCGAGAGGTACTTCAAGTTGGAAGACGCTCTTTCGTAATCCTCCTGCATTGAGAACATCACCACAGTAATGGGTAGGAGTGGTTTCAGCATGATCAAATAGGGCTTACCGGAGATACATGCACTTCCACAGTGGTTCTCTACACCAATTCTTTCCTATTCCTGCTAGCTTAGTCCGGAAACATTCTCGCAATGCCAGGATTTGTCTTACCTCCGTCTCCTCAATAACAGTGATGAACTTTGGCAAGTAATGTGATCGTCCGAGGTCCAGGATCTCACGCACTTTCCTCACATCGTGCTTCTGTAGCTGCATCCGTATGCCTGACCAGGAAATCACAAACATTACAGCGAGAATGAAATCGGTGTTTACTACAAGTACTTTCGGCATGATTACAATTTATGCAACCTGGCATGCCGCAACACATTCAACTTGGATACGTAAGTAAACACAATTTTTCTTCGGACTTTTTGCTCTTTTAAACTCAATCAAACCATTGAATGAATATAACATATTTCTTTTCTGGCCATGAACACCCTCCCTCAACTCTCCATTGACTGGATTCTATTCACCATGCTATGAGGTGAGGTCACAAATTAAGAAAGATGAAAATACCCACCGGACAAATCATCACAGCGCTGGCTCCAACAGTCGAGCTCTGAGAGCGGCCCGCCACCTCCAGCACCTTCCTGGCCGCCAGGATTTGTCAGTAGCTCCTTTATCTGACGAGTCCACTGGTTGACGACCACTGGTAAATGAACGACATAACATAACATGTACGGCCATCTCCAATCTCGTGTTTCTATGCATGTTGTTCTCGTGTTTCTATGCATTCTATGCATGATGTTATGAACTCTGTTCTATACATGCCTAGATGGGTCAATGCTTTTGTCGCAGTTTTCAGTTTCTGCATTTTTGAGCTCAAGCCTCGTACTGTACTTCTTTTTTCTATTCTGGTTCTTTATTAGTCTTGGGGCATGCGTACTGAACGGGAGAAATGTCTTTGTGCCTGCAACGCACAGCTATTGTGTGGGGGGGGGGGGGGGCAGCTACTGTATTGTAGGCATGCCGCCGTACCTAACAGATACACCATGAACATGGACAGCTTGGGGGGGGGGGGGGGGGTTGCAGTACGACAGTACACATGCATGCAGTAGTACGCGCGCATTCGCTAGACCAAAATGAACGCCATAAAGTGATCCTCGCGCTTTGCTGGCATGTCAGGAGTATCTGAAGTCTTCGCTGGGATCCATCTTAGCTCTGCAGCATTCATACGCATAACTTCGCAGCATTCACATTTCATTTACCACCACTGTTCATATCCAACCATCATTCTGTCCCGAAGTGCAACTAACCGTCTAGCCTTTGCATCAATGCTTTGTCCTTGCATGCCACCTTCGGATCCAACTCCATGGCCTGCTCCTGTGGCAAGTACAGCACCTGAGACCGGCACAGGGACAACAGAAACACAGCTCACACAAAAGCATAGACATCATCCTGGCACACACTAGACTGCGGCTCAACTGACAACATTCCAGTGCACACTAAACGGAAGCTCAACTTACCCACCCCAAGCATAATACTACAGCACAAGTCGACGTATACACCCCAAGCATAATACTAGAGTACAGGTGGACTGACGCACTCCTAGCAAACACTGCAGTACAAGTAGACTCAGCCTCACTACTTACAGTGTGGCCCTTTGGCTTGTTGATCGCATCGGTCAACGATGCCATAACGCGATGCAATGCCAGAGAAAAGTCACTTTTGATACCTGAAACATCGAGGCAGACGTAAAGATGAACAGGAAACAAACGTGAATGAGCCTGCATATTTGAAATGCGTCCTACTTCACCTCCTCATTTTACAAAGAGGCAACGTTGTAACAAGAGCTTTATCACAGCAAGGAATAACGCTAGAGAGGCAGATATTGAATGCTGTGGTAAAAAAACGGAAATACTTGAATATAGTGAGTCAAGAGTTTCCTAATCAGCTTTCATGAGACTATCACCAGGGAAAGCCGTCTCAACAATGATAAGTAGGCAGGGAGAACACTGTATACGTCTAGGGGTAGTGAGAAGTATAGAGGTGAAGTATGATTGAAGAGGTGAGCCGGAGGCGTGAGTGGTTAGAGGTGTGCGTGCTTCGAGTAACTGTGGACATTAGTGTGAAGGGTTAAGGGAGGATTTTTTAAGGTGAGTGTAATAGTTGTAGATGCCAAACAGTGCAGGAGAGTTTGAGGTGTAGGTACATGTGTAGGTGTGAGTGTGAATGATAAGTGGAGAGTCTACGTTTCGGTGACATACCCTTGTTGAGTGACAGGTTAATCAGGCTTTGTGAACTGATAAATGCAGGTTCTAACACTCTCTCGCACATTTTGGCAGTTACCTCCATTATACTCGGATTAACTGTGGGTTGCAGCACGGCTGGAAAAAATCCTTCCGCTTCCAAGCAGGACTTGAACCTGGTACCCTCTGTTTCTCAATCATGGTCTTAGACCATCCCACTATGCCTGCCTGCCATGGATGCAGTGAATGGGATTTCGGTCTTTGACCACTTTGTGGTGGGTCAGATCTACTCACCTCCCACCGCTTAGGAGCTGCATCTGCGCCTTGATCCAAGAGGGTGGTGGCGTTCCTGCGGATGCGGAAAACTGGGCCTTTGGCCGAGTCTCACGCGAACCGTGAATTTTTTTTTTTTTTTTTTTGTTGCCACAAAAATTCAATGTCCAACTAGCTAATATAATCCATTGTTGTAATAAACCATCCTACGAAGTGCACCATTGCGCCTTGAGGTATCACTTTGGTTGAAGTATATATCGATCAATCTTGACTCGAGGAACTTGAAAGTGTTGTGCAAACGTACCTTCTGGCCAATCCGTCTTGGCAAAGAAGTGCGGTGCGTAGACCTGCTGGATACGCCGCAGCAGACTCTCCACCGGATTGCCTTGCAGCAGACCGTAGTGGCAGTCCAGGTGAAACGTGGCCTTGCGGAACGCATAGTTCTCTGGGCGAATGAAGTACTGCAGCTGGTCTACGTCACGCAGGGGAATGTCACAGGACACCTGCACAAACAAACCATGATCAGCGGCACAACATGACATCATCTCAGTAAGTAACTGTTATACGCGTGGAATAGAAATTCACATCGCTCGAGCCGAGCTTCGAAACATGCACAGTGCTGCCCATGGGAATTTGCTCCGTGAATAAAGTAAGCAGCGCAGCGTTTGAGTGCACAGTCCAGCGTCTGTAGTGCCAGGGCCATGCAGCACCCGGCAAATTTATATTCATTTAGGCGAATTTCACTGGCTAGCACTACAGGTACTCCACTATTGTACTAAAGTCATGAGGAACTAGTTATAGGCTAACAGGCACATCTCAATTAAATATTCTTTTTACAATTTGGCATTCCGGTCCATGACCATTATGAGATGCGGTCATTAACCCATGACCACTTTGCGAAGCTCGAGGAACCGTATCTTGTGCAAAGTCATACAATCGTTAAAAAGACGTCGTCCATGCCCAATAATAAAAAGTGCCCAATAATTAAACGCAGATGTGTGACGAGTGGTCTCCTGGATTGTATCCATTCCATTCTCTTATAGAAACATACCATAAGATGTGCACCCCTATACATCATTCATGACACAGCTTACTGGCTCTCCGTTGCATACAGAACTGCACCTTTCAAGTCATGTGACAACCAGCCCAGGTCTAGCTTTGGCCATGGTAGTATATTGGCCACACTACTAAGTCTTACAGAGGGTTGATCACAAACACAGGTGATCATACTTCCAAGTATAACTAAAGGTGGTCCTGGACCAAACGCTGAGGTACTCTGGGAAGTTGGAAGGCTGTGATCAAAAAGGTAAGGGTGATCCCTGTTGGAAGCGACTACAACAGAATACAGTCCAGGTTCACATGCCCACCGGCTTGATATGCGCGTGAGAACTCAACGGACAGAAGTCGACTTAGCTTAAACAAGGTTATTCTTTATAACAATGTTCTTGTTTTCGTAAGCGAACAGTGTCATTATTTATCTATTTTTAATATCACTCATGTGCCCACTTACTACAAGTTCATTGCTGGAAGGGGTTACAACAGAATACAGTCCAGGTTCGCATGCCTACTTACTACAAGTTCATTGCTGCGCGGACAGATGTGCAAGCAGAGCATGCGGAGGCGAGTGTCGGTAAAGAAATCCTTCACGGTCTCATCGTGCTGTGCTTGCCACATCTCCCGTGTGTAGCCAGACAATCGGATCTGCGGCTTGATAAGCTGCACCTGCAACAAGCATCACCAAGCCAGGTTTAAAAAAATGATTACATGCACTTCAAGGAATAGCTTAGAACAGGTGTGCACACTCGGCAATTGCAAGCGACGTTAGTCTCGGTGTTCACTTCTATCATGGCATGCATTGTTCATGACAGGAGCGTCAGACGACTGCAAGTCAACATGATCATTGTCTCTTGCATAAGTTGCACTGTCTAGTAACGGAGAGTTACGCCTGCATGCAAACCGTATGCTTGGTACAATCATACAATCACAGTCTAAGTTGAACAAAACCCTGGAGCAAAAGGACGATGTACTGTCGACGGGTGCAACGGGTGCAACGCGGACGAAGAAGTCACCCTAGGACTGTGCGTAGCTGTGCTCATTGTTTTCCCTATGCTCTATGCTCTATGCTCTCAACTTCAGAGTAATTTTTAGATCAAACTGTCAGTTGAATACAGAAGCCTGAGAAAACTCTCCCAACCGGGCACCTCGGGACCATTGGATGCTCGCATCTTGGAATTGTCCACAGCTCATAACTACACTACAGCCCCAATGGATATAGTAATAACAAGTCATTCTATTCGGTCCGGCTCACTGGCACCATTCACAAGCATGCACAGTAAGAGCTGAGGGCTATGGACTTATGATCTTCTCCGTGGTGAAGTAGGTCAGCTGACTGCCATGAAAAGGAAAGTATTCTGTGAAGATTTGACTGCATATACCTACTTGCGGGCAGTGCAGGGTGCCTTGTGGTGCCCCGCCTAGATAGGTGCCTGGTTGAGGGGGGGTGCCCAGGTAGGTGCCTGGTTGAGGGGCAGGGGCAACCATGAGATGCCTGGCCAAAGGGAGGGGGGCAGATAGGTGCCTAGCTGAGGGGGAGGGGGCAGATAGGCACCTGCCACGGTTGAGGGGGGGGGGGGGCAGTGGCGTGCACCGAGTCTTGAAAGGGGGGTTTCTAGAGTTGGTAATTTTTTTCTGGAAACCCACTGTATAAGTATGTATTTGTGCACATGCGCATCCCCGAACATCCCGTCGGAGATAACGGCGAGGGCTAGGATAGGAGGAGACTAGGGGGGGGGGGGGGGGGGGCTCAAGATCAGGGGTGCAGGGCACCAATGAGCACTGGTACTGATGAGATGCGGGGCTCGTCCGACTGCTATCATCAGATCATGCCGGCACAAACGCGTCTGAGAGGGAACCAGGTACAGGGGTAGAAAGGACAGAAATAAGAGGAATGAGGAATGGAGGGAGGGGACGATGTTACATGGAAATGTTGGTAGATCTACATGTACATGTATAACCGGTAGCAGGAAAAAACGGGTACGGGTTACCTTTTACATACCAGCACTTCAAAAAGTATTTGTACTCATATACACTGTGCAAGTTTGTCATATTGAACCCGTAAAAGTTTTATAGGCCTAGCCGCCCAGGCTACACGTAGGCTGTCATCTTTATTTGAGTCAACAGTTTGGAAGGAGATATCGTCAATCATATCCTTGAACTGACTTGCATCGCGCGTGCTTGACTCAAATTTCGAGACAAAACGGATTTCTTGAACGTCATCTGGTCATCGCCAATCCAGGAGCGAACCAGAGCTGGAGATCGATCTCTCTGTGGCTACTCTCCACTGAAGAAAGAGAGAATATTGTATTTCGAACTGCATGCAAAGCAACTCTCTCTCACTTCGAAATAAGGACATAGTCACTGTACTGTAAACTGCCCGTCGATTGACGCGTATGCAGGATAACCAATCCAGTACGAGCGTAGGCACACTTTTCCTTTGGCAAGATTGCCCGGAAAAAGGTGGTTTCCAGACACCAAAAAACTCATACGGTGCACGCGCCTGGGGGGGCAGATAGGTGCCTGGTTGATGGGGGGGGGGGGGGGAGGCAGATAGATGACTGGTTGAGAGGGGGGCAGATACATGCCTAGTTGAGGGGGAAGGGGCAGATCGGTACCCGGTTGAGGGGGGGGGGGGGCAGATAGGTGCCTGGTTGGGGGGGGGGGGCAGATAGATGACTGGTTGAGAGGGGGCAGATACATGCCTAGTTGAGGGGGAAGGGGCAGATCGGTACCCGGTTGAGGGGGGGGGGGGGCAGATAGGTGCCTCCCTGAGGGGAAATGGGGTAGATAGGTGCCTGGTTGAGGGGTGCCCAGATAAGAGAGGTTCTACTGCACTTCCTTTGATCCAAAATGTTTTCACACAACCTGTAGGACCATACAACTGCCTTTCACACTGCAAGCAGTTTTCCTACACAAGCCGTCATTCACTCTCCGGCTATTTTCTGGTCTTCGTTGCTGTTCGACGATCAAGTTGCCATGGAACTCAGCTTTACAATTGAGAACTTGCCACGTTATTCTCTATCCACACTGTCAGACAATTTTCCTAAAGTACTTCATGGAAAGCCAGCCAGGCAATCCTGCTCTGTTCATTCATTCATTTCCACTACCTGACTACGGACGAGAACGGAGTGGATTTCATTGATGCTCTGGCCAACTCAAAAATGAGCTTATAAGGCTGCAGGCATAATCTCAATTGGTGTATGTTTACACGATCCTGAGTTCCCAGCACACCACATCAGGGTGACCTTCAAGGTCTCCTTACCATTTCCGCTGGAGGTATGGATTCTACGGAAAGCGGCCGCGGGGTCTCGATTTTCGCGCGGCCAGCAGCAGTTCCATTGTCGGCAGCGGGTCCAGCACGACCATCGCTGGGACTAGCCGAGCTGCTCGTGTCGAGGCTCTCCGCGCTACTACCAGTGCTCTCCCTTTCCGTCAGCGACGACTTCTCCCTCTCATCCAACTCTCCGGAGTCTCCCGCCTCCATGGAATCGTCATCCTCCTCTTCTTCGCCATCGTACTCATCCTCGTCGTCTTCCTCTTGCTCGTCTTGACCTTCTTCTTGTTCTTCGTCGCCACCTGGTTCAACCTGCACGCTCTCCGCGCCAGCAGCATCGTCCGGAGTGTCCGCAGAATCCATTGCAGGCGTGGACGCGCAACAAATCCTTCGAGTTGTTACCAGCACAAATCTTGGAGCATTATTTCAAGGGAGTGCGTGAAAGTAGTGGAGCGCATGCGGCTCAAGTCAAGGCCATGCAACGCGCGTATGTGTGTGTACTGACACTTGAAGGATATCACTGCGGTGGCAAGAAATTCTTCTTCAGCTTCATTCCAGATTGGGCATGCAGTCGGAGACGACGTTCGCCAGGTCCAACGAGATGGGATAACGTTGAAGCGTGTCGAAATGAAGAGATTCCATGAGTCTCTTCACTTCATAACGAACGATGTTGGTGCAGTGTGCAGTGTGGCATGATGCCCGATGTTTTTTGTAACCCGCGCAGTCTGTTCATCGCAGAAAAGGTGTGACTGTCTGCGAGTGCGAGGTAGATTCTACGTGATCGCCGGCGATCACGTAGAATCTACCTCGCACTCGCGCCATGCACGATCGATGTCTGGGTGGTAACATCGCTGTTGACGAGCTAGACAGAGCTACACTTGCGCTACAAAGTCCAGTCGAGTATCGCGCTACAAATACCCAGTTGACAACAGCACTGTCAGCAGTCTGCTGGGTTGGCATGGATTTTCTGTTGCTGTGCTACGAAGATGTGTAGCGGGCGCGAATGCACGCTTCTATGACTTATGTCATGAGTATAATGAAGTATGATGATTGATGTCTTGACGAAGTGCTGGCATGCCGGCAGTGAAGCGTCTATCAAAGCGCTCGACGGGACTTCGTCAACCTCAAACTCTCACTCTCAGGTCCATTCATTTGAAACGGAGCTGAAACTGCGGTTATCAGTAGTGAGTACACACAGCTACCAACAATAGCCGTGTCGTGAGCAGCTGTTCACATAATTTCTGCACAAACAGCTCGTGCCGGGAGCCTCGGGGGGACGCTGCAGACCGGTGATGGCGGAGCAGCAAGCGAAGGTAGCAGCTGGTAAGTGAGAACTAGCTACATGCACTGAATGCAGTATGTAGCGCACGAATGGGGTATCGACTTGCAACGTATACCTGGTATACTACTAGTAGTACTCCTTTTCCCCTAGGCTACAGGAAATAATTATTACAGTACACTGTCAGGCTACCGGAAGAGCATTGTTTTGACTATGGCGGGATGCATGAGGAGATACATTTTCCTGCAACATCAGTGCGTTCCTAAGATACTGAATGTATGATCATTGTCCATGATCACACATTCAGTATTTGAATACTAGTACATCATTCTATAAACAGTGACTGTCACTCATGCAATTAGTGAGTTCCGTGACCAGACGTTCAGAGTACACCTGTACTGTTGCAGTGTAAGCCTGCCTAACTGACAGTCTGTTCTGTTTCTGTTTCTGTGTGTCATTCTAACGTTGACCTTGGACGAAGGTACACACGGTCGAGGTCGTGCAAGACACCTTGGGTGAGCAGTGTGAAGGCACGGAAGGGGGGGGGGGGGGGGGTGAGGTTATAATCTGTTACAACTAACTTCAAAGTTATTTACATACTTCAGCAGTGATGCCACTGCGTACGATGGAATATACTTCAAGCACGCTATTATCATGCCAACATCTATCATAACTTTATTATAAGCGGCAGCTGAAAGAGAAAAACACAACATAGATAAGGCATTTTGCTGGTAACTAGCTGAGACCAATTATCCCCGGCAGCACCAATCTATGGCTTGAAAGGTAGCCCACATATCTTTGGATGGGTGAAGCCTTCCACAGAGATGTCTGGAAATGCACGTGCACCGCATTATTACAACATGAGCATGATGTCAGCTTGAAATTCTGTCGGGACAGCACTGATAAGTGATATATGAGCTGCCCACCCAATTGGTTAAATATGTTGACCTACCCTTCACTAGCTTCACATGTCACAGTTTATGTCCTTGGAGTGACTTTTATACTCAGTGCCAAAACTACCAATACAGAGTGGGAAGGCCCGGTTGCTAGCAAGCCACGGTGGGGAAATGGTGAAAGAAATAACTGGCCTCAAGCGAAGGCCCCTGGTTCTGGTCATGGTGGCGACAGTCAATTTTTTTTCCATTCCCTCAACTAGTGAACCAATCTGAACATGCTTCGCAACATGGACTTTTAGCTTTCAGAATGTAGACTACATTGTTGTCAGAACGGATCCCTATTGCTACACAACACCGAACATGTATACAGGTCAAAACATGTCCAGTTAGAATGTTGCAAAAGCTCTTGGCAGCTCCAGCATGCTGGCATGCAGCATGGCTACAAAAGCAAGCTGACTATGTGTATGTTATTGTGTGCACATAATGTTTCACATTCTCACAGGCAAATACGATACAAGACTGCGTCGAAGAACTGCATCTACGATGTGTTGCGGACTAGGCCTGGCTGGGTGGAGGTCAAAGAGTAAGTTGTGTTATCCCATGATGTCTTGCTTGCACTTGTGCTATCTTCTACATTAGTAAATCCCTACGTTTTGACGTACGACACAAACATGTGTATATACGTATGTTAACAGGTGGGCCGGGTTGGAGGGCGGAATTTGATAATCCAGCACCCTTGTTTATCCAGCAGAAAATGCCTTGCAAAAGGTGCCGGATTAGAGAGGGACGACTGTAATTATATCTTTGTGTAGACTGATGCCATTCTTGTACCCCCACGGCTTTAACATTAGACTACTCGCAAGAGTATAACTATAAGCTCCTTGTGAGCTTATACATTTATACTCTTGCTAGTACTAGCAGGCATTCTCAGGTGCTTGCGGTTCAAATTGCATGGGTGCATGATTGTGAAAACATGTGTCCAGTAGTTCATATATGATGAGACTTTACTGTTTACAGACGAAGTAAAGCTATATACATGTAATAATTATTATATCGTTGCTCATGCAGTGATGGCGCATGGGACTTCTATTGGTGTGAAGTAGGCTGGCTGCGGGATAACTTTGATCAGAACTACTTTGAGGAGCATGTGAAGATATGCCACTTCCGCAACCATTACGAGGTGAGTAACGATCGCCTCCGCGGCTGTGACCAGAGCGGCCAGTACAGTATGTCAGTACAGTATGCCAGTACAGTGCATTGCCTTAGTGACCGGGTACCAACCACACGTACATCTTGTACATCATGAATAGCTGATCATGGCGCACCCGGAGGCTTGATTTGCTTGTATAATGCCAGTGCAATGGGAGATGATCGCTGCTGCTCATACATTTAAACAGAGCAACATTATGAATGTGCAATATGTGCAATTCAGCGAAATATTACCTTCATGCCCCATTGAACACACCCAAATCCCCCCCCCCCCCCACACACACACATGTATGCGAGTAGTTGAAATGTCCTTTATAAACACCAGTGGTCTTGGAGCCAATGTAAGATTTTTCTTCTAACTCCATGCAGTTAACACGCAAGAACCTGATGGTTAGGAATTTGAAGCGCTACCGAAAGCAGCTGGAGCGAGTAGTGGGCAAAGACGGGCAGGCTCGGTGAGTTGTGTCATAGCCATGAGTGGTGCATCACTGCATTGCTGCTGCCTACGAGATGCTTGGCAGCGTGTGTGCACATTCGCTTTCATGTTCGTAGGTCAGGCAACATGTGATGGCGGCATTTTCACCAGGGTTGTCACGTTCCTGCTGCTTACCCTGCTGCATCGTCAAAATCCCACGGCTATAACAAAAGACTGGAACTTTCTTGGGTAGGGCTCTCTGATGGTTTGCATCATCCCGGTGATCTATCACATGATCCATCACATGATCTATCACACAATCTATCGCATGTTACCTCTGTCACTCTGTTGCTAATGCCTGCAGAATGGACTTCTTCCCCACGACATATGAACTGCCGGTAAGGAGTATTGGTACAATGGTTACCGGCAATAGCAGCATTCAGCCGTTGTGAGATGAGTTACTCATGGTGCATGAACCTCGGCAAACAGCACACAGTTCAACAGTGATGTTCAGTTGGCAAAGATCACAATCTTGCATAGGTGTATGACTAATAAATGCTGGCACTTCCAGTACCCTAATTTTGAGGATTTTCTGGGTGCATTGCAGTCGGAGTATCATATGTTCGTTGAAGAATTCAAGCGCAACCCTGGATCAATCTGGATTATGAAACCGGTGAGTTCTACACGCAGCTGCTGCATTCCGAATGCAGCAGCTGGCAGAAGTCCTGATTTTTGTCAACGCGATAAGGGAGTGTTTAATTGCTGTACAGAAGGCGAAAATCAGACACACTAGAGGCATATTTATTCATGAGTAACTACTGGAACCAGGCAGGCACAGTGGGTTGGTCAAAGACCATGATTGAGATATGAGAGGTACCTGGTTCAAGTCCTGCCTGGGAGCGGTTTTTCCAGCCGCACAGTCAACTGGGAACTTGTGGCCAGGCACAAGGTACATGGATGCAGCTAATGGGATCGTTCTTGGCACTTGTGCCAGTGGTTGTGAGACTTATCCACTCACCCCCACCGTTAGGCGCTGCATCTGCCGCTAGGGTTTACCGGGTGTTAGCGGCCGTCGTGAGTTCCCTTTGGGAACGGACACGATAATTTTCTTTTTTTCTTTTTTTAAACTACTGGATGACGTAACTTACTTACATTTAGTTACTTTTTGACGGTTCAGTTAGTTTTGGCATGCTCTGCTGTTGGTGTTTTTGTTCAGATCAGCAAGTCGCAAGGGAAAGGTATATTCCTGTTCCGAAAACTGAAAGACATTGAAAACTGGAAGAAGGCTGACTACAACAGCATGTATAAAGACGACAGAGTGGTGAGTGGTGGAGGCACATTGTCTAGAACACTCATGCTGTCATAACCGCACCAGCGTGAGTTGATCCACAGTACGGTAGCTACACACAATATTCAACACTAAAACACAGTCATGTTAGTGTTGAATATCTGTGATTGTACCTCCTCCCCATACACCTCTCCCATCTTTCATTCTTGAACCTTATGCTTCCAGTTGTTTTGCCATGCAGATTCTGCCATACTTGGTAAAAGTCACGAACAATTGCAGATGAATGGCCATGTGTGTGCATGTATCTTCCGCCATTGCTGTGACCGCAGGCGGAGGCCAGACACGAACCAGAAACCTACATAGTATCCCGCTACATTGCAAACCCGTATCTGATCAGCGGTGAGTTGCTTTAGGGATGCCCAGCAATGACACTACAGTTATAATATGTAGTGCTGACTGAGCTATGCAGAGCATTCTTGGCTCATCTACATGTAAATGTGCACCACTGTATGTCATGTAACGTTACTTAGACCAGGCACGTTCCCGTACACCTCTGTCACCCATTTTCACACATGATACCAATCTATATGATCGTGTCCATTGCAGGCAAGAAGTTTGATCTACGTGTGTATGCCCTTGTCACATCGGTAAGTTTAATAATTATATGTGTGTATGCCCGTGCCACACCAGTAAGTTAGACTGCTAATGCGGCTGTGACATGGTCAAGTCTGGGAAAGAAGACTTTAGAAGTTCAAAGAAAGTACCGGCTGTGGTTGAGGGCTTTACGGTAAAGCTCAGTGAACATATGATGTCGAGGGCTGTACAGTGCAGGGGCAAGCTATTCATGAGGTTACCTTTTGTCAAGAAAGACCGTCTGCTTGCTTACAATCTACCATACTTGTAATATCGTGTGTGCACATCCACCCAAGTGTACTGCAGTCGTGTTTGCTTATGCTATGTTGTCTGTCGTTCCTGATTGGCAGTATGTTCCACTGAAGGCATGGCTATACAGAAGTGGCTTTGCACGCTTCTCCGGCGCTCGCTATCGGCTTGACACTATTGAGGACTCGTGTATCCACCACCCGCCAATCAATAATGCTATGTTGATATTTTGTTTGTTCAGTGAAGAACACTCACCATTACCAGCCTCGTGAACCAACAGCAGCTGATGCATGTCGGCTTCATGCATCGTGTATTCCTTGGAAGTACAGCCAGTGCCTGTGACTTTTTCCTACCACTCCACTATGCTACTTGACAGTATGTAGTGTATTCTTTCGCCTCCCCTTATAACAATGTTTGCCATCCAACTCAGCAGCTCCTTGACCAAACTTCTATAGATGTTCATCTGACAAACGTTGCTATACAGAAGACGGCACCAGACTATGATCCTGAAAAGGCAAGACAGCACCACCTCAGCCCACTTTTCTATAATTACCGTCACGTCACTCCCACTACAATACAAAGGACAAAAACACACAACTGTAGGCCTACCAGGTATTGCACATGACCATGGTGATGTTCTTATTACAAGAAGTGAAGCTGTATTCGTACAACACTTTCGCAATTACACTACTACATATATTATACTGCTCCTACCCTGCAACATCCAGCTTGCGGCAATATCAGTTTTACTCTGTGTGGACCGTAATTGCGTTTGCTTCTCCAGGGGTGCAAGTGGGGACTGCAGGAGCTCCGTAACTTCTTTGTTGCCAAACACGGCCAAGACGCGGTAAGTGCCAGGGAAAGTATGCAAACATCTAGTAATAGCTATGCACCGTGAAGCAGTGCAACTACTGGAGTATGAACACTTACTTGACGAAACTGACAGCGAGGTTTGCAGCACAGATGTTTACGGGTGCATTTCCACTCAGGTAACTACAGCAGAACCTACTATCTCCTGTACCAGTATGCAAGCACATCAGGACAACCTTTTTTCAGACTCCAACATATCCACTGATTCCACTCACTCCGTAATACTTTTTACTCGAGTACTTTTTTCTTTTTGCTGCGATATCCATCCCTCTTTCATCCATTTTCGGGCTTTATCAGGGTGGCTACAATAACACATTGTAGTAACATGAAATAGTGTATTCTGTACAACCAGTCAATGCTAGACTGTAATTGGGTGCATTCTCTCTTCCATGTCAAACACAGGCTGATACTCTTTACAGAGAGATTGACAACGTCCTCATCAGAAGTTTGGAGAGCGTGCAGAAGATCATCATCAACGACAAGCACTGCTTTGAAGTGTATCCTTGTCACGAGAGTTTGATATTAATTTACCTTTGACTGTCTTGACTCTCCCTATGCCATCCTGACATAAGAGGAGATACTCATGCAGATGGGCACACTTGAGAACCATGCAAAGCACTGCACCGCTAGTGCTTGAACAGCTGCACACCTTAATCGGACCCTCTCCGCCAGTGCAGGTGTTCTTCTGCTGCTTCTCGACTCTTTCTAACTGCCGTGCCTCGAGTACAGCTTTGACGTTGCTGCATCCTTGACACTGACCGCCGGTCTCCTAAAGATATGGATTCGACATCATGATCGATGCTAATCTCAAACCGTAAGGCAACCGACCAATTGCACAGAGTTCATGTGAAGAGACTAAGCAGGATTGTTTTCATTTTTTTGTGCTTGTATGAGTTGCTTTCCAGAACAACTGTAGCTCACATCTACTAACAGATCGAGCTGTGCAAAGTACATTGATTGAAATCATGAAACCACTGATTGGTAGCAGCCAGTCTTAACGATGGCTTTTCCCCGCATTGGGTGTGTTTTTGGTGGCGTGTATGTACAGGTGGCTGATAGAGGTGAACGCTTCACCGTCACTGACGGCGAGCAGTCCATCCGATCACGAGTTGAAGGTTGGCCTGCTGACGGACATGCTCGACATCATCGACATGGAGGGCAAGTAAGGAGCACTGCCGGGCACTGCTGTGACACTGATTTTCAGTTCAACTTTGCAGCCTAGAGAGCGTGTGGGGGCAGGCGTGTGTTTACCGCCATATTTATCCATAAGTACAGCTGCATTGGTGTCTTCAACTGCGGCCGGGGTGGAAATACATGTCCAGGTTCATATGGAATAGAATAGAGGAGACTCAGGTTCATAGGTCCACTACCAATAGTCCATACTTCAGAGTATAAGGAACGAGAAGAGGTGACGAAGAGCCAGAACGAGGTGCCAAACTGCCCCACGTATAGACGAAATGTGCACAAAATAATCTCTATTGAAAGTAATAAGTGTGAGCGTAGATGATGGATGCATAAATTGTGTACAGGGTACACATATTATGTGTACCCTGTACACAATTTATGCATCCATCATCTACGCTCACACTTATTACTTTATGAACAGTGTCGTAACAACTTAGAAAACGATACAAGTAGTCATAATTCCAGCATCGCGGCAGTGTGCATGCGTGTACTTCAGTATGTTCTCGCTAGATTAATTAACTCTTGTGCAATCAATGGTGCCAGTAAAGCCTATCAGATTCACTCTGACTTAGCAACCTACATCAGTATCAAGTATTATTCTCGGCAGGAACGGGGTAAATGCAGCCGGATCCCAGGACGGATACCCTGATGCTGTCAATATTTTTCTGCACCTTGTACTCATTCACTTATTGCAGTGTCACGAGCCAATAGATGGGAACATGTCCAAGTCCACCTGGAGTCTGGGGGTTTCAGGGGTGTCAGCCATTGGGTGGTTAATAATAGCTAATTGAGTCACCTTTCCAAAATTCCGCTTAGATCATTTCCCCCTCTCCCAGGGAAGACCCGTGTGACCAGTATCTGGCAGTTTGCAAGTCAGAAACCCAAGTACAACTAAAGTGTGTGTGTGAGAGAGAGGAAGAGTATGTGTGTGTGTGTGTGTGTGTGTGTGTGTGTGTGTGTGTGTGTGTGTGTGTGTGTGTGTGTGTGTGTGTGTGTGTGTGTGTGTGCTTTGTGAAAGCGTGGTAAATTGTTGGACATCATATTTGGAAGTACTGTAATACTACTTGGAAGTAGATAAGAAGCTATGGGCCCAACTTACCAGCTAACCGATTCCCATCCAGACTTGGCATTCAGATAGCACCTCAGTGAACAGCCTAAAGACAAGGACCCATTACTGCATTAGACCCTCACTCGCATTCCGGGAAAGTCCCTCCAAGAAAGTGACGACAGACAGTGCATTGACTGGTACACGAGGGCCAGACCTGAGTACCGTAGATGCCCACTAAATTATCAACGAATCCCTTAGTACAGAGTACGTTGGGCGTTCACATGCACACCTCTGTGCACAACCAACATGATCGATTGTGTTTGAAGATACATGCACACACGCACACACACACACACGTGCACACACACGCATACACACACACACACACACGCACACACACACACCTTTACCACTGCAGTCCTACTGGACTAAACTGCAAAAGTAACCCCATAATCATGAAAGCAAAGAGACGTGTACGCTGGGTAATAACCATGAACTCGGCTGTGGTTTGACAATGCCTACAGCTTGACCTTCTACTCGTACTTTCCCCCAGTCTCTATTTTCGTTTTTCGTTTTTGTCTGACAGGCTTTCAGGAGATGAAACGAGAATCGGTGGGTTTGACTTGATGTGGAATGAAGGGCCCGTTCATTCGCAAGAGATCTGCCTGAAGGAAACGGTTCCAGACTATCCAACAAACACATTCTTAGGTCAGTGGCCAAGCACCAATGCATTGTGCCGGAGACAAGTACACAGAAAGTACACTAATCTACTGAAGAAGAGAAGCCCACCTTCAGAAACCAGATAACTTAGAGGAGAAGCCCACCTTCAGAAACCAGATAACTTAGAGGAGAAGCCCACCTTCAGAAACCAGATAACTTAGAGGAGAAGCCCACCTTCAGAAACCAGATAACTTACAGGAGAAGCCCACCTTCAGAAACCAGATAACTTACAGGAGAAGCCCACCTTCAGAAACCAGATAACTTAGAGGAGAAGCCCACCTTCAGAAACCAGATAACTTAGAGGAGAAGCCCACCTTCAGAAACCAGATAACTTAGAGGAGAAGCCCACCTTCAGAAACCAGATAACTTAGAGGAGAAGCCCACCTTCAGAAACCAGATAACTTAGAGCATACAATCATATCAGGCTGATGATGAGCTAATTTCAATACAATGCCATAGTCTGTTTCTGTAACCTATTGACTAGGATATGCTACTGTAGGTCCTGATTCAAACCTTGTATGCTCTTGCCACCTGACATTCTACTGCAGGTTGTGAAAACGATCGAGAGACACAGCGAGCCGACCTGCACCGTTCTCTTGCTATGGCCAAGATCTTGGCACGTAAGAAGAAATCCAGTCAATAATCAAGCAATGTCCCGGCTAACAAGGCCACTGCCATGCTCGATGGACGGGTGCTTATGTTCACGGTGCTGGTTTGGCGTAGGGAAGGAGCTGGACAGCCACACAATGTTTGGTACTAAGCATGGCAACTCATAGCCTTCTCCCCCCCCCCCCCCCCAACCCCTGTTTCTCCCCCCCCCCCCCCCCCCACCTCTGTTTCTCGCCAAACCTCTGTTTCTCGCCAACACCCTAACACTATTCCAAGACACACACTGTACTGGAATACGTTTCCTCAGTGTGTTAAGCCGCTTGACTAAGTCATCTTTTAGTTGTACATAGCAGAGTGTTAGCTCCTTCAGTTCAACAACGAAGATACATATCGTTTGCATTAATTATCATACCGAACACTATTAATGCTACACATCACATTCCACATGACTAACCTTGTCGGCTTTTTTCCTTCACTATTCCAAGTCAAGTGGCAAATAATGTGTACGGGCCATTTGCCATTTTCACGGGGAAAGGCCGCACTTCCAAGATATTCCGCGGTCGTTTCCATATTTCTTCAGAACTAACAAGCTACCAACAATGACTCTTGTTTTATTCTTGCATGTCACTGTTTGTCAACCTAAAGAATTCTACACCCATGAACGTCTTTGTTATTTCATATCAGAGACTGCTTTGCGGGCCATCTCTCAGCAGAAACAGTACACAGTGTCTATGATCGTCCCTGGCCCCTCACATGCACCGACCACGAATACCAGGTTACCACACGGCAACAAAGCCAATATCTATGGGGACTAAACCTAGAACTAATAAATGCAGCTATTCTTTATTTTTAAAATTGCTTGAATAACCTTGTTCACAACACAACAATGCTTTGCCAGCCTAAACTATGGTATGAAAAGGAAGACATTTCTATTATCAAATCACAAACCACGCAGATGCAGAGAAAAGGAGGGCGAAGTAAACTATATCTACGTCAGTGGATGAGATAGGTCACCAATCGATGCAAGTCTCACCAGGTGGATTGTGGGAAGGACTAGGCCTCACCAAGAGGAAATTGAAGGCTTTCAACTTGCTCTGGGGTGGCGCGTTGCACAAATTCAGTCCATGACCCCTGATAGAAACAAAGTTAAGAAACCATAACAGAAGTTGCACTCGGATCAGCAAGCACGCTTTTCGTGAGCCTGGACAAAGATTCTTTCTACTTCACGTAACGTCGTTTTATACTGGACACTCTGTAGACCTTGAGCATGTGAGGCGTAAATGTTCTACAATGTACTTGCCACTACACCGGGCACACAGCAGTGGTACAACTAAGTCTGCTGTTACACAACAAAAACTCCGAGGACAGCAGAGAAGAGACCTTGTCATACCACTGGTTACCGCATGCCTGTTGTATCTCTAGCTGTATCTCAGAAAATCCTTTGGCTTGGCCTGACAATGGATAGCGTTAATGTTGACCATTAATGTATCTCGAAAAAAAACATTTAGAAACATAATCATGTCCGTTGGCGTCTGCAAGCATAAATGGAGGTCCCATATCATAGCACATCCACCACACATGTAGTTCCTTACATCAAATACTGGAATGCTCTGTTGACCGGCCATGAAGGCTGTGAATGCCAAGACAGTCGCAGTCACGCCACTTCCACAGGTCATGATGGTGGGCTTGTTCAAGTCAATGCCAAACGATGCGTACACTATGACACACAAATAGACCAAAAACCACACATGCACACATGCCCGCGCACGCACACGCACACACACACACACACACACACACACACACACACACACACACACACACACATGCACACACAAACATACACACATGTACAAGCACTACTACTACTATGTACAACTGCCACAAAATGGCCACGTCGCTCCCAGAAGCGTACAAGCACGTGTACACACACAACACACATGCAAGATCGAAAAGCAATAGGGCGGAAACCAAGCACTAGGAATACAGTGTAGGATGTACGTCAAAAGTTTTCGATTTCCTTTTGCTGCATTTGTAAACACACATACTTTGTTATTGGTACATAGCTTCCATATCGCACACCCAAGCCCTGATAAGCCCTCAGACGGTGATACAATAAGGCCTGTCGAGTGCAGACAGAAAACATAACTGAGTAAAGATGAATGATCAGCATACAAGTGCTGCCAGAAAGCACACCTGCTCTCCTCTCTTACCCTCTTTTATGGCATCCGCTGATTTGAGAGTTTTCGTCTCCGGATCCAACATATTGAAGAAAGGTACATTGGTAGCGCCCTTCATGTGACCACTGGGAAGCTCTGAGGAGCAGAAACACCAGCATATTTAGAAGCTAAAGACACTGGACTAAAAATATCTACTCAAACAAAGACAAAACAACATGCCTGAAAGTAGTAGTTATGGCGCATGTAGGAAGGCATGCACAAATAAAATTGACAATAAACGGCAAGAAATACTACTAATAATACTGTAGTACGACAATCTGCAACATGGTAGCGGGGCTGCAGCAATAACATTCTGTGAAGTGGTCTGTCACGCAGCTCACTTGGATTAGGTTCTGGAGCTTCACCATTGTAACGAGGTGCATTCCGTGCGTCGCAAACCTATACAATAAAGCAGATACAACAAAGTAAATAACATTAATGTGCAAGGTGAATACGGAAATGTAGGGGCGATTAATCACCACATCAAAACCATCAAAACAGGATTGATTCTTCACTTGAGCTGTGTGTGTGTGTGTGTGTGTGTGTGTGTATAAAGGCATATCTACTGCGCCGTGTACCATGGTGTACTACAGTGGAAATACAACAACTGTGAGCACAACGTCTTCAGGAAATCAAGTCCCTTTATACAGTATTGTCGGGGCTGAAGAACGGACAGACTGGAACTCCACCAAATATTATATTTTTAAAAAGAACATGCAAGGCTAGGGTCACACTGGCACTGGCACCGGCACTGGCACTGGCACCGGCACTGGCACTGGCACCGGCACCGGCTTTACTACTGCCGCAAGTGATATGTAGTCATGAGAATAATAATAATGAGAAGAGGCTGGAACCCGACTAAAAGCAGCATCTCCAAGTAGAGTGACGTGCCCCGCGTTCTTCAGCACCTGAGAGTACTGCATTGCTAGTACCTGAAAGGCTTTAGCAGCAAGTCCCTCGGCAACGTCAGCGAACCCCCTGACCAAATTCTCCCGGTAGGTTGGAACAAAAGTACCAGCCTGTAGAAAAAAAGAAAAGAAAAACAGCACAAAACAGCATTAATCTAGTTGATGGGTTCGCACGGCTTTTCTACCTTACATCTATTATGTGCATACATTGCAACTAGCACTTTGTATCTTTACTGGTTTCATGTCTGTTCAGTGCACGCGCATTTTTTGTTTATGTAATGAAAACAGTAAGGTGCGGGCGTATACGCTGAAATAAAACACAAAAAAGTATTGCTAGTCGGACTCCTATTCAACAGCCTGTTTCATTACAACCATTACATTGTACGCGAGTATATTCTACTTCTCTGGGATAGAGGAAACTGAACTGCATCCTGAGAAACAGTTATCGTTATCCTACCGGTATGGTTCAAGTAATTTCCTAAAATTAATATCAAAAATTGCTAGCTCCCTGGCCATATAAGTGAAACGACCCTGTACTTCATGTCCTATAAAACCGCAGATGTGAATAAACATACATGTACAGACAACATGTACGCGGATGCTATCTTCCCATGTATTAAGAGCGAATGGTTATCCAGCCTACCTCTACAGTCGGCATTTCACCGTCAGCAGTTGCACCGTCTTCACTGCACCACTTCTCCAACCCACCGTCAAGAACGGAGACATTGTCATGACCAAACACTCGGAACATCCACCAAAGACGGCATGCTGAGAAGAGACCAAACTTGACATTCCTGTCGTAAACGATCACATGAGTGTTGTTACTGACACCATGAACCTAGCAACAATAACAAGAGAGGGAGAGAGAGAGAGAGAGAGAGAGAGAGAGAGAGAGAGAGAGAGAGAGAGAGAGAGAGAGAGAGAGAGAGAGAGAGAGAGAGAGAGAGAGAGAGAGAGAGAGAGAGAGAGAGAGAGAGAGAGAGAGAGAGAGAGAGAGAGAGAGAGAGAGAGAGAGAGAGAGAGAGAGAGAGAAGAGAGAGAGAGAGAGAGAGAGAGAGAGAGAGTGAGACAGAGAGAGTGAGACAGAGAGAGACAGAGAGACAGAGACAGAGAGACACAGAGAGAGACAGAGAGAGACACACACAGAGAGACACAGAGAGAGAGAGAGAGAGAGAGAGAGAGAGAGAGAGAGAGAGAGAGAGAAGAGAGAGAGAGAGAGAGAGAGAGAGAGAGAGAGAGAGAGAAAGAAAGAGAGAGAGAGAGAGAGAGAGAGAGAGAGAGAGAGAGAGAGAGAGAGAGAGAGAGAGAGAGAGAGAGAGAGAGAGAAGACGGGTAGGCTTAAGGAAGTTATTCTAGCCTCACACAGGGGAAACAAGTGCTCTAACTGGGTCTGAAGAGGGGCACATGGCAATAATAGAAGAAATACCGTAAAAGCCCCTGTATACACCCACTCGAAATTACGCCCACCCTCCGTGTACACACCCAGTCAGGGGAAGTCAAGAGCTTTGTTTCAAAATAGCGCCCATGCCCATGTTTTTTGTTTTGTTTTTTTTTCTCTACAAAATCCACATATCTCCAGACACTGGGGTGAATGATGGAGTGTGGTGGTGGGGCCCTTACGCCCAGGTATGCTGGCAACACCAGTACATGTACAGGTACCGATACCCAATACTTACGGCTATCCCTATTCCAAGTATATGCCCAGTTCCAAAATAACGCCCGTGCCCCTGTATACGCCCAGGAAATCGAGGCTGCTATTCTATACGCCTGGGGGCCTATACGCCTGGGGGCCTATACACGCGCTTTTACAGTATGAACAGAAGTTTTAAATACTATTCGAATTTCCGGCCAGGTCATGTTCAGGAACATAATTATGTCAGCTCCTTGATCAGTTTATAGTCCCGATACGTAACCACTGTAGTGCAGTATCATTACATGACTAAAATCAAGGCACAGCTGTAGCCACGTCATGTGTTGTGAACACAAATATACATTGTGTCGTGCTACGACTTGCTACGTCATAATTCTCACAGTCACCCACGTGGCTTTTGTGCTGCCCACGCTGCACTTTCCGCAATGTTTTTGGAAGCACTGGCTTTAGCGTACGTTAGCATATTGGCGTACCGTATGCCACGAACCTCACTTTTGCATACGGTTGCCGCCAGCCAGCTTGCTTTTCTCTTCCTGACAATCTCTCTGCTTGCTTGGCCCTTGCCAAAGCACCTTTTTATGGCTCCTTGCCCCTGTACTTATTTCTTGTTCATATGTAGTCTGCCGAATCTTTCTAACTGTAACGTGTAAAGTAATCATTGCCGCTAACTGTCGAAGTGTCCGTTGTGACCAGGAAGTGGCCCGATTTGCGCGCCCCCTTAGCAGGCGCAGACCTAAATTTGCTAAATTGGTGACCCCGATATTACTGTAGGCAGGCTACATTGTTCACCATGACCATGCCGGCCAGCAACGGGAAGGGCCGTGGAAAACCTTTCCCGGACGCACCCTCAGTTACCAGGGAGGAACTCATGGAGCTCAGGCAACAGCAGCAGGCTCTGCTGGACCAGCTCAACAAGGCACAGGCCACAGCCGGTACCAGTGGTAGTGTTATTGGGAGTAGCCCTGAGTTGGACCGGCCCCCAGCTGTGGCAGCCGTCAGTATCAAGCTGCCCGATTTTTACCCTTCGGATCCCGCTCTGTGGTTTGCCCGGGCTGAGTGTCTCTTCAGTCATCGTGGCATCACTGCCCAGCGGACCAAGTTCGATTATGTAGCTGCGGCACTGTCGGAGCAGTTCTCCATGGAGGTCCGAGAGCTGCTCATCAGTCCCCCGCAGGCTGAGCCATACACGACGCTGAAAAGCCAGCTCATCGCCCGCACTCAGATGTCTGAGCAGAAGCGACTCCGGCGTCTGCTCACGGAAGAGGAGCTTGGAGACCGCACCCCATCCCACCTGTTGCGCCGCATGCAGCAGCTTATTGGCTCCAGCCAATTGGATGAGTCGATTTTACGGAAGCTGTTTTTGCAGCGACTTCCGAGCAATGCCCAGCTGGTCCTTGCGTCGACCCCAAAGGCTACAAGCCTTTCCGAACTAGCTGCCATTGCTGACCGGGTTATGGAGACAACCCAGGCCTCAGTCTCCGCCATCCAACGCCCATCACAGGACGACGCTCGGATGTCCGCCCTGGAGCAACATATTGCTGCCCTGACCGAGGCCGTCAGCTCTCTGCATAAACGGTTGGACGGATCCCGGGGTCGCAGCCCTGGCCGTGGATCTGGTCCACCGCGCTCACGGAACAACTCGCCTGGTCGGCCCAGCCTGTGTTTCTTTCATAGCAAGTTTGGCGACCAAGCTAAGAACTGCCGACCACCCTGCTCCCGGTCGTCAAACTAGCTGGCCAGCCCCTGTTGGCGACCAGCACCGCTGGCCTGCAGACCACATGTCGCCTATTCTATGTCCGAGACCGTGTCACGGGGTTGCGTCTCCTAGTCGACACTGGCGCCGCCGTCAGTGTCTTGCCAACCACGTTCCGTAAAGGCAAGCAGACCGCCGTCATTGACACGTTGCGTGCAGCCAACGGAACTAGCATTCCCACATATGGCTGTCGATCGCTCACCCTTGACCTCGGTCTTCGTCGGTCATTCCCATGGCTCTTTGTGATCGCCGATGTTTCTAGTCCAATTCTCGGAGCTGATTTCCTCCACAAGTTCGGTCTCACTGTAGACATCCGCAACCGTGCCCTGCATGACACCGTGACCGATCTCTCCGTGCATGCCGTCCTAGCTCACGGCCAGGATACTTCGTCTCTCGCACCGCCGCTCACCGAGCAACCGGAGGTGAATTTACTCCTGCAGGAATTCCCTGGACTGACCAATTCTGCAGCTCAGCCCCAAACAATCAAGCATGACACCGTTCACTTCATCGAAACGGTTGGTGCACCCGCCCATGCCCGTGCACGCCGTCTGCCACCCGATCGCCTGGCCGCCGCTAAGGCTGAGTTTCAGCACATGGCTGATCTAGGCATCATCCGGCCATCCTCCAGCCCGTGGTCTTCGCCCCTGCATATGGTGCCTAAGTCAGACGGCGATTGGCGTCCCTGCGGTGATTACCGTGCGCTAAATGCCAAGACGGTCCCAGATCGGTATCCTGTCCCCCACTTGCAGGATTTTGCTAGTTCGCTCCACGGCACTAAAATTTTCTCCAAGGTTGACCTCCGGCGGGCATATCATCAGATTCCCGTCCACCCTGACGACATACCGAAGACAGCCGTCGTTACGCCATTCGGCCTCTACGAGTTCGTCCGCATGCCGTTTGGCCTGCGCAATGCAGGCCAGACGTTCCAAAGGTTCATAGATCAAGTACTGCAGGGCCTCCCCTTCTGCTTCGTCTATATGGACGACTTGCTAATCGCTAGCACCTCTCGAGAAGAGCACCTGGAGCACATCCGTACTGTGTTTCAACGTCTCGAGGACCATGGCCTCATCATTAGCTTGCACAAGTGTGAGTTCCTGGCACCGGCCGTCAACTTCCTCGGCCACCGAGTCGACGCTGCAGGCCTCCACACCCTGCCCGAGAAGGTGCAAGCCATCATTGAGTATGCTGAGCCTGCAACTCTCCGTGCACTCCGTCGTTTCCTGGGGCTAGTGAACTTTTATCGCCGGTTCATCCCCAGGTGTGCGAAAATAGTGCAACCGCTCACTGATCTTCTCGCTGGCCCCAAGACGCCGAAGAACAAAGCTATCGTCCTCAGTGACACAGCTCGAGCTGCCTTCACTGCCGTCAAGGAAGCCATTAGCGCTGCTACGCTTCTCACGCATCCCCAACCTGACGCTCCGATCGCCCTCATGGTTGATGCGTCCGATTTTGCTGTTGGTGCTGCCCTGAACCAACTGGCCGACTCGACTTGGCAGCCCATTGCATTCTTCTCGAAGCGGTTACAGCCGGCCGAAACACGCTACAGCACATTCAGCCGAGAACTCCTGGCAATCTACCTGTCCATCCGCCATTTCCGTCACTATCTCGAGGGTCGAGAGTTTACAGTGTATACGGACCACAAGCCCCTGACATTTGCTCTCCGCACCGCGTCCGACCGTCTGTCCCCACGCGAGCAGCGTCAACTTGCATATGTGGCAGAGTTCACCACCGACCTGCAGCACATCCAGGGCGTGGACAATGTTGTTGCGGATGCACTCTCCCGACCGTCTGTCAATGCCATCCAGCAACCCATTGATTTCACCAAGTTTGCGGCTGCCCAGACCAACTGCCCAGAGCTCGAGGCACTCCGTACTCGTCCAGACACCAGTCTCGATTTCAAGTCTATCTCGTTGCCGTTCTCTCCTGTCCCGCTCTTG